GGCGGGCGGCAGCATCCTCCTCCCGCCGGGATCGCCGCCGCCGCCGCCGCGCCGGGGCCATGGTGGGCCGGGGCGCGGGGCCGCGGGGGCCCCTGCCCGCGCGCGCGCGGGCCCCGCGCCTGGCAAAGTCCTCCCGGTTGCGCAGTTGCATTTCCCGACGCAGACACGCGCCCCGCGCCTCCCTCCGCCGCTCGTGTCAATTTTGTTCCCTGGGCAGGATCCGAGCGCGGCCCCTCCTCCCGGCCGCCTCCCCGGCAAGAGCCGCCGCGGCCGCGCCGCTCTCGTCCCCGCTCGGCTCGCCGCCCGCCCGCCGAGGAGAGGCGAGGCGAGGCGAGGAGGCGAGGCCGGCCCGGGCGAGGCGCAGCTCCAGCGGGACGCGCGGTGCGGGGCGCCCGCGGAGCCCCGCTGGAGGCGAGGCGAGGCGAGGCGGCGCGGCCGAGCCCGGGCTTCGGCCCTACTGGCCACGTGCCCCGGGGCCTGGGCGAGCGGGAGGGGAGGGGAGGGAGCCCAGGCCAGCTAGCCCGCCTGGCTTCCTCCGCGGCCGCCCGGCTAGGGAGGGGGCCGGCCGCCCCGGGGCAGCTTGGCCCAGGCCTTCCCCCATCCCGGCCCGCCTGTCTGGAGGGCCTGCCGGGCAGCCCAGAGCCACGGCCTCCCGGGCAGGATCCGTGCCCTGCGGACTGGCAAGGGTGGTTTCTCCTGCCCCTGAGGAGAGGGGGGCCGGGCCAGGCCAGGCCAGGCTTCCGCTGCCTCTGCCCCGCACCGCATCGCACACAGACAGTAGTAAACAAAACAGCTTTATTGAGCTTGGCCGGGGGGGGGGGGGGGCGGCCCCACAAGCAGGAGGCTTTGGGGGGGGGGGTCAGGTGTCCAGGCTCATCAGCAGGGCTGTGCCGCGCTTGATCCAGTGGTCCGCCGGCATGGCTCCGGAGCGCAGGTCCACGCCGATGACGAAGGAGGGCCGCCCCGAGGTGCCGGCCCGGTTGGGGTAGTAGTAGCAGGGGCAGGCGTACGTCCCTGGGGGGCAGAGGGCGGGCATCAGGCCGGGGGCACAGGCTCCCGGGCGGGGAGAGCGGCCGCCCCCTCTGCAGGGTCTGTGGGGGGGAGGCCCGAGCCCCCGCTCGCTCCCCCTGTGGGACCCTGTGGCCAGGGAGCCCCCCGCCCCCCCGGCCCCACCTTTGCCGCTCTTCTTCTTGTTCTCCACGGGCTTGAAGTGGATGGTGGGGACGGGGCACACGAGCTGCATGGCCTCGGCCTCCATCAGGCACGAGTTCTTCTTGTCCCAGCCGGCGCCCTCCAGGAAGAGGCCTCGCACCCACACGCCCTCCTGGAGACGGGGCAGCGAGCACACGCATGGTGGGGGGTGCCCGGGCAGGGGTCCCTGACCCGGCGCCCCCCAGCAGGCGGGCCCCTACCTTGGGCGGGTACACCAGGTTGTTGTCGTCCACCGTGGAGACGAGGAAGTCCCAGGACAGCGTGTCCACCGAGATCTGCAAGGGGCGACGAGAGGGAGCCCTGGGGGGGCAGCCACCATTCGGGCCCCGGGCCCCTCCTCTGAGGGGGTGCACGTCTGCCCCCTGCCCCTCGCTGCCCCCGCCAGACAAGCCCTCCAGGTGATCGGGCCGCCGGCTGCCAGGCCTCCCGACCTGGGCCCACCCGGGCAAGGCAGCCAGGCGTCCGAAGTCCGCACCGGAGGCGTCCCGGAGGGGGCTGGGCAGGGAAGGCTGCAGAGCCGCCACGCTCCCTCCGCCCGGCCGGAGGGCGGGATGCCCTGTGCTTCCGGCACCCGCACATCTCCCACGCCTCCTTCCCCGAGCCCCATAGGGCCATGCGCCCGCGGCTGGGCTCCGCAAAGCCACGCCGGGCGGCTCCCGGCTCCCCGCTCAGCCCGTCCTGCTCCCTCGGCTCCCGCTGCCCGGGGGGGGGGGTGCATACGTTGTTCAGGCGTGCCGCGGCCTGCAGGACGGCGGTCAGGAACCCCGTCGGGAAGGTGAACCCCGAGAGCCAGAACAGCACCGGGGGGTGCGTGGTCTTGGCCCAGTGGGCGAACTGCTCCACACGCAGGCCCAGGTCCCGGGTCCAAGCAGCCAGGGGCTTCTGGGATGGATAGGCCTGCGGAGGAAGGGGAAGGCAGAGGTGGTGGGTGCCCACCAAGCCCCGAGGCAGGAAGTCCAAGCAGGATGCACGGGAAATGGCGATGTGGGCGGCCCCCGGCCCCCGCCGCTCCCCCTTTGCCAGGAATGCTGCTTCCCCCGCTGGATTGCACATTTTCCCTAGGGGGGATTCCCTGCTTGAGAGACAGGCAGTGGGGCAGGGGGACGAGGTATGGGCAGAAGGGAATCCAGGGGAAACCGAGGGATCCCAAAAATTCTGCAGACCCCTCTCCTGAAATATAGTTTGTCTGTGGTGCAAAACAGGACAGTGTCCTTAACACACGGAACAAGCCGGAGCGTTTCTCTCGGCGAAGTTCCAGGGCTGACGGAGCATCGGGGCAAGAGACCGCGGACAGTCCCTGGTGCCCCGGATTTCACTTGGCCAGGACACAACAACTCACCTCCCCAAAGGGAGGGGAGGGGAGGGGAGGGGATGAGCACCGACCCCCAGGCCTTACCCTCTCCCACATGGGGGGCACACGGGCATCAAAAATGCAGTTGAAGATCTCCTCCAGGTCCGTGGACATCACCACCAGCCCCTGGATGCCCTTCTCCAGCTCCACCAGGGAGGAACTGTGGGAAACAGACGTTCGTGCACCCGCAGAGCAGGCCACGCTGAGCCGGGGATCCCACGGCCGGTGGGCACAAGAGGAGGTCTGAGCATGCCCTTGGTTCTCAGGCAAAATGGCTGTCACGAGGGGCTTTGCCCACCCACAAAATGGCTGCCAGGCTGGACCCACCGAGTCACGAAACACCCATTTCTCTCTCCCTGGAGCACCTGAATGGAGAGTAACTTTCCCGGCGGCAACCTAAGCACGCCTCGGGGGCGGGATCCAGTTCCCAAAGCGAAAGCCCTGCTAGTCTGCTGCTCCGGCAACCATGTCGCAGAAGGCCAGCGGCTTCCCCGGGAAGCTGCGTGGGAGGCAGCGGCGAGACCGGGGCCCCCAGTGCCGCCGCCACAAGGCACAACACAAAACCCCTTCCACGCCACGCAACGCCATCAGGAGGCCCGCGGGCCAGGCCAGGAGCAGAGCCGTGCTTTGGCCCAAAGGCCTCGCCAGCCAGCTGCCCCGGGGAGGCCACGCGTGGTGCCCGGGGGGCCGCCGTGCCCTCCCACTCAGGTCCCCCAGCAGTGGTGCGGAGACGCACGTCACCACGGGCCAAGTGCGCACCGCTCCGGCGGAGCAGGCCAGCGGACCCCCGACCAGGCCGTGCCCGTGCTCACGCAGGCAGCCCCCCACCCCAGCCCTTCCAGCGCCCGGCACCTCCCTGGCGCCCCGGCCCACCTTCAGTGGTGGGACAGCACCTGCTAGACAAAGCGCTGGGCTGCAGCCCGCCCCTCCCCTCCCCGGCGCCCCACGTGGGGCTCGGGAGCGCGCCCCCCGCCCGGCTTCGCGAGGGGCCCCACCTGATGACCTGCAGCAGGGAGTTGTAGCGCTGGATCTCCTGCAGCAGCACGACGTTGAGCGGGGAGGGGTCCGTGGACAGCATCTTGCAGGTGCCCTCGTAGTCGATCTCCTCGGGCACCTTGCTGAGCACGTCGGCCGAGAGCTCCAGCACCTGCGGGGGGAGGCCCTGAGCGGGGGGCCCCTCCGCCTCCCGGCAGCCCCAGCCCTTCCCTTTCTCCTGGGCCCCGATCTCGGCTCAGCCGGCCCACATGGGGCCTGGACCCCGGGGAGCCCGCCCTTCCCCGAGCCAGCCCCCTTCGGGAACACGGGGGGCTTCCGGTGCCGAGCAAGAGGCGGCCGGCTTGGGCCACACCCAGCACACGCAGGGGAAAGCGAGGGCAGGTCCCCGGCCGCGGGAGGCCGAGCCGGGCCTCGGCGGATCCTCGGACGACCCGGCAGGGACCAGAAGTCCGTCTGCCTTCTGGCTGTGCAGCAGCAGCAGCAGCGGGACTCCCCGCCCACCCTAAATTACGAGGAAAGTCCGGGGTTCCTGCCCCGGGAGGACCGTGTGCTCCGTTCAGTCCTGCCCTCCGGAACCCGCCAGGCTCCGCGCTCCTCCACTTCCAGGGCTGCCTCTGGCTCGGGGCTGGTGGCCGGTCCCGGGGCTCCACGAGCCCCCCCGCCCACCGGGTACCTTGTCCTCCCGGCTCTGCCCGGCCTCCCCCGCAGGGGTGGTCTGCGGCTGCAGGGAAAGCAGCGTCTCGAAGAGCGTCCGGGCCTCCGTGATCTGGGAGGCCACGTCCGCGTTGGGGTGCTGGCCAAAAGCCTCGGGGGCGTCCATGCTGGGCAGCAGGCTGATGTACTCCTTGTACGAGGCCAGGTTGCCGTCCCTGGGGATGTAGTAGGTGTCCAGCACGGAGAGCCTGCCGAGACGGGGGCCTTGCTCAGCCGCGGCCTGCGCCCGGGGGTCCGCCGAGCCCACGCCCGCCAGCCACGCCGCGCCCTCCCACACCTCTGTGCCTTGAGGGCAGAGCGCGCCGGGGCGGCCGAAGGGCCCGGGAGCGCTCTGTGGCTGGGGGGGCCGCGACGTGGACTCGTGGCTCCTGGAGCGCCTCTCCCCACCGCATCGGTTGCCGGGTGGCCCTGTTCGGCCCGCTCCACGCCGCAGCACCCCGCTCCCCGGGCAAGCCCCCCCGTGAACCCCGAGGTCCGCAGCACCCCTGGCCCACGCGCACTTGTAGAAGGGGGCCGTGATGCTTTGCTCGTTGAAGTAGTCGTTGATGTAGGTGGTCAGGAGGCGCCGGTCCCAGTCGTCCGTCACGTGGCCACCGTAGTTGACCCCGGCGATCAGGTACGTGAGGGCCTCCCACGGCGTCTCCTCGTACTCGTCCAGGTACAGGCTCAGAAGGTTCTCGGACACCTGCGGGTGGGGTGGGCGGGCGAGAGGGCTGGCGAGCAGGACCAGCCTCCGGGGGGCGCTCCCGCGGGTTCCCGGGGCACTCAGGTGAGCCCGCCTCCTCAGCAGGCAGCCCCCGCCAGAGCACCACCAGGCCCCCGCCCAGGCGGCATCGTCTCCGAGGGAGAAGGACGGCAGGGCTTCCGCCAGGCCCCGGGCCGGCGAGGGCCGGACGCTCAGCCACGGGGTGCCCACGCCCCGAGGACGGCGGCCTTCCTGGGCACACGGGCTCCGTGCGGATCGGTCTGCCGGAGCCCCGGCAGGGAAGGCTGCCCCCCGAGCCCCACCCCGCCTGTGGCTGCCGCACCTCGGCCGCCCCGGCCCCCGCGCCGCCTCACCTCGAAGTCCGAGTCGTTGAAGCCGTAGACGATGTTCCAGCCCAGCTGCAGGAACTTCTTGCGCTCCAGCAGGATGCTGTGGAAGAAGCAGAGGGCGAAGAGCAGCTTCTTGTACTTGGCCGGCTTCGTGCACCGGCTGAACTGCGGCTCCGTGATGAGCTGGTACAGGCGCTTCATGTTGGCCTTCAGGCCCTGCAAGGGAGGGGGCGGGGGCGGGGGCGGGTCAGGGCCGGGCCGGGGGGCAGCCGCGCCCCCGTGCCCCCCGGCCGTGCCCCCCTGCGCTCACGGTGGGCGGCTCCGTCGTCATCTTGATGCCGGCCTGCAGGATGGAGATGGGGAAGTCGGGGTGGGGGCTGGAGCTGAGCCACAGCCGGAAGGACGGGTGCGGCTCCTCCACCTGCAGCTGCTCCACCACCTTGTCCAGCTGCGGCATCCAGGACAGCGAGAGGTGGCAGTTGGCCAGGAAGACCCAGTTGCCTGCCAGGGGGCGAGAGGGAGGCCGGTGTTGGAGGCCGGAGGCCGCGGGGCCGGGGCCGGGGCCTGGGCCACGCACGGGGAGAGGCTGTGGGGAAGCAGGTCCTCGGCCGCAGCCCTTCCACAAATGCCTCCTCCCAGCAGCGGGCACGGGGCCTTCTCGGTAGGGGCCCCCGGGGTGGAATGAGCTCCCTCCGCCGGGCCCCTGCACTATTCTCTCCAGGGCTTTGTATCACGTTCCCGTTCTGCGTTTGTACGGTCTCCTTCCCCGCGAGCTTCCCAAGGAGCTTTTGCGGCTGGGCCCAGGGGAGATGGAGCAGATGGACGCCAGCAGGGGAGGCCCGGACAGGCCCCTCCCACCCCGGGCCCCTCGCCCTGCCGGCACCCACCCTGATGGACCCCGTCCTTAATCATGCGGGTCGCGATGGGCGCCTGGCCCTGGCCCAGCGAGAGGGCGTGGAAGCGCTGGGCCATGCCCGACTGCTCGGCCAGCTGCAGCAGCGAGGAGCTGGGGTCCACGCCCGGGGACAGGACGAAGATCAGCGGCGTCTTGGTCGTGGAGTCGTCCACCACCTGTGCCCAGAGGGGGGAGGCGGTCAGGGCCGAGGCAGGGCGGGCCCGGCAGGGAACGGGCCTTGGCCGGCGCCCCACTCACCGACTTCATGTTGAGCACGGGGGGCTCCACGAACTGGGAGCCCAGGTTGGAGACGATGAAGGCCGTGACACAGAAGGCCACGCGGTCGGGCCGCAGCGACCGGACAACCAGCATCCGCTGCATCTGGTTGCAGGAGTTCTCCCACTCGCCTGCGGGCAGAGGCGGCACGTGGGGAGGGGGGAAGTGCCCCTCCCCTCCCCACGCCGGGCTGGCTGCTCCGGGAGGAGGCCTCTCCACAGACTCCCAGACACGCCGTCTCCACCCCACGCGCTCCTTCCAGGGGCTGTGCTGTCCCAGAGCAGGACCGGCCCCGGGGATGCCTGGCAAGTCCCCTCCCGGAAGCTGGTGCCAGTGCGGCGGACAGCCAGGCACCCTGGGGGTTGGGGGCCGGACCTGCCGGGAGCCCCTTCCTCCCAGCCGCACGCCGGAGGGCTGGGGTCGGACGCGGGCAAGGCGGAGGCCCGGCGAACGCTGCCGCGTGGCCATCCAGCCAGAGGCCGGGCCTCACCTGGCAGCATCGCCTTCTCGGGCCGGGAGCTGGTGTACCACAGGTTCCAGTCCCGGGGGTACTGCTCGAAGGAGTTCATGATGCCGTGGAAGTTGGTGAGTTTGTCCAGCTCCGTGATGTTGTCCCAGTAGGTGTCGGCCAGCCAGCTGGGGCAGGGGTTGTCCATCTGCCCCTCCCGGTCCAGCACCTGCACGCGGGGCAGGATCAGGCAGCCGCGGGGCTGAGCCCCATCCCCTCCGCCCAGCACGGCCCCTGCCTGGATGGGTGCAAACTGCGGGCCGACACCTCTGGGGAGCGCCCCTCTGGCGTGGGAGGAGTTGGGGGCGCCCCCACCTCAGCACCGGGATACCAGGGAAAGGCAAGGCAGAGACTGGATGGCACGGGGGGGGGGGTTCTCACAGGCTCCTGCACTGCAGAAAACGTCCACCGGAGGGCAGAGTCGCAGCACGACTGGGTTGTCTTCTGCCCTGCTCGATCCGGCCTCCCGCCCCAAGCCAGAACGCCTGGGACGGCCCAGGGACGGCCCCAGCCGGACACGGCCCTCCCCGCCCGCCCGCCCCAGGGATGACCGCTCCCTCAGGGGGAGAAGGGGGCCCCGCAGGCCGCACCCGACTGCCGCGCCCAGCCCTCGTGTGGGGCCGCGGCTCTGGCCAGGGCCCCCTTCCACGCCTCCAGGGGTCAGGCGAGCCCCCTCCCCATGCAGTGGGTGGGGAGCGGGCTGGAGCCCATGGGACCGGCTGCAGCCAGCCCCTGGCTGGGGAGGGCCGCACGCCTGCTCTTGGGCCCGGGGTCACCCACCAGGCGCATCCCCTGCAAGGCCAGCAGGCACCTGGAAGGGCGCCTGCCCTGCCCACGCAAGGCGGGGCCTCCCCAGGGCACGCCACCCACTGCCCTCCACTGCCCGAGGCGTGGCTCGCTTGCCAGGCCTGGGAGGATGGCGCAGGCCCGAGGGACTTGCGCAGTGGGCTCTGCGGAGGGGATGCTCCCGGCCTGCCCCACATGCCCCGCCAACTCTCCAGTCGGACCGCGGGAAGCAGGACTGATGCTCCAAGGACGGGGAGGTCCGGGGGACAATCAGCCCCCCAGAAGAGGTCCCCTTCCGCAGGAGCCGGAGCCGGGACAGGCTTTCTGCAGGCTGCCGGGGCCTGAGGCTGCCAAGGGGCCGCCCTTCCTCTGCTTGCGGGAGGGTCTCCAGCTGAACTGGCAGCCTCTCCAGGCAGGGCGAGGAGAAGCCCCTCCCCGCCCCAGGCCCTGCAGAGCAGGCCAGCCGGGCGGACGGGCCGCCCGAGGGGCTCAGCACAGGGCAGCGGCTCGTGCACCTGCCCGGGGCCCGCCTGCTCCTGCCCCCAAGTGGCGCTCACCACTCCCCCACGGAGGAAGAAGTTGTACTCGTCCATCTTGAGGTTGCCGGACACTTCCAGGATCTTGGCGCACATCTGGAAGCTGAAGAGGAGCTTGTGCCGCTCGAAGAGGCCCCTGCAGGTGTACCTGGCGAGGGCAGAGAGCCCGTGGAGCGTGGCGGACGCTTGGAGCGAAGCCCAGCCGCCCTCTGGGTGCGCCGTGCGCCAGCTGCTCTCCCCGGGCCCTCGGGGGCATCTCGGCTGGGGGGCTGCAGCCTGGTCTGGAAACGGCCGGCCGCCTGCTGCCTCCCCTTCGGCTGCCCCTTGTCCCAGGAGGGACACCCTGGATTGAGGGGACCCTGGTCGCGCCTGGGGGATGGCGGCAGCTGTGCGGGGCACCTACCTGTAGACGGCGTAGGTGTGGTATTCATTGAGGTACCGGATCCGCTCGTCCAGCTTGGTGCTTCGGTGGCTCTTGGTGATGCTGAGGTTGAACAGGTCAATGTAGGCATCCAGGGAGAACTGATACATGGGGTCGATTCTGCCCATGTCGTTGAGGACGAAGAAGAGGATGGACGCCCTCTGAGCGCAGGGGCGGTAGGCCTGCGGAAGGGTGGGCAGCGGGCTGGTTCATGAGCTGGCGAGGGCGAGGCCAGGGGCCGTCCGGAGGAGGCCAGGGGGTCCCCGCAGCATCCAGCTGCCTCCCCCACCCACGTGCTGGGCTAGCAACCCCGTGCTGAGCATCAGAGAGCGCCGTGCTGGCCAAGGGCTGTGGGAGGTGCAGCTCACCCCCCCCCCGAGGAAGCTGGCTGCAGACAGAGCGACCCCCACACCAGCCGCCTTCCCGGAAGAGGCAGCCCTCCAGCTTCCGCTGTTCAAGGAGCGGGTTCCCAGCCCCCAGGACTGAGTGGGGGCCGGGAGGAGCTGGGGCAGAGGAGTCTGTGCCCGCAGGCCACCCCTGCCACTCCTCCCCCGGCAATTCTGGTGCTGGGAGGGCAGCCGGCGCTCTGTGCGCACACCGCCGGGCCCCGGCGCCTCCCCGGCTGACCTCCCGCGCCGTGTCGATCTTGATCTCCGTCATCTCGCTGGTCTCCAGCTGCTCCGTGACTTCGGTGGCGGTGACCTTCGAGGTCTGCAGCGTGTTCACCAGCTGGACGTCATCCAGAAGGGAACCAGTGGCCTCATTCAGTAACCTGCAGCCCGGGACAGGGTGGCTGAGCAGACCCGAGAGCATGGCCTGCTCCCAGTGGCCTCGGACTGCAGGGGGCAGCCAAAGCTGCCGCTGCACCGAGGGCCAGGAGGGCAGGAGGCCCGGTGGCCGGTTGCCGCCCCAGCACAGAACGGAGCCAGGGCCTGGCACCTGCAGGGCCGCCCACGGGCCCCCAGCCAAGGCAGAAAGGGCAGCCGTGGGGGCAAGTGCCGCCACGTGGCCCTCGAGGTGAAGCTGGCCCGGAATGCGCCGCCCAGGCCACGGGGGCTCCCGGAGCCGCCCGCGCGCACCTCAGGATCTCGTCCTCCAGCTCCTTCAGCTTCCACTTCCCGGCGGCGATGTTCAGCACCAGGTGGTCCTTCTGCTCCTCCAGCTCGGGCCGCTCCCTCCGCACCACGATGCCCAGCAGCTGGGCCTCCAGTCCCTGCGGGGGCCCAGGCGCTCAGCTAGGGGCGGGCCACCCCGGCCAGCTCCTTCCGCGGCCCGGCAAGGGGGCTGCCCGCCGGGGGCCCGGAGGAGCCCGGCCCGCGCGCACCTGCTCCTTGACGGCGAAGTTGACGATGGTGGTCTGGGAGGAGGTCTCGGGCGTGTAGTGGGGGTTGGGCAGCTTGGTGGTCAGGTAGAAGCGGAAGTCGGGGTGGTACTCCACCTCTTTGTCCCCCAGCCGGATCAGGAGGCGGCCGCCTGCCACGGGCGAGAGGCCGAGTGAGCCACGCGGGGGACGGGGCCGTGCCAAGGCGCCCCAGCTCCCACCCCGCGCCGCTCAGCACGGAGGAGGCCGGCTCCCGGGCCCGGCCGGGGCCCCGGCACTCACCCACTCTGGTGACGGAGCGGTTGAGGATGGGGGCCAGCGTGGGGTCCAGCTCCTCCTGCACGTTCTGCAGCAGCACCGGCGAGCCGAGCTGGATGGCCGACTCCAGGACACGCAGGTAGTCGGGCGTATGCAGGTCGATGATCTTGAGGCCCTGCAGGGAGGCCAAGCGGGCGCGGGCATTGGCCTCCGAAGCTGAGGAGGCCGCGTGGCGGCGGGGGGAGCGAGGGGGTGAGGTGGGGCGGGGGACCTCCCCCCCCGAGCGGCTCCTCACTCGCTTCTTCTCCATGTTCTTGATCCACTTCGTGGCCTGGCACTGCGGGTCGATCATGAGGGGCCACCTGGGGACGACCAAGCAGAGAGGCACCTGAGGGCCTGCGGGGTCCCCTGGGCTCCTCGGACGGGGCCGGGGGAGGCCCCGGGGGCGGAGAGCCCCGGCTGCAGCCCCGGGGCTCCAACCCACCTGTTCCCGCGCGTGACGATGATCCCGTTCTCCGTGGAGAAGTTATCTGAGGGCAGCCCCTGGATGTTCCAGTTGCGCACGACCGTCGGGTTGGAGAGGAAGCTGTCGCATGTGAACCGGGGCGAGCAGGGCACGTGGAGCTCCCGGATCTGCAGGGCGGAGCAGCTGCCGCAGTCAGAGGGCCCATGGCTCCAGCTCCCCGGGGACCGCCTCCCCTGTGCCGAGGGCCGCGCAGCTGGGCGGCCCTCAGGCTTCTCAGCAGCGTCTCGCCCCCTCGCCCGGCCCCCGCCGGCCCTGCAGGCTCCCGGAGCATCTTCGAGGCACCCACACTGAGCGCAACCCTCTGCAGGGGCCCGGGGCCCTGCCAGGGGGGCTCGCCCGGAGGAGGGGAGGGTGCGGCCCACTCACCTGCTTGATCCAGATGTGCGAGACAATCTCGTCCCGGTAATTCGAAAGGAAGGGCCCCATGTACGACAGAAACGCCGCCGCCAGGAGGCAGTCGCCCACCAGGTAGCCCAGATCTTCCTCAAGGCCCTAGAGGGGAGTGGGGCCACGCTCGTCTTCCACCCTGCAAGAGCCCTTCCACCGGACGCCCGGGGACTCCTGGGGCGACGCCGGCAGGCTGCCTGGGCCCGCCCTCGTGCCTCCCGCTGTGCCCGCATCTCAAGGGTCCAGCCTTCCCACAGGCTCGGGCCACAGGCCACCCTGCTGAATCCTAGACGTGCCAGCGGGAACCGGACATGGCGGTTCGAGGGAGCAAGGACCCCAGCAGGGGTGCCGTCGCCCCCTGAATGCCCCATGGGAGGCGGGTGCGGAGCTGCCCGCCAGGCCCTACCTTGACGGTTTCCTCCCAGCGGACCTTCTCCCCGGCCAGGCCGGAGACCAGCTTGTCGGCGCGGTCCAGCTTGATCTCCATCTCCTCGGACTTCTTGCGCAGCTCCTCCTTCTGCGCAAGCTTCTCCTCATACTCTTTCTTCAGCCTCTCCAGTTTCTCTGCAACCTGCGCAGAGGGGAGTTAAGAGCAGGATTTCCCAGCAGCCTCCTCTTGGCACGCATGGAGGGGGTGCCCCGGGGGTGCAGCAGGCGCAGTGCCCCTCGGGTTCAGAAGGGGCCCCAGGCGTGGGGTCCCTGCGCCGGGCCAGGCTCCCGGGCCTTCCTCCGCGGCAGACTGACCTCCCGGAGCCTCTCCTGGGCCTCGGCCTGGGCAGCCTGCTTCTCCGCCAGCTGGGCCAGGGCGGCGTTCATCCGCGCACGCTTGGGCTCCACCACACGGTAAATGCGGCCGTACATCTGCGGAGGGGAAGCGAAGCGAGCGGCTGGGCCCTCCGTGGAAGCCAAGCTCCCCCGAGGCTGGCGGCCTCACACCCAGAAGCCCAGTCCCCGGCGGGGAGCGGGCGAGAGCCGGAAGCGGAATTCCGGGGGTCCCCGGGCTGGCGGGCTCCGGCCGTCCCTTCCCTTCCCTTCCCTTCCCTCCGCCACGCTCACCTCCATGGCGCGCACCCACATGCACAGGGACTTGGCGGCCACGGAGACGCGCCCGATGATGTCCGGCTGGAAGTCCGGCTGCGAGCAATAGGCGCTGATCTTCTTGAGCACCTTGTCGGAGATGTTGTCCTTGTCGAAGTACACCAGCTGCTTGATGAAGTTGGGCTCGCCTGGGGAGGGCCAGGAAAGGAAAGGGAGCCCCGGCTGCAGCAAAGGCCCGCCGCCCCGCCGGAGGGGTGGCTGGATGCAGGGCCCAAAGGGACGCGCCCGCCACTGCCGCCCTGCCCCAGCCAGCCGGCTTCCGAGCGGGGCAGGGGGGACGCTCCCTGCCGGGTGCCACGCGCCGCGCCCGCGGGGGCAGGTGCTTCCAAAGCCGCGTCAAGCGGTGCCCGATGCTCGCGTGAGTCCAACGCCCGGCCTCATCCGGCCCTCCACTCTCCTTACCCAGCTGCTTCTTGGCTTCTGCCCACGTGGGTTCGTTGCCTCGCAGGATCATGACCGCCTGCATGACCGTCTCCACCAGGGTGGGAGGCCGGCCGTAAGACTTGATCTCGGTCAAGTCCTTCTTGTTGAGCGACTCGAGCGCCTGGGGAGGAGATTGCGGGGCGGGGATGGGCGCGGGGCCGGGGCGGGCCGTGCAGAGCCCCCCGCTTCCCCGGCTCAGCACCCTGGACTGCAGCCCCTTCCTTCCCTCGCTGCCTCACACCAGAGCCCGTCCAGCAGGGAGGGCGCGCAAGCCGTCCTGCACTCGGGCACGTGCCCCGGGGGTCTTGCACACAACATTCTCCGCCAGTGCTCCCAAGCTCTCGTGGACGTGCTCCCGGCTCAGCTCGGCTCACTTCCTCTCCAGGAAGCGCACAGCACGGCACAGACGCCCAACGAGCGCAAGGGCCCAGGCCCGGCCTGATCGGCACATCCCTGGCACAAGCCCGTTCGGGGGGCGGGTCCCACACGGAAGCAAAGCATGAAGGAGGCCAGCCCAGGCCAGGCCTGCGCTTCTGGCCTGCAGAGGAAACGCGGAGCGTCAGAATCCTGCCGCCCCAACCTGGAGCTCCCAGCAGCTCGAGGAAAAGCTTGGAAGGGGAGCAGGTGCAGCTGTTCGCCCGGGGAGGAGCTGGAAGAGACCCGCGCGCCTCGGGCTGAGTCTAGCCCTCTGCCGCAGCACGTCCTCCGGGAGGGCTCCCTGCGCGGCTGCTGCGGAGCACGCCCAGGGGCCCTGCTGCGCTGGCCAGGCTGGGGACCGCGGCCCGGGGAGCCTCCGGGGGCGTGTGCCCGGCTACCTTCATGGCCTCCTCCAGGGCCGGCAGGGCCTCCTCCAGGTCCTTCTGGGCATTGTCGGCCAGCGCCTTGCATTTGATCTCCTCGGCGGCGATCTTCTCGCTGTTGGCCGTCACGGTCTGCGGGGAGCAGGGAGGGGAGGCAGCTCAGCACGGGGGCCGGCGGTGCGGGCCCCGTGGCGGAGGGACTGCCCGGCCCAGCACTGGCCTTCTGCTGCTCGTCCGCCTCGCGCTTCTGCTGGACGATGATGACCAGGTACTCCTCGCACTGCTTCTGGAACTCGGCCACCTTCTTCCGGGCATCCTCCAGCTCCAGCGTCATCACCTCCACTTTCGCCCGGGTCTCGTCGATCTTGAACAGCCCGTTGCGCAGCTTGTTCGCCTGGTCCGAGAGCTCCTTGCGCTTCTCCGCCAGCAGCCTGCAAGGCGGAAGGCGCCCTCCGTGGCTGCCCTGCAACTCGCCCCGTGGCTCCGGCACGCGCCACCGGGCCCCTGCACTCCGGGCCGGCCCCGCCTCCCGGAGAAGTGAGGGGAGCCTTACTTCTTGTAGCCGGAGACGAGCTCCAGGTAGTTGGTCGGGGTGACGTAATTGTGGCGCCGGAGCTCCAGCAGCATCTTCTGCGAATAGCGGGCCACGGACCAGTGCATGGTCACGAAGATTTTGGCCACACGCTTGTGGATCTGGGGGCGGGAGGAGTGTTGAGCCGGGGGGCGCACGGCCGCCCCCCGTGCCCGCCCCCAGACAGGCCGTGCCCCTCACCGTGTCCAGGCTGCCCCGCTCCACGCTCCCCAGGTCCACGCCTTCCAGGTACTTCTCCGCCACCTCGAGCAGCGCCTCCTTGGGCCACTCGGCGAACCAGTCGATGGTGGTGCAGTTCACCAGGGCGGGGTACTGGCGGATCCAGTTCCTGCGTGAGGGCCAGGCTGAGCCGGGACGCTGGGCACCCCGTGGCGGCCGGCTCCGCTCACGGCTCCCCGGCAGCCGGGCCACCAAGGGCGCCCGCCTGCAGCCGCGCGGCAGCCCACCAGGGGTCGCTCCTGCTCCAGCGCAGCCCAGCGGCCGCCCCCCCTCACCTGAACGGGTCCCCGACGGGGCTGAGGCACAGCACCACATGCAGGTTGTTGCGCACCCTCTCGATGAGGTAGGCGAAGAGGCTGTCCAGGCTCTCCTGGATGCCCTCGGCCCGGGCCACGTCGATGATCTGGTTCTGGATCTGGGCAGGGAAAGGCGTCTGGCGCTGCTTCCGGGAGGGGGCACCCTGGGCCCTGCAGCATGCCCAGGCGCCGCGGATCCAGGGCCCCAGGAGCGGCTCGCCGGCTCCGCAGAGGCCGGGCTGCCCAAAGCCTCCGGGGGCCGCAGGCAAGCAGGAGCAGCGGCCCGGGCTCAACCGCCCCAGCAGTCCTGCCGGGAGGGCCCCCACTCCGCAGGACTGCCTCCTGAGCCGGGAGGAAGCTGCCGCAGGCACGGCCACGGCCACCCCCTCACGGAGGCAGGGAAAGTGCCGCCAAGGGGAGGCGGCTCCGCGGGGCTGGCCAGACTCCGGTCTACTCTGGGTGCAAACCAACCCGGCAGGAGGCTCACGCTCGGCCCAAAGCATCCTCCTTTCTTCCCAGAGGCACAGCAAGGAGGCCTGCTGTTCCCCGTGGCAGGGGTTACGGAACTCTGCGCGTGCTCAGAGCCACGCTCCCCATCACTTCACATTCCCAGGGGCCATACGAGACCCCTCGGGTCATTCTAAGGAGGAGGCCACCAGACCTGGACAGGCATCGGCAGGGATGGGGCAGCCAGCCTTCCCTCGCCCGGCCCGGCCCAGCCCGTGTCCCACACCCCGCGCCCGCCTTCTGGAGACCCGCGGGGCACGCACCTCCTCGAACTCGTCTGCCTTGTAGAGGTTGGGCACCTCCCCGCTGCTGAGGACGTTGTTGATGTCCTCCAGAAAGCACTCGTCGGCCACCTGGGTGTCGACGAAGAGGAAGGTGGTGGGCTTCTGGTCCACGCCGGTCTGGCGGTAGAGCCGCTTGATGTCTGCGGGCAGAGGAGCCATGAGGGGTGAGTGACGAGGCGGCCTGGGCCAGTGCGGGATGCCGGGCCCCGAGGAGGCGGCCGCGGCCCTCACCTTCCCGGAACTCCTGCTTGCGGTACTGTCGGGAGACCTCGACCTGGAAGGTGTAGTACTCGCAGATGGACGAGGCCAGGCGGGCCAGGCTCTGCCGGCCGCTGCCCCCGATGCCCACCAGCAGCATGTTCCCCCGCGGCTGGCTGATCACCCGCACGATCCGGGTTACTGCGGGGAAACGGCACCGTGAGTTGCTGAAGCAGCAGAGTGGGAGAGGGGGCGGTGGCGGGACCCCCCCAGCACGCAGATTCTGGCGGAGGGTCGGGGCCCCGCGGCTTCCCCTTGTGACCTCCCTGCACTCTCCCACCGCTTCTTCAGGAGAGTCTGCACGGAACAGGCACCGGGGGGGAGCGTCAGGACGGCCCCGCAGCGTCTTCGGACCGGCGGCACGACGAGCCCTCCACCTGGAGGCGCACCTGGGCCAGACACGTGCCTGCCCGGTGCCGGGCTCCAGAGCAAGCCCTGGAGGAGGATGCACCCGCCCACCACCGGAGATCCACCCCGCCTGCCGTGCCCCGCAAAGGGCGGAGCAGGACCCTCCCGCAGGGCCCCCCACTCACTGTGCTCGATGGCATCCCGGAAGAGCACCAGCCGCATGGGCACCAGCCCCGGCGACCGGTTGTAGTCACCCAGCGCCCGCTCCATCTCTGCCTTCAGGACGCCCATGTCGGTCATGTCCTCGTACACATTGCGCATGAAGTCCCCTGCGGCGAAGCATCGCTCCGTTCCAGAAGCGGCAAGCGCCGCCCGCCTGCCAACAGGCCCGGCTCCCAGCCTCCCAGTGCAAGCCTCTCACGCGCATGTGCGCCCGGGCACCCAAGCACAGCTCGCACGCCCTCCAGCAGCCCCGCTCGGACATCATCCGGATCTCCCCCTCCTTGCAACCCCGTCTCCATCCGGTTTCCCACCCAGGACTAAACGCACACGCAGTCACACGAGCATGTGAGGACTGCAGCACCGAGCGAGCTGACGAACGTGCTCCATTCACCAATCAAGGGCACCTCCAGGTTTAGAGGGAAAAGTGGGCAGCACCTTCCTGCGTTTCCCAGCCAGGCGCGGCTGTGCCCGAAAAATGTTACGAGCGGCTGAACAGTTGCTTCCAATTAGAGAGGCAGCAGATTTTCCATTTTAAAAATTATGTTCAAAATACAAGTGCTTATAAAAATGGCGAGTGCAAAGCATCACCTCAGAAGAGACATTCTCCCTTCGAAGTGGGAGACAGAAGGGGTCCGCGCTGGCTGTGCCTTAAGTGCCTTTTGGTGGAAAGCGGGAATACGCATTTCACAAATATCTCTTTGAGGAAAAAACCTCCTCTGGGCCTGTAACCAAACAGGCCCATGTGCTTCGGCCTCATTTAAAAACCAAACCAAACCAAACCAAACCAAACCGAAAAAAGCGAGTGCTCCTCTGTCCTTCGGTAGTCTCGTCTTTCCAGTCCAGGCCCACGGAGATGTGAGGCCACATTCCAGGCCTGCTCACACAGAAAAGCCTCCCACAGCTCCCGGCGTTCCCCCGGCAGCATCTTTTGGGGTGCACATGCAGGGGCCTGCGCCCCTAATTGACAAAGTGGCCTGGCTAAAACTACAGGCACTGATCCACTTCAATTAGGGAACAGTGTTGAAACACACACACACACACACACACACACACACACACAGGATGGATCCCACAGCCCCAAGGGGCAGGCAGGGCGTCGTCTTCCTCAATCGCCAGGGGCTGCCCTCCCACCGGCGCCCCGCACGGTCCGCGCCCGCAGCCCTCCAGCAGCCACGAGCGCCGGAACGCACCGAAGATGGGCGAGCGCTTGTTGGGGCAGAGGTTGTGGAAAGTCAGGTCGAAGAAGGTGCCCAGCTTCTCACTCAAGAGGGCCACGAAGGTCTCCATGTCCACAGCGTCCACCAGGCGGTCGGAGAAGACCCTGCGGCAAAGGAGGCGGAATCTGCGTCCCCGAGGGCCACTCGCCCCGGAAGCGCAGGGCAGGCTGCCCAGACCCCCACCCCGAGCTTGCCTCCCCTGCCCCCCGCAGGGGCCGCGCAGCACTCCAGCCCGGCCCGGCCCAGACGGCCAGAAGCAGCTCTACCTGAAGCACTCGTGGATCCAGAGGCGTGTCAGGCTGGGCTTGGTGTCGTGGAAGTCCTTGTGGGCCCGCAGCATGCCCTGGAACACCTGCGCAGGGCACACGCAGAGCCCCTTCGGCCAGGCTGCCCCACCAGGCGCACCCCCCTGGCCCCCCGGCCCCCCTCGGCCCGCGCAACCCTCGCTTCGGATCGGAGAAGGGCGCCAGCTGGGCAGGCCTGTCCATGGCCAGAGGACTGCGGCTGTCCCTGCCCTGCCCCACGGCCTAGAAGGGGCCGCTCGGAGCCTGCGGCTGGGGCAGCCCAGTGCCGTGCGATGCGGGCCGGGCCAAGTGCTCCTCCCAGGAAGCCAGTCCGTCTTCCCCGTCCACTTGGGAAAGCCGGCGGGGGAACCAGCTCCGTCCTCAGACCCCGGGCAGCACAGCGCCTCTGCAGGAAGGGCCCCTCCGAGGGCGCTTCCCTCAGACCCCCTTCAGCCCCACGGCCCCCCAGCTGGCGGGAAGAAGGTGCTGCTGCCACCGCCACACAGGAGCTCTGCGGCTGCCGGCATTTGATGTGAGCGAGCAGAGCTGGGGGCTCGGGGCAGGGACGAGCGTCTGATGTCTTCCAACTGCCTGCAAGTCGCCGGGCCCATTTGATGTCGCTCTGCCACCGCAGCAGCAGCAGGAGACGCGGCTCGCCTGGAATCCCAATGCTGCCGGCCCCCAGGCGCGTTAACCCTGCCCCTGCTGGCGCCGGGCCAGGCCGGGCCGAGCCAGCCTGCCCAGCGCCACACGCCTGCTCGGATGCCCTGGCGTGCAGAGCCCGGCTGGCGGGGCGGCCGTCCCCACAAGGGACCCCGGCTCAGCCGCAGAATTCCACGTCTGGGGCCGGGCACACGCCCGTCCGGGCCGGCAGGCTGACCTCTCTGGCCCCCGAGAAATGCGGCCCCTCGCTTTTCTGAGGCTGCCCCAGACTCGGCCCCCCCACCGCTCTGCAAGGGGCAGATGGAAGGCGGAGGAGGGCGTGGGGCCGGGAGGAAGACGGTGGCACTCGAGAGAATGAGAAATGAAGACGTCAGGAGGACTCCGGGGGTGGGGGGGAGATGAGGCAGGTGGGCCGGGAAAGACAAGCCCCTCTAAGTCCACGCGCCAGAGAACTAACGAGGACTCGCTTCCTTGCCGGAGGCAGAATGAGCCAGAACGGCGGGGGACCAGCCCCGTCCTTGTGTACAGAGCGGCACCCGACACGCCGCACCTGCCGCCTGCCTCCCTCCCTGCCGCTGAGGGAAGGGGCAGGAGCCCCGCGAGCAGTGCCCCTTTCCTGCACCCCCGACACCCCACCGGGGCCTTCCTGGCCGAGGGGCGCGTCTCCCGGGGTGGGGGGAGCCCCCCCTTCTACCTTGGAAATGTCACGCAGGTTGAAGAGGTAGTGGATCTTGGCCGGGGTGGGCAGGAACCTCTGGACCACGCTGTTGTACAGCTCCACCGTCGCCTCCGTGATGATGTTGCCGATCGGCTTGACCCCCTCGTCAAAATTCTGCAGCTTCTGGTAGATCATGGTGCCAAAGATGCGCCGGATTTGTGAATCCTGCGGGAGTGTGGGAAGACTGAGGCGGGGGCCGCCCATCCCTGTCCTCTCCTGGACAGGGCCTCCCAGGGTGCCCCCCGGCCTTCCCCCGGGAGCTGCGTGCAAGCAGGCGGGCATGGAAGGTGGAGCCACGGGTGCTGCAGCAGCAGCCGCACGGCGAGCGCGGTGGGCCAGCCGCCTTTGGGCGGCCTCAGGAGCCACGGGAGCCAGTCGCCCCTCCAGCTCTGCACACAGACGCTGCTCCGGCCGGAAGGAGCCGGTCCTTCATGGGGCCGGCCGAGAGCCTGGCAGCCGCCATGGCCACAGAAGCCCGCCTCCCCTCAGCTGCTCGGCAACCCATGGCCGCCGTCCCCACAGCCCGCCTCCCTCCTGCCTCCATTTTGTTTATCCGCCATGAGGAAAACCTACTTAAGGCCACAAAAGCAGCTAGACCGGCACGGCCAGGCCTCAATAAACGCCAGCACGGCACAGCGTCCAGCCCGAAGATATTAAAAACCAGGAGAGCGACCTTCCCCAGCCTGGGGCCTGACAGATGTGCTGGACTACAACTCCCACACTCCCCAGCCAGCCTCCCGACACATCTGGAGGGGCCAGCAGAAGCACTACAGGGCAAACCAGCAGCCCAGCCCAGCCCCAGGAAACAAGCAGGCCTCTCCAAGCCCAGGCCCTAGAGGGGCCGCCAGGCCCCTTCCGCAATGGGGCACAGAAGAAGCCAAGCCCGGGCCGAAGCCTCGCTGTTGCCACGGCATTCGGGAGGGCGGCAACATGGTGCCTCCGAGGCCGGGCTCCGAAACGGGACTGGCGGCAGCCGGCCCAAGAGCCGCCCCGAGGGCGAGGAAGCAGCAGAGGGGGCTTCTGCTCCACCCCGCCTGACCCCACCCTCACAGGCAGGCCAGAGGGCCCCTCGGGCAGTGCCCTGGGGGCCGACCCAAGGGGCTCCGCTGCTGGCCTCTGTGGGGCTCGTACTGTGCGGGAGAAGGTGCCGGAATGCCCCGCCACCCACGCTGGCCACCCCTGGCGTGGGTGCCGAGGCCAGTCCTTGCCACGGCTTGGCATTGGGGCGGCTGGGGCCAGGGCTCCCCGCTGGATCCTGGCGGGGTTCGGGGAGCCAAGAGGCCGTGTGTGCTGGTGGCGTGGCGGGGGCCCTGAAAGGAGAGGGAGCGTGACTGCCGGCTCAGCCCGGCCCCCGGGCTGCCCCCGCAGCGCACGTCTGGGCAGCCCTTACCGTGGGGAAGGTCATGTTGATCAGGTTGAAGCGGCTCTGAAGCCGGCTGGAGATCACCGTCCGCCCACCTCCGGGGGGCCCCATGGCTGCCATCAGGAACATGTCCTGCGGGGAAGGCAAACAGCCCCGATCAAACCGAGGGAGATGAAACGAAGTCCTCTCCCGCCCGCGCCCCCCCCCATGGAAGCGCCTCGGCAGCACGGCAACTAAAGGGTCCGGAGGGACCCCGGGAGGGGAGGGGAGGGGAGCATCGGGCCGTGCACAAGCGGGGGCAGTATGGGCGCAGGAGCGGCACGTGCCGCCCCCGAGCCGGGAGAGGCTGCCGCGCACGCCCACCCCTCCTTCTCGCCCCCTGTTGAAATTCAGATGCGCAGCCGCCCAGGAAGCCGCCTCAATTATTCCAGGCACACCTGTCTCTGCTCACAGGCCACTGAGCGCCCAAACAAGAGAGGGGCTCGCCAGGCGACCCGGGAGGCGCGCCATTCCCAGGGACGTGGCTGGCCTTCTCGGCCGGCCCGCCCGCCCGCCCTTCAGGCAACGTCTGTGGGGGATCAGGCCTGGGCCGAGGGTGCAGGATTACCCCCCTCCCCGTATGGCCCTGAAGCGGTTCTGGGCACCGCGAGAGGGAACGGCTGGCCGCTCCTCCTGCGCTGAGCCCCCTGCCCGGATGCCCTCCTCCCGCTGCTGCGGCCACGTAGGAAAAGGGCCCGCACGGACCCCCGCCGGGCCCCGGCACGGCCACAGGGCAGCTGCCCAGAATCCCCAGCAGGAAGAGGGAGCACAGCCCGGCGTGGGCACCGCTCGGGGGGGGGTGCCCCTCCCGCGCCCCTCACCTTGATGTACTTGATGGTCTGCTTGGTCCGGTCGTACCAGAAGCCGTAGTCCAGCCAGAGGCGGAGCAGCTCCAGCGGCGGCTGGGAGCCGAACGTGTCCTTGGCCGGCATGTTGAGGTCGTCCATGAAGGTGACCATGCTCTTCCCGCCCAGGGGCACGTACACCCCCTTGGTGCGCTTCTCCACGCGGCTCTCAATGATGCTCTGGACGTTGTTCGAGGTGGTCTGCGGGGGCAGGGGTGCTGTGAGGGGGGCGCGGGAGGGCTGGCCGCGTGCAGCAAGCGGCTCTCCCCACACCCTGGGGGACCTGACCGCCAGCCAGGCTCCACCCCGGCTTCCCCGCGTCCGGGGCGGGGGGCCCGGCGGGGGCGTCACCTGCGCAGACATGTTGATGACCAGCACGGCCCACTTGGTGCCGTCGAGGGACTGCAGCACGCCCTGGGCCACCGAGGTCTTGCCCGTGCCCACCGGGCCCACCAGCAGCACCGGGTTCTGGTGGGAGATGAGGGCGGTGACGAGGTAGTTGTAGCGCACCGTGTCCACGGTGGGGACGACGATCTTGTAGAAGGGGGCGCTGGAAGGAGCAGGGGGTGAGTGGCCCGGCCTGCACAGGGCAGCAGGGGGCGGGCCGCGCCGCAGGGTCCGGGCGCCCGGCCCGCAGCCCCCACCCCCCGCTCCCTCCTGCAGGAGAACGCCGGGGCGTCCACCCCCAGGGCCGTGACGGGCCTGTTGGATGCGGCTGTCACCGCTCCGCGACGGACACCGGCCTAAATGCATGAAGACATCCGACACGGGACGCGATTCGCGCGGCTGCCATCCCCGCCGGGGCCTGACAGCTTGGAAGGAAGCCACTGTTAATGAAGCCTTGTCCCTCTGCCCGGCTCCTGACGCGGGCGGCCAGCAGCCCGCGGCAGCTCGGGGACCACGTTCCGGTAATTTCAGGCCACTGATCGGATTAGGGAGTGAGGGGAGGTGGGGTGGGGAATGAATCTGAGCCCTTGGCTCAAGGAACAACCCAGTGGTGTGAATCGATGGCACCAAGAAACGAGGCTGCTTGGTGCCAGGAAGGAAATGGAGATGGGCCGGGGCGGAGGCCCCCCAGGGGTGAGAAAGCATGTGCCCCCCAATGGCTCACAGGCTTCAACCAATATCTGCCCCCCCCCCCGCCAAACTTGTTCCGTTGCCTTTCAGAGCCATCTCAGCATCGCAGTGGCCCTAAGCAGGTCTCAGGCCAGAAAGTTGCACAGACGAACTGCATTGTGTGAGAAGATCCCCCTCTGATCTGCCCCAGAGCTGCTCCCCGCCACCCACGTCCGAGCCGCCTTTGGGACACGACCACAGGAGGAAGAAGGTGCGACTTTTGGGGGAGCCAGGCCCGCTTCCCGCCCTGCTCCCCAGCTCAGGCTGGCGGAGGGGCCACGGCTGCCTCTTGGGCCAACTCACTTGGGTGGGTATCTCCACATCTTGGGGAGCATGTCCTCAAAAGAAGCCCACTGCTTCCGCTTGGGGTCCACGTAGTACTCATAGACTGTGTCCTGGGCAGGAGGGAGGGAGGGAAGGTCGTGTCGGTCGCGCTGCCTTAGTTCCACCGAAGCCCACGGGGCAGAGGGGCAGGAGTCTGGCCCTCCAGGCCAACACTGATGGGATCCCCAAAGGTTCAGGGAGGCTCCCAGGAGGCGCTGGGGACCCAGCCTGGGCACTGCCCATAGCCCCCAGCGAAGGCACAGCCGAGATGCCAGATAGCAGAAGGGGCTGGAACTCGTGCTGGTCCTGGGCAAGGGGCTGCAGGCGGAACTGGAGCAGGACCGCAGCCTCCCAAGGATGGGAGAGGAAGCCGGAGATGGGCAGAAACACCACAGAAGGGGCAATGCCCTTCCGGCCTCATTAGCACTCTGGTGCTCGGACCCACTGAAAATCCCCTTCCCCTTCTCCTTCTCACACGGCCCCACTCTTTCCAGATGCCCGACTTCCTGCTTGTTTTTCACCCCGCTTTGTTCTGCCCGACACGGCATCGCCAGGACTGTGGGATCCAGCCCAAGGGCGGGCAAAAGGGAGTGCCCCAGATGGGTTGGGCTTCAACCCCCAGAAGCTCCTGCCAGCGTGAGGGATGCTGGGAGCCGTACTCCAAAACATCTGGAAATCGCTTTCCTAGACTAGCCCTGCAAGGCAGAAACGGTCAACAAACCTTGTTGGGGAAGGAGCCCTCCATCTCTCGAAGGAAGCTGTCGATTTTCTTACGGCCCTCCTCATCCACGGCGGCACACAGCGACCAGATCAGGCTGAAGATAAAGTACATCTCCACCACGGTCAAGTAGTTCTCGCTGTCTGCGGGATTCAGCTGCACAGGGAAGGAACAGGGTCTGGCCCTGAGCCGTGCTCGGTTCCCCGGGGAGTTCTTTCTGGGGGATCATTCCAGCCGCTGGGAAGGGATGAATCCAGGGGAATCGGGGCAGGCCAAGGGCATGAAAGGCTTCTCTTCCAGCACTGAGCCTGGCCCTACGTGGAGTGAGCCTGACGCGTCACCTTTGCTAAGCTGGAGCGGCACGGGCCCGCAGCCGGATGGGAGACCACCTGTGCGGGCGGAGCAGGCCCCTTCCCGCTCGACCTCGCATCCGCTCTAGAATCTGATAGACTCAGAGAGACACGGGGAAAGAGAAAAACGTTCTTGACTGGTGCGCCTTATTTTATGTCTCGGCATGAGAAAGCACAGCAGGGGAAGGCTGGGCAGGCCGAGAGCTCGTTTCAAAGTACTGGGCAGCATGTAACGCACGTCTGTCCGTGACCCCGGACAGCACGGTAGGGCTGCCTGTCAGGGCGGCATGGTGAGAGCTCGGGGTGATGCCCCCCAGAATATCCTGCAGAGTCCGGAAGCCGGGCCTGCCCGCCACCTACCCCGTTCTCTGAGGAAGCCAAGGATGAGAACAGCTTGCACAGAGCCACGATACCGCTGTATTCGGGGATAGGGACCAGCTCTTGGCAGTTCTCTTTCTTGAAGGTCAGGATCTTGTTGGTGAATTTGTCAAACATGCGCTGCAGGGTTTCCGCTTCAACCTGAGAAGGAGCAGAGCATGAAAGCTTGCGTGCCGGCTCAGAGCAGAGCTGGGCGACCGAGGGGCGTCCGTCTGATCTCCTCCCTGGCCATTTGAACCCCCACCTGCCCAACCCCTTCCTCCTCCTACACAACCTGTCCTCCGAGTTCCTCTCTTGCCCTGTTTCAGGGCTCCTACAACCCCGACCCGCCCCTCAAAGCCCTTCAAGACGTCCTTATGCCTCTCAGCCCTCGCGCGAGACTGTCAGGATCCGTCCTGCCGTCGCTCCCTCAGGCCGTGCCCATGAAGGACGGAGCAGCGGAGCTATGCCAGGAGAGAAATCAGCAGGCAGGCAGGGAGAGCTGCCTGATCCAGCCACCCTCCGGAGGGGCTCCCCTCTCTACTGCCCCAGAACTGCACCGGCCGCAGATCCGGCTCTTCTCCGCAAGCACCTTTGGGCGTTTCTCAATCCAGGAGGAGACGCAGGGCTTCCAGCCCAGGTCGCTGTAGTCCGTGTACACCATCCCGCACCGGGAGACGGTCGCAGGGGAAGCCACTGCCAGGTTCTCCACCTCAAAGAGCAGCGAGACCTGGAGCGAGGGGGCAGCACAGGCGGCCGGTCAGACCTGAGGGAGCGCCTGCCGGGGGCGGCGCCACTTGCGTGAGCCGCACATCTCGCTCACCTGCTCGGGCATGGCGATCCTCTCGCCGTTGATCAGGGTGAGCACCTTGTTGTCATCCATGACCGAGTTCATGCTCTCGATCCACAGCGTGTCCACGGGGCCGTCAAAAAGGATCCACTTCTCATCGGGCTTCTCATCTATGCAGGGCAGGGCGGGTGGGTGGGTGGGGAGAGCCCTGCTGGATCCCCGCTGGACCCCAAGCTTCTGGGACTAATTCAGCTCCCCAACACCAGCATAGAGGTACAGAGGAAAAGCATGGGAGAAGCTCGGGAGTCAGCGCTGATCTTTTAAGATGCTTCTGCCTCAATGAGAACTAGAAGCATTACGTGCCAAACGCGGGGGAGTGCAGGCATCTGAGAGGCGAGGGCTGCCCGAAGCCCCGCGTGCAGCCTGCCAGGAGGGCCGGGGAGGGCAAAGGGGGGCTCGGCCCACGCAGCACCACCCACAGAAGAGAAGCACTCAGCCCTGGCCCCGCCGCGGCCGCCATGCTCGGGGGCTCACACGCGCCCGCTGGGGCCCGGCAGGCACAGGCAGCTCAGAAGAGCAGCTGCAAGTCTCTTCCAGGGCTGCTCCGAAGAGGCTGGCTGGCTCCAGCACACCGAGTGCCAGCTCGCTCGGTGGAGAGTGACTGGCAGCGGAGGCTGGCACCTGGCACGGCCAAGACGGGCCTCCCGGAGGGTAAATACCTGCGCAGGCTTCACGCATGACGGAGGCCAAAATGCCTCCGCAGCGTTCGCAGGCGGTGGCGCCGCACCTGCCAGACAGCTCTGTGAGGCGAAGGGCTTTGGAGCGGGGGGCTGGAACGGGGGGCCAGATGAGAGGCCCACGAGGCACCACGGCCGGGCATCAGGCTGACACGGCGGGCCCAAACCCCCTGTCCAGCCCCCAAAGTGCCCCCATCCAGGGGCTTGGGGAGCGAAGCGGGGCTGCCCTCGTGGCCCTGCCGGCCAGTTCTGGCCCCTCCGTGGAGCCAGGTGGCCCAGCGGCTGCAGCTTCAACAGGGCACCGGAAGGGATCCGACCTGCTGTCCCCGAAGCAGCCCGGCCCCACTCCTGCCTTTTCGCCCCTCACCCGCCCCCACCAGCTTTTCCCCTTGGGGGATTCCAGCGGCCCGCTGGCATGGAGAAGTGCTCGCCTCCCTCTGCCCACACGCCGCCAGGCCCCGTCCTCAATTATCATAGAGATGGGGGTCAGGGGAGGGCCTCCGCACCCCCCCCACATTTCCTCCAAACTGCAGTGCCCGCCCCGTGGGCCCTGGAAGAGCGGCGCCTGCAGGGGGCCACCTGCCCGCGTGCAGAGATCCGCCTGCGCCCCTTGGAGGGGGCCATCCGCTGCCGGCATGGGGCAGCAACCCGGCCCTTCAGGGCAAGCCCCTGCAGGGCAGCAGCCTCCAGAGCCTGAGCCCCGCGCCCCACGGCGGGCGAGCCTTGCGCCCGTTGCTGCATGGGGCAAACACGCTCCAGAGGAGAAAGCACCCCAGGTGAGGCGGCAAGGAGGAAGAACGGCACAGGCCGGCCCGAGGCAGAAAGGAGGGGCGGGAGCTGCGGCAGGCCCAGGCCGGGCCCCGTGCCACCCCCATTCAGCCGTGCCCCAAGGGGTGGGCTTTATGCTGTCCATCTTTCAGCCCCAGCCTGGCGGCAAGCGGCCTCGCACCCAGGGCCCCAGCAGCCTCTGCCCAGGCTCGCTGGCGCCACCTCCAGGCTGGGCTGCGAGAGGCCTCTGCCCACCCCAGCCCAAAAGCACGAGCCCCTGGCCCCGACCGACGCTGCTGCAAGGGCCTCGCTCTGTGTTGCCTGGGATGCGCGAGGTGCCACCGGGCAGAGTGGCACCGTGCCCCCTCCCGGGCACCCAGAGCCCTTCTGAAACCGGCCCAACAGCGAGGCCGCCTACCTGCGCAGGCCGCCCGCATGACGCTCGACAGGATCCCGTCCGACCACTCGCTGGTGTTGAGGTCGTACTCTCCGTACAGCTCGCCCAGGGAAACAGCCTTGGGGTTCAGGGGGTACTCCTGCGAGCAGGCGTGCCGGCGGGCGGAGGGAGGGGAGGCGGCAGTCAGAAGCCGCGGTGGAGGGAGCCCCGGCCCCTGCCCTTGGGGGCTCCGCTGCCGGAGCAGCCACCAGCCGGGGGACGGGGCAGTGGTGCAGCAGCCCCGCTCCGTGGCCGGCGGGGTCGGACTACCAGGCTACACTCGCCTCCCGGCCAAGGCAAGAAGGCGGGCCTGCCCTCGGCCAAACGCCGTGCCGCCCCGGCGTGGCCCCGGAGCCCCCGGAGGCGGGGGCAGGCGGAGGGCCCGAGGGAAGGGGCCGCCGGCGCCCGCGACTCACCCGGACCAGGTTGGCGGAGGGATCCCCGCCCCGGTGCAGGCTGCAGAGGGTGGCCTGCAGGGCGCGCCAGGCGACCGTCTTGCCACTGCCGGTGTTGCCCACGATCATGGAGGAGTGGCGCGAGTTCTTGGTCTCGTACAGCTGGATCACCTTGGTGGTGGTGAAGGGGATGGGCTGCAGCCCCATCTCGCGCAGCTCTCCCTCCAGCACCTCCTTCAGCTGCGGGGGAAGCGGGCCTCCTGAGGCTGGGCCGCCTCGTCCCCCTCCCCACACGGGGGGCCGCGGCCCGGCCCGGAGCTGCCGGGGAGCGTCCCGGGGAGCGGCCCCGCGAGGGAGCAACACCGAGCCCCGGGCAAGCCCGGCGGGGAGGGCCGGGGAGGGCCGACCTTGCCGTAGTCGATGGCGGGGCACTCGATGCCCGGGAAGAGGTCCTGGATGATGGCGCTGAACAGCGGCACGTCGTTGGAGGTCAGCTTGGCGATGTTCATGTCCTTCATGGCCATCAGCAGCACCTGGGGGCGAAAAGCGGGGGGGTCGTTCGGAGGACACGTGGGGAAGGGGGGCGAGGGCCCCCGCCCCCCGGAGGATCCGAGTGGGGCCCACCGTGGCGTCCCACCAGCCGCGTGCCACAAGGCCGCTGGCGGGAGGGCCGGAGACGCAGCCGCCTGCCCCACCCCCGGCTGGGAAGCCCGGCCACTTCCGCGCCCCGCCAGCTCCGCGGGGGGCGGGCCAGGGGGTCCGGGCGTGCCGGCGGCGAGGGGCTCACCTCCTCGTCGGCGAGGTCCGGCCGCACGCGGCGCTTCTTCCCGGCGTAACGGAGCAGGGAGGTGAGGGCCCGCAGGCCGAAGTCGTAGTGGTCCTGCTTGGACAGCTGCTGCACGGCCAGGCAGTACAGGGTGTACACCTTCTTGGCCAGGACCTGGAGGACAGGGACCATCCGTGGGGCTCGCCCGGCCCCTCCGCAACGCACCCCGCCCACGGCACCCCCCGGGCCGCACGGCCGCCCAAACCTTGCAATTGTTGAAGCCCTCGCCGAAGAGGATGATTTCGGCGATCAGCGTGGAGTCGGGCACGACCATGGAGATGGGCCGGAACATCGACTTCAGGTTGTCGGGCAGCTCCGTGCGGCCGGCGTAACCTGCCGGGCGGGGCACACCGGAGCTGAGCGCCGGGAGGGGGGCGCGGCGATGCCCCCCGCCACGAGCGGTGCCGCCGCCGCAGCCCACCTGGGTTCATGGTGATGAAGATGCCGCAGGACCACACCAGGTTGATCTCGTGGCCCTCGAAGGCGAAGCGCGTCATGTGGGCGGCCAGGGCCGAGAGGATGGAGAGGATCTGCTGCGCCACCACTGACAGCACCTCGATGTTGATGCGGTTGAACTCGTCGAAGCAGCCCCAGGCGCCCGTCTGAGGGCAAAGCCACAGGCGTGGGGCACGGGCGGCGGGCAGGCCGAGCGGCGCTCCGGCAGCCGCGGGCTCGGGGCCCCCCGCCCGCCCGCCCGCCCGCCCACTGGGGCCCCTCACCTGCGCCAGGCCAGAGTACATGCGCCCCATGGACTTGTAGTCCAGGCCCTCGGAGCAGTTCACCACGATCACGTACATGCCCAGCGCCTTGCCCAGGTCCTTCACTGTCTCGGTCTTGCCCGTGCCTGCGGGGCCCTTGGGGGAGCCGCCCCGGTGCAGGTGCAGGGCCGTGGTCAGCGTCATGTAGCACCTGCGGAGGGAAGGGGGACCCACGCCTCGCACCCTCTCCCCGGCGACGTGCCCGCCGGGGCAGGGAGAGTTGGGAAGACGCTGCGGGCGTCCCCCTGGCCCCTCGTATTCCTCCGTGCCCCCTTCCTCTCCCCAGACTCCCTCCGTCTTCCCAGCCGATTCCTCTGCCGGCCAGTCCAGGCAGATCGCGATGGCACGCGTGGTGCCCGTCACCCAGGTCCTCCCGTGCACGCCCCTCGTCAGCCTGCGCAGCCCCCGTGGCTGCCGGCTGGGAGGTACCTGTCCGTGAGGGGAGTGATGACCAGGCGCCCCGAGTTCCCCAGGTACTCATAGCCGTACGCAAACTGGGTGTTGGTCTGCCGAATCACACAGTCGTCCAGGTCCTGCAGGGAGAGCCGGCGAGGCCACGGATAGTGGCCCCTTCTCAGTGGGCCCTCCGTGGCCCAGGACAGCCCCTTCCCCACGGGGTGGGTGGGGGGATGCTAAACCCAGGAGAGCAGTGCCGCGGGAGCACGAGGTGGCAAACTGGGGGGGGGGGGCACCCGCCACTTGCCGGTTTCTGCACAAGCACACGCCGAGGAAAGTGGAGGGGCTGGGAAGTGTCCCACCCGGGGGCCTGAGCCCCCGGGCTCAACCGCCTTCTCTCCCGCAAGCCCGGCTGGCAGGGCTCCGGGCCTCTCCAGGCTGCCGCACCAGCCCGCCCACTGACCTCCGCCTACCGGGCCTTAAAAGCCGCACAGGCAGCGTCTCCCCCGTCGAAGCAGCTGCTTCCTAGCTGCAGATCGAGCCCTGGCCCGGGACCCTGGCAGATGGCCAGCGCCCCAGCCCCTGGCATGCCCCACCTCTGCAGCCACCCGGGCTCTTGTGCGCCCCTCGGCTCCGCTGCCCCTCATGCCCTCGCTTGCTGTCCTGGACCGCTGGGCCCCTGCTGGTTCCGGACCGGGACCCTGCTTGGCCCTGGAGCCCAGAAAGCGGGGCCTCACCAAAGCGAGGGGTGGCCACAGCGGAAGGGGAGCCGGCGGCCCCCGGCCCCCGTGGCCAACCCAGCCTTCGCAAGGGCCTGCCCGCCAGGTGCGCCCAGGGGCGCGAGGGAGATGCTCCGGCCCAGGCTCACCCCGTGGCCAGCCGTGACACTCCTGCGGTGTCAGGCCCCAAACCGCAGCACGCGGAGGGCGGTGGTGGAGGCGAGGAGGGGCGCCGGGCCCAGTCTGGCCAGCAGCGGGCAGCGCAGGAGCTCGTGGCCGCCTCGGGCGCCCGCCCGCCCGCCCACACCCCGACACGCGCCCAGGCCGGCCCGGCTGGCCGGTCCCCGCGCAGCACGGGCTCCCCACCTTCTCCCAGTAGAGCCGCAGCTGGCTGAGCCACTCAAAGGACGTCACGTCGATCAGGCCGCTCTTGTAGAGCCTTTCGATCACATCCCGGGCGTGGACTTCCACGGTCACCAGTGCCACGATCTTCAGCCGCATGATCTTGGTCAGGTTGCCCCGGATGGCCTCCGAGTACTTGTTGAGCATGGACACCTGCCCGGGGGAGGGAGGCCTGCGCGTGACGGAGCCGTCGGCCAGCAGGGAGCATCAGAGCGCCGCGTCCCGAGGCAGCCCACCTCCGAACAGGCTTCTGGGCGCAGGAGGAGGAGGAGGAGGAAGGCCGCCGGCCCCCTGTCCTGCACGCGGCCTTCCCAGAGGTGCCCGAGCAGCTTCTACCGCAGGTGGATGCTGGTCTGGACGGATCCGGGCCCCCCAACCCTCCCGAGCACGACCTGAGCAAGTCTGGGCTCCCCACTTTGTGGACGACAAAGAGCCGGGTTGGGGGGGTGGGGCAGCTGGACCGCGTGTGCCGGGACTCGGCTGCCCCTGCAGCCACGCAGGCAGAAGGGCAAGGGCCGGGGAAGCGCCTGGAGAGCCAGCCGCCGGCCCTCACCTGCCTCTTCTTCATGGCCTTGAGGTACTTCTTGTCCCCGCGTTCCTTGCACGTGGCCAGGCACTTGCCCACGTCTGCCGTCCACTGGATCTGGCTTGCCGTGATCACCATCTGCGAGGCAAGGCGAGGCGGGGAGAGAGTGAGGGAGAGGGCGAGGAGAGGTGTGGGTGCGTGTGGCCTCCAAGCACACCTTTACCCTGAATTCCTCAGCACAGAGCCGCTCCCCCCTCCCCCCCCCCGGCTCTCCCCGTTCTCTGGGGCTCCGGCCAGAAAAGGGCTCTGCGTGGGGCAAGGGAGATGCCCGGCTCGGGGGGCCAAGTCCTCAGCGGCCTCTCCGCCCTCCCCTTGGGGGACACGGTTCACCATCCCACGTGCCAGACAGGGCCGCATGCTGCGTGAGCGCACAGGGTCCACGGGCCGGGGTGCCCCCACCGCCGCTCACCTGGCCGGGCCACTCCTTCACCCACTTGTCCCGCTTGCCCAGCATCTTCTTCAGGGCCAGCCGGCAGCTCCGCAGCACCTCGCGCAGCGTCCAGCGCATGGCCCGCTCCACGTCACACAGCCAGTCCTGCGGCACAGCGGCGCCGGGTGAGCCCCGGCCCCCCGCCTCGGGGGCAGGGCAGCGGGGGCCGCGCCAGGGGCGGGGGGTGGGCGGAGGCTCTCGGGGCCCCGGGGGAGGGGAGGGCTGGGAGGGGGGCACGCCGGAGCACCCCGACCTGCTCCCTGGCCTGCCTGCGCCCGGCGGCCACCGCTGCGGACCGGTAGGGCCGCGCGACACACAGTGAGCGGCAGGGACATTGGCGAGGGGGCGGCGGGAGGAGCGGGGGATCGGGTGCCTGGCCCCCCACGGAGACCTGGGCTGGGCGGCCGATGCTGCCACCGGGCTCGGCCTGCCCCCCCGGGCCACAGCCGCACCCCCAGCCAGGCGGCGCAGGCGTGGCGGCCCTTGCTGGGCGCGTGGCCGGCCTGGCCCTCGCCACCGGTGCCTGCGGTGCTCGGAGCAGGCCGGCCCGGGGCCCGGGGCCCGGAATGGGGCCGGGGCCGGGCAGGTGCCGAGGAGGGCGGGCCACTCACCTCCACCGGCCCTTCCAGCAGCACGGCGTGCGTGAAGTCCACGTACTCGCCGTCCAGGGAGTACATGCCCAGGGCTTCGGACCGGCTGGTCGTGCCAATCTGAGGCCAGAGAGAGGGTGAGGCCGGCCCGCCACGGGCTTCCCCCACGTCGCCGGCCGCGTGCCCGCCCAGGGAACCCGCAGCACGGGGGGCGCTCGGCCCGCCCACTGAGCCCGGGGCTGGCAGCGGAAGGGGGGAGGCCCGGAAGGCGCCCAGGGGCACGCGGGGGACGGGGCGGGAGCAGGGTGGGGCGGGGCGGACCTTCTGGATCTTGAGGGACTTGATGTTGTCGAAGCACTTCTTGAGGTGGGGCTGGATGGCCTCCGGGTTGCGCGACTGGCCCAAGATCTCCAGCAGGTCGTCGTTGGACAGGAAGTAGAAGCGGGGAAACATGTGCCGCTTGGTCTCCAGGTACATGTCGAGGGACTTCTGGATCTCCTCCAGCACGCCGTTCATCTCCACCAGCTTGTCCAGCAGCCCTGCAGGAGGCGCAGAACAGTCGCAGGCGGCCCCGGCCCCCCGCCCCCCCGCCCGTGGGTCCTGATCGCTCCCAGGCACGGTCCCCGCGTCCTCCCTTGTCCGGCACTGGACCCCCGGGGAGTCCCGCGGCCCCCAACGGCCGAGCTCCCTGTGGCGCGGCCCCGTGCCAGGGCCCCTCCAAGCCGGGCTCGGCCGCTCTGGCTGGCAGCGGCGCCACAGGCTCTCCGGGGAGGGCCCTTCCCGGCACCCGGGCGGCCTTCAGCGACCGCGAAGACTTGGACGCCGTGCCTGCGCGGCATGGGCCGGGCGCGCCGAGCAACATGCCCGCCGGCACGCCCGGAAGGAGCGCAGCCACCTGGGTAGTGCGTGGCACGCAGGGCGTTGCTGTCCTTGACGAAGCGGTCCATGATGCTCTTCCAGCTGCTGTTGATCCTGTCGAAGGAGGCGGACTCGCCGGGCAGCTGCTTGCGGATGTCCTCGCCCAGGAAGATGTTCTGGCCAGAGGCGGGAAGAGGAAGACGGAGGGGAGGTTGCCGGGTTGCGAAGCAGAGGTGCCGCTCCTCTGAGCCAAGGGCCCCCCACGGCCGCCTCGCTTTCCCCACAGAAGCGACAGAGAGAACCTGGCTCCCCCCACACGGGGAGGAGGAACCCGCTGAGCGTCCCTCAAAAAGATGGCCGCGCTTTCTGCACGGGCAGGATTCCAACCCCACACCTGCCGGGCTCCCTGGGGACGATGGGCAATTTCCCTCTCTGCAGGATGCCTGGAGGGAAAGCATGTGGCTTTTTCTGCCCGGGAGAGAGGCTCTCTGCGGGAGCACGAAGCGAGCAGCCAGTCCTCTGCGGGGAGCCCCCTCCGTTCCCTTGGAGGATGGGCGGCTGGCCGCCCTCCGCGGCGATCCCCCCGCCCTGTCCTGCGAGCCCGCAGCACCCCTGGGAGCGTGTCCGCTGACGTGAGGGGAGGGGAGGAGCTGGGCGCCCCTCACCTCCAGGTACATCCACTGCCGCTGCACCGTCAGCACCATCTCGATCACCTCCAGGATGAGGGAGAGGCAGCGCTCCCAGAGGTCCACGTCCTTCTCGAAGGGCTTCACGAAGCGCGAGGCCTTCATGGTGGACAAGGCCACCTGGTTGTCATCCAGCGCCTGGAAAACGTCCTCGGTGCCCCTGCAGACAGAGGGGCGCTCAGGGGTGCAAGGAAAGTGGGGTTCTCTGTGCACCCCTGCACACACACGCACACACAGAAGACCTCTGAGAGCAAAGATAGGGGCCGGCGTGAGGAACCTGGAAGCAGCCCCACGTGCCACCCACAGGCCCCGAGACAGGGCGCTCTGCAGGAGAGGGAGGCTTTCCCTCCTGGGTTTGCGGACACCCAGCTTGCCGCCCTGCCTCCTGAGCACAGGCGAGGGACGCCCCAGGCTCACCTAGCGGAAAGGAAGAGTTGCCAGACTGAACTCTCCTCCAGGGTGGGCAGATCTGGGGGAGGCCTGGAGGGGGCCAAGCAGAACGCCGGTTGCAGAACCGCCCCTGGAGCACACGGGGAGATCTGCCCCTGCGCCGTTGCTCGGGGACCCAGGAATGCACCAGCCCTCTCAGAACCGCCACCACACTCTCCCTGCCAGATTCCGCCACAGGAAGCCCTGAAGAGAGGCTGTCTTGGAGCCCCCCGGACCTGCTGCAGGCTGCACTTCCACAGGGGAAGCCATCCGGAAAGCCAGGCCCGACAAAAGGCGACGAACAACTCAGGGTCATCACAAGCGTGCAAGTCACTCAGTTCCTGCATTCTGTTTTATGGGGAAAATGCACCCACCCCCTTCTGTTCCAGTCACGGCACGGAGGGCAGCAGGCAGCGCCCCGGCATTCACAAAAAGCACCCCAGTTAATAAAACAACAGCCCCACCGAGTGCATAATCGCACAACCATGCTTTTCCAAATCAGAACAAGAGCTGCCATAAAATCACCCACAAGACCACCAAAGGTCCCAACCAGCTGTGCCTCCACTGCCGGCCGGCCCATGGAACAGGCCACAGAGGGCAGGCAGGTCTGTCGCGGGCGAGGGGGTCCCAGGGCTTCCCTGCCTGGGCCCGGCCCCACCACGGCTTCCCACACTGCGGACAGAGGCCGGGAAGCCACTGAGGGCCACGGCGGCCCTTGCACCGCCCAGCCAGGCCCCCAGTGCGCCCAGCCGCTGCTCACAGGGAGTTCCACACGCACACAGCGCAGCGGCCCGGGCACCGAGCGGTCTGGCGCATGGGCTGCGAAGTCCAGGCCTGGCTCCCCAGCTCGGGCTTCGCTTGGCGAAAGGGCCGTGCTGCACGAGAGCAACCTCGTTTACCTAATTAGAGTCGTTATTGTTCCTGGGTCCCGAGAAAGATGGACAACGGACTGGACATGCAGCTGTGCTCAGCCTGGGACCCCACCTTATCAGACCAGTTAACGAGCTTACACTTAGTGTTATGATTAGCTTAACGAGCCTGTGCATTGCTGTATGCTTGGCTTAATTAGTGTAGGATACTGCAGCCTGTCAAGTTGACACGTGGAGTGGGAATATTTGGACTGGCCGGGATGGGAAGCCTCCCTGAGACACACTAACGGGAGGGGGAACTTTCGGCCAACGGAGTCCAGAGATGGGAACCGGCCTGTACGTTTCGCCTCGCTAACAGGTAAAGGGCCGGCCCCTCGCCCACGAGCCAGCTATGGGCGCCGGCCATTTCCCCTCCCGTCTGGCTCGGACACCACCACCCCCGAGGGGGCCCCGCCGACGGCCCACTCCAAGCGATTAGGGTCGCCCAGCCGCGCATCCGAAGCGGCTCACCGCTGAACCCCTCGCAAAGCTAGCTAGTACTTGGCCCGCTGCAGAGGTGACGACCGTTTCCCCCGTAAGTAGAGCTGAGCACTGCAGGCGGCTCCCCCGGAATCTCAAAGAACTCTTTCGGCCCCACGGCCACGCCGGGGCGCAAACCGAGCCGCACCTCCCCTGCAGCCCCGGCGGGCCTGGCACAGGGCCCGCGCCAGCTGCCCACCTGACTCGGTGGTGCCCCTTGTCCTTGTAGGGTATGATATCCAGAGTGGTCACGTCCCAGGTCCGGGAGATGTTCTCGAGGGCCTGAGGAGAAGGACGACGTGATGGGCCGGCGGGACTCCGACTGCCCCGCTCGACCCCCGTGGGCTCCACGAGCCCTGGGCGGGGTGCGACACGTCCCTCTGGGCCCTGCAAGGGGGGCCTGTCTGGCGTCTTCAGTGGGGCGGCCCAGGGGGCGAAGGGCAGGCGCTACCTGCTCGATGGCCAGCTCCTTGGTGGCCGAGGCAGAGATCTCCGCGACCTGCTCCACATGCTTGTCCAGGCCCAGCTCGACGATGTTTTCCAGCCTGAAATCCTCCGCATCCTGGTCAAATGTCCGGAGGACCAGATCCTTCACCTGGTCCCAGTGCCTGCGGGGACCCAGAGCATGCTGGTCCAAGGGGGTCCCAGGAGAGACAAGAGGAGCCCCCGCTGATGCCTCAGAAGACCCTCTGCGGGCTGCGGGTGAACCTCTCCTCCCAGCCCGACAAACCGCAGGACCGCCTCCGCCCCGCCTCCCTTGGCCAAGAGCCCGTTCCGGGCAAAGCAACCTCACCCGGGTCCAGAGAGCTGGCCCAGCCCCCGCCAGCAGCACCCCACTTCGCCTCGGGCGCCCCACCTGGCAAGGCAGTTGCAGAGCCACCGCAGCACGGACGCCCCCCCCCCGGCAGGCGTGACGGTGCCCACCTCTCCCGCAAGGCGGGGTTCCGGAGGTCCGTGACCAGGGGCATCGTCCGCTTGAACTGCTCGATCTTCAGCTTGGAGGTCTCGATGATCTCCCAGTTCCGATCCTCCGAAAACAGACGGCAGACGCCTGCTCAGCCGGGCAAAGCGGAAGGGGAGCCGCCTTCCGGCTCGGGCAGGTCAAACGCAGGGACCGATCGCCCGGCACGGTCCTCCTCTCAGGCGGGAAGGCGATCCCAGGGCTCCCGGGACAAGCCAGGTGGGGGCGCCGCTGGGTGCCCCGCCCTACCTTGAGCTCCTTGCTCAGCTTATTGAGCTTCCGGTACAGGGCGAAGGCCGTGCTCTCCATCACTTCCGTCCGCAGCGTCTTGAAGCTCCCCGTCTTCCACTCGTTCCAGTGGTCCTCCCACTCCTTCGAGATTTCCCACACTTGCTGGATGTAGTCCAGCTCCTGCCGGGCACAGCGGCGGCCGGTGACGGGAGGCCCCCCCTCGGGGCCAAGAGACCCGCCCCTCCCCCAGCGGCCCCGGCCGTGGGGCGCAGGGAGAGCGTCCCCACTGCCTCGCAGGGTCGACACGGGACGCCCCCTACCCTCTCCAGCTTCTGCAGGTCCTTCGAGGCAGGCTGGTCGATCTTGAAAATGCCCAGGTTGGAGCGGAGCGTGTTCTCCTCCTCCTTCAGGGTGGCCAGCAGCTGCCTCATGGCGGCAATCTGGCTCAGGGCGGCTTCGGCAGACAAGGTGCTGGTGAAGGGGCCTACCGGGGCAGGAACAGAGGCCCCGGTGAGCCCCGGCCTGCCTCCTCCTCCTCCTCCTCGCCGCTGGGCCGGCCCAGGCCGTCGTGGCTCAACAGCTGCATGGCTGGGGGCGTCTTGCCCGGCGGTGGGCACTCGCCTGCGGAGCACCAGCGCCAGGGCTGCCGAGTGTGGTGCAGCCGAGGCCTGGAGCCGGGGCGGGTGGGGGCAGAGAGGCCCGGCTACAGCCTGGCGGGGTGCGCAGTTCCTCGGAAGCGTGTCCCACCGAGATCAGAGGCTTCCTCCCCTGCAGCTACGGCCAGGCTTGTACCCTCATGCCGCGGATCGCGTCCAGGAGGAGAAGAGAAGCGACACAGCCTCCCCCCCCCCACCACTGGCCACCAGACGGTGGTGGGGCTGGATCTCCGTGCAGGGGGAAGCAGGGGCCTGGGCCGTCTTGCCCGCTGGGCAGGGAAGAGCGCCAGCCACCTCTGCTCCCAGGGCGGGCCGCACTCGGCTGCCCGTAGCTCCGGCCAGCAGGTGGGAGTGGGCAAAGCGCTCTTCTTGGCGTGCTTTCCAGGGCCGGGGGGCACCAACTCTTCGGATGAGGACTGGGAAGGCTGGGAAGTGGGGAGTGTGGAGACAGTGATGGCAGAGGAGGGAGAGGGCATCCCCAGGCCGCCATCTCCAGGTGCTCATGGAAGACGGCAGACCCTGGAAGCAAAGGGAGGGGGGAGGCCGGGCCGAGCCGGTCTTGTGCCGAATGCCATGGCCTGGCGCTGAGCCAGGAGGGGCGCAGCTCTGAGAAGGCTGGCCTCCCAGTTCTTCAAGCCCTCCCTGCTCCGGCACCGCGGTCGCCACACTCCTTGCTCCCAGTGCGAGGAGCTGGAGCCGCCCCGGCCCCGGAGGGCGAGCCAAGGGCAGCGGCCTGGTCCGATCCCGGCAGCAGGGAGCGGGGCGAGAGCGGCCTGGGCTGGCCGGCCGGCCGGCCACCCACCATTGGAGCCAAAGTCCTGCAGCAGGTTCTGGGCCTTCTTCTTGAAGTCATCCGCGCAGTGGATGAGCCCCGTCTTGAACTTCTCCTTGTGCTTCTTCAGCATGGCCTCGCTGTCCAGGAGGCACTGCTGGAAGGACAGCCACTCGGCGTTGAGCTCACCCAGCAGCTGCAGCACCTGCAACAGAGGAAGGGGAGCGTGGGGCCGCGGGGCGCAGGCCCCGGGGGCGAGGGGACGGCCGGCGCAGCCTCTCGCCGGGCAAGGACTCCCGGCCTCCTCGGGGTGGCCGCCCGGCACACCGGGGGGGCACCCGGGCTCTCCTCCGGGGGGCTCTCCGTGGCATCTCCCCTCTCGGCCACCCGGGCCTGGAGAGGTGCGTGCTCCCAGCGCGCTTCGGCACGACGGATGCCAATCCAATTTGCGCCCGCCTCGTGCCCTCATAAAAGGCATTTAACCGAACGCCGAGACTGCCTGCCTCGGTGGAAAAGGGGGGCGTTACGCTCAGGACCAGGCTAGCATGGAGGAGCCAGGCAGAGGTCGCGGCCTTGCTCGGGGCGGGGGGGGCGCGTCTGGGCGCCCTCCGCGGCCAGGGGCGTACCTCCTCCTCCACAGCCACCTCGTACTTCGCGAGGATGGCGAACTGCTCGTGGATGGGCGGGATCTGCCCCTCGATCTTGGGCAGCTCGTTCTGCAGCGTCTCGTGCAGCTGCAGGCTCCGGCCGAGCTCCTCCAGGGTCTGCGGGGGGCGGCTGACGCTGTGGGAGTAGGGGCCCTCCTTCAGCGGGGGGAGGCCGGCGCCCGAGGGCCCCCGTTCGGCCCCAGGCAGTGCCTCCCGCCCGCCGGGCCACCGCGAGGGCCCAGGACGGGCCGAGCCGCGACCCGGCTCGGGAGGAGGCGTCTCCTTGCGGCTCCGTCCGCGCCCGGCCCGGGGCCCGGCCCGGGGGCCCCGCACTCACCCGGCGGCGTTCTCCTGCAGGTAGGCGTGCAGCTCGCGCAGGCGGCTGCCGGCCATCTCGTTCAGCAGGCCGGTGAGCTTGCCCTGCCAGTCGCTGCAGTGCTGGACCACGGCCGCCTTCAGGTGGGAGCAGTCCAGCAGCACAAACTGGATGCTCAGCACCGTCTCCTCCTTCTGGACGTTGTTGGCCACCTCCATGTACCTGGGCACAGGCACCCCACGCCCCGTCAGCCGCTCCGCGCCGAAGGGAGCCTCCCGGCGGCGACCGCAGCCCGCCCCCCCCCACCTGGAGCCACCCCACTGCGCCTCCCCCGGGCTGCCTGGGGGTGCCGTCCAGCCCACGGGGGGGTGCAGGTCAGTGAGTGTCAGGGCACCATCTCCACGAGCCCCAGCGTGGTGAGCCGGAAGCCGCTGGGAGGCGCACACGCAGGGTCCAAATCAGCCGCGCCCCTCCGCCGGCCCCCATCCCAGGCCCCGACGTCCCCCCAGTGCAGCTGCTGGACCGTGCGCCCCTCCATGCCTGAGTGCTGCGGGCAACAGGGCCGGGAGCTGCCGAAATGCGGCGGACAGTCACCAAACTCCGGAGCAGCGGACACGCTGAGGTCGCAGCAATGACCCGCATGTACCGGAGTGTCACCTAGAATCCTAGAACAGCAGCGCTGGAAGGGGCCATGAAGGCCACCGGGTCCACCCTCTGCTGTCGCAGGACACCACGTCACACCAGCCCACTCAGAGGGCTGCCCGGTTTCCTTTGAACGTCTCCGGGGTGGGAGAGCCCCCCACCCCTTCGGGCAGCCGGCCCCACTGCCGTATTGCTCTGACGGTGAGGAAGCCTTTCCTGATGCCCAGCCTGAACCTGGGTTGTCACAACTTGCACTGATTATTCCGGGTCCTCCCAGCACCTACGTGGATGCGTCACGTTTCTGAATGAGTCACATTCTTCTAATCCTCACCCTCAGTTTGCTGCACCCCGAGAAGGGCATTACTTGACCCAGATCTAGAAGTCCCCCGATTAATCTGCTGCTTCAGGTTCGAGCCGAGTCAGCCGGAGGGCCGCCGAAGCATTCGGCATCCAGGGCAGCCCGTCTGGCCAAGCCCGGGCTGGGCCTCGAGGCCCTGGAAGCCCTCCTTCCACACGCCGGCACGATGCACACACAGCAAAACGGAGGCCTGCCACCCTCCGTCCTCTGAGCAGGCCAGCCGGTGTCCCACGGAGGAGGAGGAGGAGGGCCAGGTCCCCTCCAAGGGGCCTGCTAACTGAGATGTAGCTTTATTTCTGTCTCCCTGACTCATCGAAGCAGGGAAGGCCAGCAGGTGGAGAATTGTTCCAGCCCCAAGGGATCTTATTAAATCTTCCCGTTTCGTTAATTAATTCCCTGTCAATGGGTCACCGGAAACACAAAGCCAAACTTTATTAACAGGGAGACAAACAAAAAGAGCGGCGGCGGCGCAGTCCCAGAGAGACGAAGGGGACAATGGCAACCGCCGGGCCCTGGCAGAGACTGATCGGGCCGCGGCACCCTTCGCGTCCGCCCCTCGTTAGGGGTCCGCTCTTGCCTCCCCCTCACGCCGAGCCCATAAATTAGGTGTGTCAGGAACACCGAGTCAGCAGAGTGGGGAGGTGGGATGGAACGGCGCTGGGGGGGCGAGGGAGGGGCGCAGCCCCGGCTCGGGCACCGTGGCAGACGGCGGGTGAGGACAAACGTGGCAGGGCGGCCGGGGCTGATGGGCTCTCCTACTGACCTGCTGTGAAATGCGCCCCCGCCCCTGCCGCCCGCCTTCCGTGAGAGTCGGGGGCAGCAGGCGCTCGTGAGCCCCACCGGCGGAGGAAGTTCAAAGGGCGAGAGGCAGCCACGGAAGGGGCCCCACGGTGCCGCCTGCCCCAGGGACGCCCCTGGCCTGCCCGCGACCCCGGGATGCTGGGGGACCCTGCTCCGGCTGGGCAGCTCCCCAGCTCCCCCCCCCACAGCGGGCCGCAAGTGGCTGGCCCAGGCGCCCCCGGCCTGCCGGGCCCCTCTCGGATCCGCGAGCGGCGCGCTCCAGGGGTGGCGTGGCAGGGGAGCCGCGCACGTCGGAGTCTCGCTCCCCCTCCGAGGCACTCGACATGCTTGTTCAATGAATTATTAAGAGATTAAAGGATCAGGGATGGAATCCTTCTGCTTATCCTCTCCCATGTAGACACGGATTGCTCTTGGCCACGATGCCTCGTCCTGGGGACCAGCGCCGGATAACTGACTGGAGAGTGGGGAGGGGGGAGCTTGACCCGGCCTGCTGGGGGGCAACATGGCCCTTGCCGGCTCCCCCGCCTCGGCTCGGCAGAGGTGGAAAGGGCCTCTGCAAACCGGCCAGGAATCGAGGCAAAACGCACCCCTCATCCTCCCAGCCACATCCCCCCCCCCCCCCCCCCCGCCGCTCTCTCCAAGCTTCTTCCTCAGGCACTGGCCACACGGCCTCAGAGGACACTCATGGCCTTGGCTTCGCCAGGACCCTCCACGCGCCTCTGCTCAGTCCCACTGGCAAGCGCTCTGCACGTGCCCCGGGCTTGTTTTCCTCCCTGCTTCGCCTCTGCACCTGACCACGCAGCATCCTTCCCACCCATGTGCAGGCTGGCCGTCCAGTCCTGGAGTCGGCACCCCGTCCTGCCCCCCCGGCTCTCCTCCCCTGCTTCCGGCCGCTGAGCCACCCCTCCCTGGCCCCCTCAGTGCGCCTGCCCCTCCGAAGATGCCCCCTGGTTCCTTGGCTGGGCCTCCCTGGCTGCATTTTGCCGGCCACCACGTGTCCGGGCTTCCTCGCTGCTTTCCCCGCATGCTGAGGGCCAGGCAGAACACCCTCCGCTCAGGGACCGGCCCCACAGTGCCCACCAATGCGGCAAAGAAGGCATCCCGATCACCCCCGATGTGAGGAACCCTCCCGGGTGCTCCTGCAAGGGCCCCGGATCAAAGGCCCCTGCGGCCACACACGGAGGCCGCCCGCTCACGGGGAGAGGGCCTTCGGGGGGCCGCGCCCCCTCCGGGCATGCTCTCCCGCTCTCCAGCGAGGGCGGCCCTGCCAGGCAGGGTCTCCGAGGGAGGCCTGGGCTTCCGAGCCTATTTGCTTCCTCTCCCGCGGCAGCTGGATCTTGTTTACAAAGCTCTTAATGTGATGTCTCCAGGGGGAGAGCTGTACAAACATCCAACGTGCACTCAGACACTCGGTGTTTCTCTCCCCAGTTTGGGGTTTTTACAATCACTTTTGACATTTGCATGGAAACAGGTTTTCTCCTTCCTGCTGCTCATTCTCCCACAGCCATCGCTCAAGCTGCACCGAGCCCCAGCCTCCGCCGCAGAATGGGCAGGGCCGCTGCTGAGTGCCGCACAGCGGTGGCTCCTCCGCCGTCTGCCGCGTGCAGGGAAAGCGGAATGCCCTCGCCGGCAGAAGCCGCGGGGCCGAGGCGAGGGCCGGCTCTCTGCCCGCCTCCTCTCTCCCACAGTGCTTTGCTCCAGGCGGGAGCGCTCCCAAATCCGCTGCGGGGGGAGCACCGTGCGCCAACCGCAAACCGTGGCGGGCAGGACACGGGCCCTCCTGGCCACGTCCGCCCCACTGCCCACCCCCTTCAGCCAGCCGCACACGCTGCAACGGCGGAAACCGACGGCGGGACAGCCCTCCCTACCCTGGCCCCCTCCGACTCCCGGCATCCCCCAGCCAGCCAGGCTGGGGACGGCTGCTCCGGGACGAGGCCCTGCCGGCCCGCTGTCTTCGCCACGCAGACCGAGGCAATTGCGCAGGTCCCGTGGAAGGGGATCTGTGCCCAAACCCAGAGCGACGGCACCAAAGCACAGTGGCAGGGCCAGAGGTATGCCTCCTGGGATGGCACCGCCAGGGACCTGCTGCCACGCCTTGGCACATGGTCCTTGCCATTTACGTGGCACGCCAGCCCCCGGGAAGCCCACAGAGGCAACCGCCCCGCTGCTCCTCTCCAGTGGCCGTTTGCCGACTAGTCCTCAGCCACACCGGCACGCTCCCACTCACCGGGCCGTGTCCGCATCGAAGGAAGACACCAGCGGGTTGAGGTGCCGGTAGCGGTTGATAAAGGCGTCCTTGTTGACCTCCCAGATCTCGCGGTACACATCCCAGGTCTTCAGGTACGCCTGGAGGTGCGTTGCGTTGCTCTGCATGCCGCTGCTGATCTGCAGCTGGATTTTCTTTATCTCCTCATCCCGTTCTGCAGAAGGAGAAGCGAGCTCAGTGCCAGGACATCGCCGTGGCTCAGCGACAGCACCGCACCTTCCAGTGAGAATCCCTGATGGCGAGGCTCACCAGGAGAAGCCCACGGTCTCTAACAAACCCCCAAGAACCTGGATGTGAATTTGCCGATTCAGCTGTGCAACCTGTCACTAAAACTGCCCTCAGACTGCAGAGCTGAAAGATGGCCAACAAGCCCATTTTAAAAGAGAAGTCCAGGGGTTTCAGGAAATTACAGGGCACCCATACATTTGGGTGCTACCTTGGTGGAAGGAACGTGATCGAAAGGAACACGATCAAACCTGTAAAAGAACAAACCCTTGCTGAAGAAGGATCATCACAGCTTCTCCAAAGGAAAATCCCAGCTTCGGAGTCTGGGACTCAGACGGAACGTCCTTTTATGCATCATTAACGCGCCCATTCAAACGGCCCGTACCAGATACCGTGTCCAACAGCACCAACAGCTGCTAAGATGCTCAGGGAACCAAACTGCCACACTCTCTTGCTCCCTCATAGGTCGTTTCAGGGGTGGCAGAATCTGCTTCTCCTCCAGGGCCAGGCCTAAAGCCGACCGAAGGGGCTGCAGAAAACCCGTTCTGCCCAGGAGTGTCGCAGTTGGTCTGCGGCCACCTGCCCTGGCGTCTCGGCCGGGAAGGGAAGGTTGGCCGGCAGCCTGCAACTGCCCCCATCTGTCTTCAGAGTTCTGGGGAGGTTCTTTTGGGGCAGCCCAGGAACAGCTTCTTTCAGAAAGACTGGATCCACTTCCTCTCGCGAGGAGGCGCTGATCTCCTCCCGATCCCAGCTGGAAGCCCCCTCCTTTGTTGATGCACTGAGCCAAGATGGGCCGCAATTAAGCGAGCGGCGCCTGATGCACCTGCCCGAGCGCCTCGTGCGCGTCCTCAGGCCTCCGTGACGGAAGCTCATCCACAGAAATGGCAGCAGACGCTGCTCCCACCGACTCCACTGACGGCATCAACCTGCGTGGGAGGCCAGTGCCGTGCCAGAGGCAAGCAGCTCGGCCGTGAAAGCTGCTCAGAAAGGTGCAAGATGCCACAGCCTGCCCACGAGGCCTCCACTGCTCTTCCTCTTGGTCAGGGTGAGCTGATCTTCGCTCCCGAGAGGAATCAGTGCAAGCTGCAAGGATCTCTCTCCGGGCCACCAGAGAGGCCGGCACCTGCGCCTGGCTGGCCCTGGCATGGGTCTTCCCTCGACAGCCTCCCGGCCACCTGTCCCACTGCCCACCGCTCACAGGGGTGCCAAGGGACCGCCGTGGCTCCGCGTGGAAGGAAGGGGCACTTGGGGGCGGCCAGCCCACTGCCCAAATCACCCCGTGCTCCCCTGGGCCGGAGCTCCTGCCATGCCAGCCAGAAAATACCCCAGGGCCTGCTGGCCTAACCCCCGGGGCAAGTTTGAGCACAAAGCGGCCGCTGCCTCTCCAGGGGAGACACCTGACGGCCGTGCTGTCAGCCCCACGTGCAGAACTTGTGCAAAAGGCAAACTGCATTCTGGGAGAAAAGGCCGCCACGAAGAGCGCGTCGCACCAAAGCGGCTCTGGAGGGGCAACCCGGTGTGCCGCTCCAGCCACTCTCCACAGCAGGGGTCTTGGAGAGCCTGGGCCAGGGCACCCCCATGCAGAGGAGAGCGGCAGCTGGGGGGAGAGGAGACTGAGGCGCACGCACAGGTGCCGGGGGGGCGGGGGGCCGACTCTCCTCCGGCAACCCTAGTGAGAGAGCGGAAGAGCACGGCGACAGAGCCAAGGCCGAAGGGCCTGTTCCTGGAAGTCATTGCCCCAGGCAATCCGGGGTCAGGCTGCACGATGTGCCAAGGGCACGGCTTGCTTCTGTGCCGCTCGCTTGAAAGCAGCAGCCGTGGAGACCCCGTGGGGGCCAGGAGCACGGCGGCACTGGAGGGAGGGGGCTCCCCTTCCGCCCTGCGGCCTCTGCACCACAAGCCCTCACTTCCCCCAGGAAGGACGTGGCCCTTGCTGCCCTTCCCAGCTGAGGCCCTCCAGATGCGCGGGCCTGCAACGCCCGGGGCCCTCAGCCGGCACCAGCCGAGCACGTCTGGGGGGCCGCAGGTCGGGAAGGGGAAGCGGGTGCCGAGCCCACCAGCCCTTGCTCCCGTGCCAGCCGGTGCCTCTGGGGGCTCATCGGGGCGATTCTGGACCGCACGAGCCGGCAGGGGACGTGGCGCACACAGGCCTTCCTCGCGGAAGGCGAGCAAGGAGAGGCGCCAGCCAAGAAACCCGCGCTCTCTCCCCCTGCCAGGATTCGGGGGTAGGGGGCCGCACAGGCTCCGCATTACTCAAGCCTCCCCTTCCGAGGCTTCCTGGGGAGCTACCAGGGGGAGCGGAGCCAAAACCATGAATCACACCGTGACACAAACAAACCTCATGCACTGGCGTCTGTGAGGCAGGCGCTCCTTTCTGTCAAGGAAGAGCGGTGGCAGCAGTAGCCGGACACAGGAGCCTTCCTGGGCTCCGGCCCGGGGAAAGAGGCTGACGACGGACGAGACAAAAGCCAGGAGGCGGCCTGGCTCTGCGTGCATGCAGTCCGCACGCAGCTGCGGCCCGGGCCCTCTCCCCCCGGCCCACACTGGCTCCCTCGCCTCCGTTACCGAGCCCCCAGTGCCCACCTGCCTGTTCCAGGGCTGCTGTCTGGGGGCGCAAATGCTCAAAAGGCCCCGTAGTGCCCCCCGAGCTCACACACACAGGCAGGGCCGGGCTACTTCACCCTCTAAAGTTGAACGCACGCACGATCCACTGAGGACTGCCCCCTTCCACTCGCCTGGCTCCGCATCTTGCAGCAAAGGCGCAGGATGGGACCTGGCCTGCAGAGAGAGCCTTCTCTGTGGAGATGCCCTGGTGGAGGAACAGCCGTCTGGGGGGGGGGGGGGGGGGGCACGGAGCCCACTCCAGTGTCGTTTCAACAGCGAGGGAAGACGTCAGTCTCCTCAGCTCTCCCACCAGTTTACCTCTGCAGGGGCTCGTAAAGCGCTTGCCTGTGCTGGCTGGAGAATTCGGGGAGCTGCAGGGCCCTCTTCTATGCAAGCGGGCTCAGAATCACACCTTACCGTGTTTTCGTTCTCTTTTGAACGGGGGAGGGCGTTCTACACCTTCCCAGGAACTTGCTCATAGGTAGAAACTTCCGTACCGACAGAGAAGTAACGAAGGGCTTGCAACTGACCCGAATTGCTCTGCTGCCCCAGCCCTGGACCTGGCTGGACCCAAGGCGTGAAGCGTGGGGGACTGATGGCCCGCCTTACGAAGCAGCCAGCTTGTGGCAAGGAGTCGGCAAAGCCAGGGCTGCCTCCAGCCCTGCTGCAGGCGCGGGGGCGGGGGAGGGCTTACCCACAAGCGCAGAGATGGGATCCCGGGCAAACTTGCGCCTGATGAGGATCTCTGGCAGGTGGCGGAAGAGCGCGATGCTGGCAAACAGGTGCAAGCTGAGGTCGTTGACCATGCTCGCCAGCTGAGCCAGCGTGGGCGAAAACTCCACCTGTGAAAGCAGATGCCGGCAGGTCAGTGGAAAAGGCGAGGCACCTGGGGCGAGTCCCCCCACAGAGGAAGGGGGCCGGAACAGACCGAAGCCCCCTTCTGGTTCGCTCTTTTGAGAATCAAGGTACGGTACATCCCCTTGCCTCCAAGTGCTTCTTTTGCCCACCTGAAGGTATTCCAGAGCTCGAGGACACGACGTTCCCACTGGCCTCGGAACGGAAGGGCGGGAGAGGGGGCTTTCTGGCTGCTCTTTCAGAGCAGCAGCCCCGGGGCCTTCCTGAAGGGTCCAGAGCAAGTGGAGGTGGGGCGGGAGGGGAGGGGAGGGGCGGGCTCACCTGCGGGGCCTGGCCTGGGCAGGTGTCCTGCAGGATCACCTTCACCCTGAAGAGGGGGTTGGGGCTGGCCTTCCCGTCCCCATTGATGGCCTTGGAGAGCTGCATGAGGGACCACTTGACGTTCAGCCGCAGGGCGTCCTCCATCATCCTGTCCATCTTGACCGTGTAGTTGAACCAGTGCTGCTGCACCTGCGGAAAGAGCGTCGCAGGAGCCCTGCCGGAGCACCCGCCCCGCCCTCTGGCGCCCCTGGAACCGCGCGGGCAAGCGGGGGGACGCGCCACTCCGCCGCTGGGAAACCTGCTACCGCTCCCGGGGGCAAGCATCCTCCCTGGCACGCGAAGGGCAACGGGGGCCCTGGCCGGGTGCCCCAGCAGCCCCTCCCCAAAGCGCTCCCCATCAGGCTGCCCTCCCAAAGAAACACAGGGGCACTGCCCGCAGGAAGCTGGATGAGCACAGAGTGCGCGTCGGCTCCTCCCAGCGGTGCTCGGTTCACTCGCAGGGGCTTTATCTTTACATTACGTACTTCGGAAAGGACCCACCGGACCCGGGAGCGGCGCATCCCGCCCCGGAGCCCGCCCACCCGCCGTCTCGGCCTGCTCACCTCCGGCCCGTCGTGCCTGAAGACCTCGTAGGTCTGCTGCATGACAGCGACGCTGCTCTCGTGCAGGCCGAGCAGCTTCTTCTGCACCAGCTCCCGGTGCCCCTTCTGGTCCTCCTCGAACTCCAGGTCGTTGTACACCCGTTTGCCCGTGATGCGCACCAGCAGGGCCTCGCTCATCTGCTGGGCCCGGCGGGCGATGGCCAAGGTGGCCGCCTTGTACTCGTTCACGATGTTCTGCACCTGCGGGGCGGCCGGGACGAAGGGCCGTGAGCTGTGGGGACGGCCACAGCCCCGGCAGCCACGCTCCTGGGCGGGAGGCATCCCGCGGCCGTGCGGTGCAGGGAAAGGGCAGGCGCTCCCCGGCCACCGCGCCACTGGGAACGCCGCGGCGTCTCCCAGCCACCCATGGAGGAGGGACGGCTCCCGGGGCCAAGCTGGAGGACAGAACTGGCGGGAGGCGAGGGCTCACGGCTCAGCCCCGTCTCCGGAAGGCCCCGGGGGCCTCTTCCCCATCCCTCGGGCTCCTCGGCAGGCCCGGGGGTGCAGGAGGGGGCGCTCGAGGCAGCCAGGACCGACTCCGAGCTGGGGGTGCCTGCCAACCTTGCTGGCGTGCAGCCGGCACTCCGAGATGAAGACGGTGCTGGCCCCTTTGAGCGACCAGTGGAGCTTCTTCAGGCCGGGCTGGATTTTCCGGTCGAGGTAGCGGATGCGCTCCCGGAAGAGGCCCCTCTCTTCTGTGGACAGCATGCTGATGATCCTGAGGAGCCAGGACAGGAGCAGGGAGGAGAGGTGTGTGAGTGGGCGGGGGGGGGGGGGCAAGAGGTCCCGCAACAGGGCCAGCATCTTCTTTCCCTCCGACCAAACCGGCGGCATCGTCTGGGACGCGGCTGACTGGCACGCATCCTCCTGGTCACAGGGTCTGGAGGAGAGGCAGCCGCAGCATCTAAGGACAAGTGGTCCAACTGCCGAGCGAAGAGCATCATTGGGAAAGTGCTGCTGGGGGGGGGGGCAGAGGGCCCCTCCCATCCAGCCCTGCCCCCTGCAGCAGCCAGGCCGGTGCCTCTGGGAAGCCCAGAACCAGGACGAGAGGCCCGAGAGGTGTGTGATCTCTGAACACCACAGTTCGTGTGGTCTTCACAGCCAGCAGTCCTGGACGGACCTCTCCTCCTCCGCCTCTGCCTCCTAACTTGGTTAAATTCCTTTCATAAGCTGTTAAGCATCACCCTACATAATAAGAAAGGGGTAAACCCTCCAACCAAGTTTACATACAATGCTAACCCATGATCCGGGCTGATTCCTGGACTGTCATGTTGTGGGAACCTAGCCACACCAACAAATCACGGTTTGTAAATTACTAATATCCCAAGAAAAGACCCTAGTTTCTTTTTAGGTATTGAGCTCATGGCTGTTTAAACAATGGCTTGTTGTTACATGTGAACTCAGAACCGTGGGTTGTTCATGGGTTATTTTCCCAGGCTACAAAGGTAAGCAAGAGCAGTGAAAAACCCTAGAAGCCAGCAACAATAAGTGCCAATACCACACCACTAAAACATTCAGGATACATGAGGCAAGGAAGAGGGAATCAAACAACTGTAGCATTGAGAAAGCAAACCATATTTTGCTTGATCGTCTGTCATGCAAACCCTACGCAAGGCAACAAAACATGGGTGAAACAAATCATGGGTTAAGCATCATCATGGCAGTCTCCATGAAGCGGAATTTTTCTCCAGAGTTTCAGTCCATGTTTAGGGTGAACTGGAGGCTGTTCCCCAACCGTGTTAGCGATTAAATTCTAAATACAGAATGTCGATGTAATCCCAATTAAGTAACCCGGGAAGCAGAAGGGTGCGATTCCTTGGTGCATGTCACCTCAATCCGCTCGCATGCAGATGAGGATCCAAACCGGCGCTCGGTGCACGCCGGCCCGTTCCAGCCCTCCTCCCTCAGCCATCCAGGAGCACCTGTCGAGAACGGGGAAGGAACGCTGCCCATTTCTCTCCCGCACCACCAGCCTGGTCTCCAATTAATTCCCGAGTGGAAAAAAGCCAGCACAAAAGAAATGCTTACACTTGTGTCGGGATAAAAATACAGGTGCCAAGACAAAGCTCGTTTCAAACAACACTTTCTCGGCAGAGAAACGCCTCCATGTCACACTTCGGAGAAGATGGCGATAAAGCAAGCGCGCTCCCCCCCCACCGCCCCCGGTGCCAAACACACTTTCAAAACCGTCGTAAGGAATCACTGCATTCTGGTCTCCCCCTGAAGCTGGTCCCACCCCCAGGCGAGTGGGCCCCTGGCGCCACTGCCTCCCGACCCCATGCTGCCACTGGGGGGCGGCTGGACGGGGCAGGGGCCCGCCAGCGGGGCTGTTCTCACACCGCCGCTCGGCCTCATTTGCAGAATTTGCAGGAGGCCTGGGAGGAGATGCCTTCCCCTCACGTCCCTCCCGCTTTCCCATTTCCTCCCGTCTTTCTCCTGATCACAGACCATTATCTGGAAGGAACAGCTGAGTGCGTGGCACCGCTCAGAGTCCTGCCTGGGAACCAGTGGGTCAGCCCCAGAGCCCAGCTCCAGTCTCCTGTCTGGCACGTGGAGCGCGGCTCCGATCCGGGGCTGCTCGGGAGCGGGATGGCCGGAGGGCAAGCAGCGGGAAGCGAACCCACCCGTCCCCCGGCAGGTGTGCTGGCCCAAGGCGCGCGGCCGGGAAGGGCCCGGCTGCGGCACGGGGGAGCCGCACCAAGGGGGGGGACTCCCGGAGCGACGCACCCCTCGGGCCGCAAACCTGTTATAGTCGCGAGCCACGAGCAGGAGGTTCTCCCGGAGGTTGCGCAGGTCCTCCTTCCTCTCGTAAACCTCCACCACGTAGTGGGGGATCTCAAAGAGCACCCTCTCCCAGTAGTGAATCTCCACAAACAGCTTGAGCAGGTGCCTGGAACAGAAGCAGAGAGGGGCGGCATGAGGCGGGGTCCAGCCCACAGGCCCCCCCGCGCCGGCACACACGCACTTGTCGAAGTTGATGTCCAGCATGCCGGGCTTCTCGGTGCTCAGGACGAGCAGAGGGGTGTCCAGGCGCTTCAGGCAGTCCTTGTCCAAGGTCTGGGTCCACCCGTGGAAAGTCTTCCTCTCCATCTCGTCCATGGCCTGCACCAGCAGCTGGTAGCTCTGGAAGCTCTCCTCCCCGGTCCCGATGTGGGGGATGAAGTGGGCTTTGGTGAGGCACTGCCCGGAGGGAAGCGGGAGGCTCTCCTCAGGACCCGCCACGTGGGGGCCGTGGCCCTGGGGACCCACTCCCTTGCCCCCCTCCGGCGTGAAGGACACCCCTCGGCCCGGCAAGCAGGGGGGCGGCTCCCTTCGGAAGCAGGGAACACTCCAGCCGCCCGGCCGGCGCCACCTTGTCCCGGCTGCACATGGCGCGCCAGGGGCTCTGGTGGGGGGGGGCATCAGCCAAGGCCCCAGGGACTGAGCCAGGGACCCTCCGTGGGCAGACACAGAATGCAGACCAAGTCGAAGGCGCAGCCAGGTCCGTGCAGCCCCTGGCCCCAAATCAGGGGGCAGCTCTCCCTGCCAGCAACACCAGGCCCGTCCCGTGCTTTCCCTGGGCAGCCCGCACACCAGGATCCCACACCTTGCCTGGGAAGGGGTGCTTCTGGAGGGGCTGAAGCGAAGCGCGGGTGCGTGAGTGGGAGAGGAGGCATGAGCGCACCGGTGCACTCATGGGGGAGGGGGGCCCGGGCCTGCATGCTGCGGGAGAGCAGGCCAGTGCGATGGCGGCTGCGTCAGGCTCGCCCGCGTCCCCACGCTCCCGCAGCCCCGTCCTGAACGCAACAGGAACATTAGTTCACCGCTCGGTCAAGAGCGGGCGCAGACGAAGGGAGGACGCGAGGCCCCGGGTGCCCATTCGACTCTTTCCGGTGGGTGTAATAAAGAAAACAACATATGTCACCAAGAAAAATCAGGCCAGCTATTGGTGCCAAAATTAAAAATAATAAAAGAAAGCCTTCTGAAAGCACTTGCCGTTAGCAACGCTGACTCATCTGGGACATCTTGGTTCACCCAGCGTGACGGGCTCTCGGCCAGGACAGGCGAGAGCGAAGAGCCATCGCTCGGCGAGCCACGCAGCGTGGAGGGCTGCCACTGCCAGGCCACGAAGCGAGAGACGGGCGGGCCCACCTCCCCCGCAGCCCACGGACCCTGGGCGGCCCTTCTGCGGGCACGGCTCAAGGACCCCTCCGTGGCCTTTCCTGCCCCCCAACGGCAGCGCAGTCGGGTCAGGGGGAACCCGTCTGCGACTCCATCGTGGGGCAGCTCGGGTGAGGTGCCTGCCTTCTTCGGGGCTGCCCCTGCTGCCCCGGCCAGCGAGGAGCTGAGAGAAGCGGCCAACCCCACGCCCACGTCAAACACGCCACGACTGCAGGACAGCTGCCACGAGAGCTCCTCAAACGACGCTGGCGCCGGGCCCGTATCGCAGCCCATGCCTCTTCCTGCCACCGACGGATCGCCAACGCTTCCCCCAGCCCCGGGGGAAAGGGCGCTTTGCTCGACGCAGGGCGGTGCCCTGGGTTCCCCGAGGGGGCTTTGCGAAAAAGCCCCCTCCCAACAACCTCTCCACGCAAGCAGGGGTTGCTGGGACCTCCTTGCCCGGCTGCCCTGCAGAATCGCGTCCCGGGGGCCGCACCCCAAGCAGGAGGCACCCAGGTACCCCCAGAGGAGCCGGGGACGGGGAGCAGGTGCAGCTGGCACAGCCCCCCTCAGAGCCCTGCCCCCCATGCCATGCCATCGCCTCCCCCCCGCCAGCAGCCAGGAGCGCATGCCCCAGCGACTCACAGGCGAGCCTCCCCTCCCCTCCCCAGGAAGTGCCTGGCGAGGGCCAGCCAGCGCGTGGGGAAGGAGGGGACGGGGCTGCACACCCTGCCGACTATTCGAGCCAGGCTGGGGCCCTGCCGGGGAGGGGGGCGCACACCGGCGACGGAGCGGGGAGCAGGCCAAGGGGCCTGAGAGAACTGCTGCCCCGGCGGCCCCGCTCGGCACCCGCCTGGGCCAAGGAAGCCCCGCAGCACGTGGCCGGGGGGCTGCCGGCAGCTCCGAGGCCGGCACCCGGGAACGGTGGTCCAAGGAAGGTGAGGACTGGGAGGCAGGAGCAGGGCTGGGGTGGGCGCAGGAGGCAGAGGCCCAGGACGGGGGGCGAGTTCGCACCGGGGGCCCAGCAGAGCCCAGGGCTTGCGGTCCGGGAAGGCGCTCGGCTTCCAGACTGGCCCCGCTGCTGAACGCTCTGCCTCCAAACCCTGTGGCGCTAACCCCGATCCCAGGGGCGGTGGGGGGGAGGCTGCACTCAGAAACAAAGCAGGGCTTCTCCAGGTTCCAATCAACATTTGCAAATATGCTGGTCACCTCCCGCCAGCACAGCCCTGACAGCTCCTCCTTCCCCGGTCCATTTGCATCTCTCCGCACTTGCATCAGTCCCCCCCACGCCACACCGCCTGCTCTCAAAGGCTGCCCTCCCTGACACCCCACACTCCCCCCACGCCCCATTCCTGGGCCACTTAGCCCCCTGCACTCGGGCATCCTGACGGGGGGCCCACCGCAGGCCCCTGGCCACGAGGCGGGCAGAACGGCGGGCGTCCCGCATCGCCCATGTGCGCGGCTTGCTCGGCCGGAGGCGAGCGCAGGAGGGGGCGTGCGCCTGGACACGGCCGTGTCGAAAGCGGGGCGGAGGAGCCCCGGCTGCCATCAGCGCCAGCAGTGGGGCGGCTGGGGGGGAGCAGCACGGGACGGGCAGGGAGGGCCAGGCAGCGTGCGCAGACAGCTTGCCTCACACCCCGGGACGGGCTCGGCCACTTCAATTTCCCAATGTGCACGGAGAAAGGAGCGTGCGCGCGGGGGGCTGCTGATTGATGGCGGAAGCCCCGTTTTGTTTCTGCTCAACGTATAATTAAACCTGTCAAAAAGAACTCAGCAGCAGAGGGGTGTTATTGAGGTAAATAGCTGAGAAACAGACCAAAAAGGATGAGGGCTGCCTGATGAATACAGAGGAGTGTCCGCGGCCACCCCGGGGCCAGCTGCCTCGGCCGGCCGGCCTGCAGGAGGGCCCATGTGGCAGGAGGGCTCTGCGGGACGAGCGTCCCCCACACGCCCCAGTGCGAGACGGGGGGGGGGGAACGTGCGGTGCTGCAGAAGGGGCCTGCCCCCTCGTCACCAGGCAGGAGGGCCGTGGGGCAGGGCGGACGCAGAGCTGCAGCAGCCGGCCCCCACCACGCTAGGAGACGGGCGGACGACGTGCAAACCAGAGGACGCTGGCGGAAGCGTCCGCTCGTGCAGGGCGCTGCACGTCCACACGGCCCCCCTTCCCCCCCGCCGGGGCTCTTGCGCATGTGTGCGCTCCCGATCCGCCCACCCAAGCCGAGGGCGCCGGCCAAGCGCCTCTCCGACCGTCCAGGGCAGCGGCCCTACCTGCATGGGCTTGTCCACCCGCCGCCGCAGGGCGTGCATCCAGTGCGCCAGGCCCGAGTAGTGGCACATGTGCGGCGGCAGGAACGGGACCTTCTTGCTGAGCTCTTTGTTGACCAGCGAAAGCTCCCGGTTGAACAGCATGTAGATGTCGACGGTCTTCTTGTCGAAGGTCCGCTTGATGGCCTGGGGGGGCACTTTCCTTGACCCACGGCCCCTGCGTCTCCCGGACCGCCCCCTCCCCTCCCCTGCCGCCCAGGCATCCCGCCTCTCTCGGGGGCCCCCGCGGCAGCGCTCGACCCCCAGCTTCGCCGGCCGGGCAGGCGAGGGCAAACCGGGCCTCCGGAGAGGCAGCCCTGGAAGCCGCTCGGCCTCCGAGCCCGCTGCAGACACGCCGCCAGGGTGCAGCGGCCCAGCTCGCAGGCGCCTGCCACATCCCGTCCCGTCCCGTGCCCTACCTCCCGCGAGGACAGGTGGTGGAAGATGTCCTGGATCTCCACGCCTCGCTCCACATCCCTCACGGTCTCGAAGGCTGAGCTGATCAGGTTCTGCGTCATCACCTCCAGGTCCTTGACCCCGGCACGGAAGCTGGCGCCGCCAGGGAGAGGGCGTGATGAGGGAGGCGGGGGAGGCCCGCGCCCCCCAGCAGCCCTGCCCTTGCTGGCTCCCCCGCACTGGCCAATGCAAGCGCCCCAAAGGGGACTGGCCTCCGAGCGCTGGGCGCCCTCCGGCCAGAGCCGCCACCACGCACGCACCGCGGCTGGGGCACCGCTCACCGGTTGAAGTCCTCATGCCAGGAGGCATTCTTCACGTCCAGGATCCCGCCCTTCACGCTCCGCAGGTTGCTCAGGTGCTTGTGGAAGGTCTCCTCGATCTCCAGCAGGCTGCGGGCCATCTGGGGCCCCCGCTGGCCGAAGAAGCAGGGCAGCGGCGCCTGCTTGCCATCCTCCCAGCGCGCAAAGTGATGCTGGCTGTCGCAGACCTGGGGCCAGGGACAGGCACCGGCGGCCCGTGAGGTGGCGTGAGCGGCATGTGCCGCCTCTGTCCAGGAGGACCCCAGGGCAGGGGAAGGACTGGTCCCCTGGTCCCCCAGCCAGGGGGCCGGAGGTCCACAAACGATCGTGGGTCAGAGGGGCCCGGCCTGCACGGCCAGAGGCCCAGCCTGAATACCCAGGCCATGGGGACACGGAGGAGCCAGAACATCGGTCCGGGGGACCAACCGGGAAGTGGGGTGTTGGGGCGCAGCTGCGCAGTGAGACGTCCCACCTACCTCCAGGAGGTCCTTGCAGCGCTGGACAAAGGCATCGACCTGAGCGAAGATGCTGGTCTGGTCCAGCACCCAGCCCTTACCGGAAAGCCTGTGGGGAGGCACTGGGTTACACAGGTCCCTGCTGCCGACCCCCCCCACTGGGCCTGGGGGCAACAGGCCCGTTCCCCGCCAAGGCTACTGGGTGGTCCGGGGTGGGGGGCACACAGGTGTTAACAACAGGATACCGATCAGAGAGTATCCCCGGAATGGACAGAACTCTCCCCGGGGAGAGTGCCGCCATTTGGAGAAAGGCTGGAGCTGCTGCTGGATGGTGAGCGAGCGAGCGAGCGACCCCCGTGCGCCTGCCTCTCTCTCCCCCCCCCCCCCCCCCCCCACCCCCAGCACAGGCAAGAGGGCTCTGGAGAAACCATCTAATCAAGGAGCGCTGGGGACGTGCGGGCCCTCGCCCCGGGAGCCCGGCTGAGTGCCTCCTCCAGGCCTGGCCGTGCCTGCCTCACGTCAGAGCCGCTCGCATGCTAAATGTCTTTATATCTTTTATGATATTGATCCAGCCCCACTAATTTGAATTTGAAGCAGACAAGCAACACTTAGACTTAATCGTCAAGGACCAGGCACCCACTTAAACCTGACATCCCTAATCATAATGATGGATTACGTTGCATTATTTCTGAAGTACCGCTCGGAGAATCAGGGAAGAGACGACGGGGCCCGGGCCGGAAGGGAGCCGAAGAAGCCAAGGATCAGCGGCCCTCTGGGCCAGCAAGGGCCAGGCAAGGGCCTCGAGAAGCCAGCCCGCACAGTCCTCGTTCCACATCAGCTCGGATGCTGCCCGCTCTGTGAAGCCGGAGGAGCCCGTTCCTCCTGGACTCGCACCGCAGAGGGGAAGGGAGCCGCTTCCGGGTGGGTGAGAGCATCCTGAGCCAGCCGCGTCGCTGCTCCGTACCTCAGAGGACGCCTCATGGGGCTGGGCTGGAGAAGGCAGGTGCTAGGCAGGCAGGGGCAGCGGGCTGGGACTCCGCAAAACGGCTCTGAGACCCCTGGAAGTGGCTTGGGGGAGGTCTCAATTCACACGGGGTTCCGTGCCTCCGGTCAGTCAGGCTGGGAGGTTTCAGAGCGAGGCACCACGAGGGGAAGAGCGCATGGGCCGGTCTCCTTCCTGGCCGATCTCAGCCACACGCCATCGTGCCGCCCCAGCGCCAAGCGCTGGGAAGGCAGCACGACCAGCTTGCTGCACAGCCCACCCCGCCTGGCCTGGGCAGCTGCACTGCCTCGCCCTGGCCCTCTGCCCCGAGGGGGCGAGGGGACTGCCCGCCCTGGCTGGAGGGCTGGGGAGACGCCGCAGCCAGAGCCCAGCCGGGAGCGCAACCGGGGGCAGCCCCAGCACAAGGGCTCCAGGAGGAAGCGGGGCCCATGCCCCGTGGCCGCGAGAGGACAAAGCGATGGCTCCTTCCGGGGAGCTCCGCTGTGCACGGAGGAGGTCTCTGGTCAGCCCCGGCCCCTCCAGCAGGCGGGGCTGGGACGGGGCCTCCCGCCGCCTGAGCCCTGCGGGAGCCGCCACAGGCCGTGCGGGGCCGAGCGCGAGAGCCCTCACTTGTTGTGCATGTAAGCCGCGTGCTGGTAGGACTCCTTCCAGGAAGACATGCAGGCGATGCAGCCGTGGAGGGTCTGCTGGGAGGAGCAGACGTAGCCCTCAAAGAGCCGGTCCAGGGAGATGTCCTTGCAGCACATCTGGATGATCTTGTTGCTCATCTGGGGAGAACGGGGACGATGAAGCCTCCCCGCCCCTTCCGCGCTTCCGAGGCTCACGCTCCCTGTGCTGCAGGGCGCCAGCTCAGGGAGGGCTGCCTTACGCAAACCAGAGGGGGAAAAGGTCTGACCTGGAATTGGGCTATTTGCCGTCAGTCGTTTTATGACTTGCTGCCCAGAGTGCTCCGGCTATCGGGCAGCACAGAAATTAATACCCAAAGAAGCCTTGAGGAATAATTCCTATGACTGAATATTGCAAAATGGCCCTTTCCTTGTTTCCACGCGAGCCCATCTGACATGGAAGGTCTGTGGCAAAGGCCCGGTTCTCGCACCCCACCTCCAGAGGATAAGCAGGGAGGGTGCAGGGAGGGGGGCTTTTCAGGGGTGGCACCCCAGTTCAGGAAGGCCTTCCCCAGGGAGACTGGGCTGGCTCTTCTCGCGTGTGGGTTTTTAGTGAGAGCTTGATGCCGGAGTGTGTGCTTGCGATTTCCAATTGTTTCTTTTCATTTAATAGGCCTTTTAACTGAACAGTGTTTTTGTGTCCTTATAGCTATTTAACTGCTCTAGACATTATTTTGTCACAGAAAATAACAGTGGCTTGGAAGCAGTTCAAGTAATTTTTGAAAAACAAAATAGAATGGTCTAAGCAGTGGGGCGTGATGGGCAGAAAGCAGGCCCCCAAAGGTTTGGCTCTCCGCGCCCGGCATTTCCACCCATCCTCACAGGAGCTTCTCGGAGTTGGTCTGAGACAACCGGAGATCTGCCCGCCGGCCTAGGGGACTGGCGTGCGGCCCTCACCTTCCGGAAGAGCGCCGTTACCCTCTCTCGGCTGTTGTAGTACGGGGAGTTGACCCACACGATTCGGACGAGGCTGATGAGGTGGGGCAGCTTTTCCGGGATGTCCTTGGGCCGCAGGGTGGCCAGTTCCTGGAACGGCTCTTTCAGGATCGAGAGGAACCGGAGGTTGGACTGGGCTTGCTCCGACCCGTCCTGCAAGGCAGAGGCCAAGAGCCATGAGCCAGTCCTGCTGCGCTCCCCCCGGAAGGGGCAGGACACCGCGTTCAGCAGTGGCCGGGAGAGAGAGTGCACTTCCCCGGGGCCGTGCTCCGCCCCCCCCCCAACCGGGTGCCCTCCAGATACCCTGGGCTGCAGCGCCCCTCAAGCCAGCCAGCAGGTCCCTCCCACCTACCTGGATCTGCCTGGCAAGCCGCTGGAAGGGGCCCACATAGGAGGACTTCGAGAGGGCCAGGATGGCCTCGACATGCTTCACCCCTTGCTGGCAGAGCTGCTTGCTGATCTCGGAGAGGTCCGTGCAGCGGTTCCGCCAGAACTCGATCTCCTCCAGGGGGCCCGAGCTCTCCCTGCTCTCCACCGCCTCCTGGGCTCTCAGTACCTCCTTGATCTGCCGGGTCCAGTGAATCATGGAAGCTGGAACAGAAGCGGCCAGTGGCAGTTCCCCTCGGCTGCGGGGCCAAGCCCACCGGCCAGCTCTCGGCCTCCCCTTCGATCAAATGTGGTGAAAGGGCCGGGCCGCCCGAATGCTGAAGAGCAGCCGCCAGAACGAAGCTGCTCCGTTCAGCGGCGGGGGAGCTGGGCACCCCAACGGCGAACGGAGCTGCCTGGCAGCACGACGTGCCGTGTTTCCCGTGCCAAACAGGAAACGGACAGACGGACATGAAGAAACGCCAACTATGGATCACCGAGTTGCACAGACCAGAGGAAGGCAGAGATTATACTTCAGAGCAGGGACCCCAATTTGGCCCTGAGTGGCCCCCAGAAGCTTCTCCCAACCATGTCATTAGGCGGCACCCCAACTTGCGCCATCCCAAAAGGCTGAACAGAGCCACAACGTCCTGGCACGCTCTGTCTGCGGGGCCCCATCCCTCTGGCACTCAGGCACACCCGCCAATGCAATCCACCACACAAAAGCCCCGGGGCGGGGGTGCTCTGCCCCCATTTCAGAGCTGCCGGCCATGTCACAATGAACGGACGCCTCAGCCACGTGAGGTCTTGCACCCTTCAGTCAGGAGGGCCCCCAACGGACACCCCAGCTGCATGGGCTACCTGCCCGTGCGAATGTTTCAGAGGCAGTCTTGTGCCACTTGTCTGAAGTTTGCCTGCTAGGAAAAGAGACCGTCTGCCCCCGCTCCAGAAAATGTACAGAATCCCAGGCGATCTTCCTAAGGCTCCCGTGAAGCCTGTCCTCCTGGGCAGATTAAAACTGGGAGAATACTTGGGCACAAAGACAGAGTGACCCGTACAGAAAAGAGGCATGTCCTTTGGAGGAGGGGGGTGTCCTTCTGAGAGGAGCGGAGGCGAGGTGCCTTTGTTCCAGGCAAACACACATTTGGAGCATCGCGGTGCTGGCGACACTTTTATGTTGTTCTTCCACACATCAGAAAGCAAAGGAGAGTGGAACACAGTGAGTTCTTTGTCCCAACAATTCTATATGCAAGGCGCCGCCGCTTGCCAAAATGCGTAGTCATCCCTGCTCTTTAATATGGGGCTTCGGCTGCTGCGTCTGGGCAAGTGCAGAAACTGCCTTCTACTCTGTGGTCTGTTGTCTGATAGATCCCAAATGCTTTGCATCCAAGCGCTGTGCGGGGGGAAGCCAAGAGGAGGAGGTGCGTGCGAACAGGGACTTTCTAGGCGGCAGAAAGTGGGGACTCCTTCGGATGCCGGGTCCACAAGACTCCCAGGAAAGCCAAACCCCCAGGAGAGCCGCCGGGCTCCAGCTGCGGAGAAAGTTTGCAGCCCCCGGAGCGAGCTAACTTTGCCGCCTCCCCCCGTGCCTGGAATGGAAGAGGCTAATAGCTCCAAAGCAGCCATCTAGGAAGAGTTAGTATCGCAGCGTGGAAGCTGCTGTCTCCGTGCCAAATTGCAGGGGTAAGACAATCACACAGCCCAGGGATTAGAATAGCCAAGTATCTCTAAGTGCTTGATAGCAGCTGAGGTTTTAGTCACACAAGAGACAACCCGAGGTAGCCAATTGGATGCTTAACCCAGGCATCCATTGCCATGCAAAAATATCCAGCCACGGGAAGATCTGCATGCGCACGGCACAGCGCATCGCGGGCACAGCGCTGCCAACCGCACCGGCCTCCCATTACGGGACAGCCATGTGCATCTCAAATCCTCCATCTGCATTCGGCAGTGGGGGAGGTCTTTCCGACGTTTTGAAACTTCGAAAAGGGCCACGGTCCGCCATTGTTTATGTTCCTCCATTCCCGCACTCGGAATCAGATACACAGCACCGCACGAGCCGGCCCTTTGTGCTTGGCTCGCCTGTCTGCTTGAACCCACAGTGGTGGGGAAAGAGGGGCGAGTGCCGGCCTCCGCCCAGGATGCATGCGAGCGAGAGAGCGGGTCCATTATGCCTGTTGTTCCTCAGAGCCACGTTATCCTTCGTCACCGTAAAAGCCAACAGTAATGGCGATTCACGTTCACGCCACAAGCGGGACGGAGCGAGCGGCAGCTGGCGCGGCCAGGCCCCGGAAGAGAACCAGCCCGGGACAGCGAAGGCCCTTCCGCAATCGGGGCTTCTTCCAGGCAGGGCGCACCCGCAGCCAGGCCCCGATCCCTGAAGCACCGACCCCTGCCTCGGGGGTACTCTGGGGTGCGCGGCATATGCCGAGGGCTGCGCCTTTTCAGCCCAGTGCTGGCCACCCCACGGACTGGGCCGGGAGCGGAGGACGCGGGCCTGGCTTGCGGGCCTGGCGGGCTCCCGTGGCCTCTGGCATGCAGGAGCATGAGAGCTGCGCCCCGGTGAGTCACACCTTCGCCAGGCTTCGCTTCATTATTCCTAATAGAGACACGCATGCTGCATAATTCAGCCAACATCTTTCTCCCCTTGTCCACAGCGAGACGTTCAATTGAATTTGCGCAGGGCGGAACAGACGAGCAGCCGCTCCGGCTCTGACGGGAGATTTCTCTCCACGGCGCTTCTGCCCACCGGGCAGTAATGGAACCGGAGGCCCCTGGGATCCGGAGAGGGAGGCGGGATGCCCCGTGCAGGGGCCAAGAGCCAAGCGGCATGCGAGGGCAGGCGGCCTGGATCCGACGCTGGGCGGGGGCAGCCGCCGCCTCCCCACCCCAGGGTCCACCTCCCCTGCACCCGAGGCCCCCGAGGCAGCTGGGCTTTCGTATCAGAAGCTTCGGACACATCAGCCCTTTTGCTGGCAGAGCAGCGCTGGGGGGAATTGCCCGGGGGAAGGGGCTGCCCGCCGATCGTGCCTCCCCGGAGCGTTCGACACGAAGAGGCAGAGCCACGCGGAAGCAGCTCACGCGGCCCAGCTGTAAGGGCCACGGGATGGGGTGGCTCGCCCCGTGCCTTGCACAGGGAGGGACTGCCCGGGTCCCAAGGCCCGGCCTCTCCAGCCGGGGCTTTTCGGGCCATGGGGCTGTGAGGGCCCCGCCTCACACAGAAGGGGAGTCTGACTCCGGGAACACGGGGAGCGGAGGGCATGGGCGCCCCCAAAATGCCACCCTGCCCCACACCGGAAACATGCTCTAAGGTCACAGGGCCTCCTGGGGGCAGGGTGGAAACGCGAAAGGGCTTTCCGTGCAGGCGGGGCTGTCAGCCGGGGCAGGCGGAGGGGCAGGCCGGGCGGGAGGGTGGGGCACCCCCTGGGGCAGCCCAGGACCCCGGGAAGGGCAGCCGGCCGATCCACAGAAGCCACAAAGCAGAGTCCTGCGGGCCCCTGCCGCCACCCCTCCCTCTGGTGCCGACCGGGGCTGACGCGGCCCGTGCGCCCAGAGCGGAGGCTCCCGGAAATGGAGGCTGGCGTGAGCAGAAGGTGCAGCAGGGCACAAGGCCCCAGGGCGGATGCCGAGGCGACCGAACGGCCCCGGCTCTCCCCGCGTGCCCTGGTCGCCTGCGTCGCAGCCAAGGCAGAGGCTAAAAGCGAGCCTGGCCGGGCTCCCAGACGCCCCCGGGGGACGCAGCCACAGGCTGGCCTGGCTGCGAGATCATGGCCAGGCTCGCCTCCACCCGCACCTTCCTTCTCCGGGCACTTCCCCTCCCCTCTTTTCCTCCAAAATAGCAGCAGCGGCATTTATAACAGGCGCAAGGAGGAAAGCGCTTGGAAGCAAGAGGAGGGAAGCCTCAACCCCACCATCTTGCAGCCGAGTCGCTGGTCACGAGGCGCGGCTCAGGGGGAAGCGGGGAAGGGAAGGGGGAAGCAAGCGGCACGGAACGGCACGGCGGAGAGGTGACAGAAACTGCCCCTTCCATGAGGGTGCCACTTGGGGTCTCCTGCAGGAGGGGTGGCAGGGCCTGCCGCTGGGGATCCCTCGGGACGAGAGTCCGAAGCACCCGGCAGGCGGCTTCCAGCAATTCTGGAAAGTCTGCAGCCTCTCCCACATCTGCCAGCACTTGCTTTCCTTCAGGAAATGGTGCCCCCGCCCCAGAGCAGGGCAAGGAAAGGTGCCTCATGGCCACCCAGTCGCGTGGGGGCACCAGGACCCTGAATGAAGCCATACGAGGGAAGCAAGGCCTCCAGGCCCACACCTGTGGGGCTGAACCAGAAGCCCAGGAAGGCTTGGCTCATGCTTGGAGAGAAAGGTGGCGCACCTTGCCTTCCCGGATGCGGAGGGCCGAGGGAAACGCCTCAGGGACACCTTCATACACTGCTCTGGACACCAAAACTGCCGTGCTTGCGAGTGTAGACGCTGACCCTGAGACGGGGAAGGGCTTCCAGCAGCCTGCGTGGAACGGATGCTCCGCCTGGCACTCGCAGCAAAGCCTCTTCGGTCCCCACACACGGCCCGCTGCTTCCCAGGCCTCCCGGGCCAAGCCCTGCCTCCCTCACCCACCCTCTCAAACACCATGCCTCCCCCAGCCCTTGACAACATGTCTGAGGAGCCAGAAATGCCCAAAGGCTGTGCTGAGAAAGGGAAATCGGCCAAGTGCCCTCCCTGTTCCAGCGGCACGCCTCACTCCAGGTGTGGCGCAGAACAAGACAGGCGGCAGCACGAGGACATGGGCGCGGGGGCGGGCGGGGGGCTGGCCCAGCGTGCCCCGGATTCCATTTCCTGGCACGCCGCCTGCTGCAGAGCGAGTGGTCCCCAGACGGGGCCGGCACAGGCTCGCGGCCTGACAAACCTGCTTTCCCTGATTGGGAATGACAGATGCTGCTCAGATGCTGCTGGGGTTAATTCACTTACCGCCTTCGGTGCGGCTCCCCGTGCGGCCCCCCCATCAGCCCTTTCCCTGCTCTGCCGAGCCTGCTGCCCGCTGCCCGCTCCCGGCTCGGATCCCCGGAGACCCGCCACTCACTCTCCAGCCGCTGAACCAGGGCTTTGTCCTTTACGGCCACCTCCGTCTTTATGATCAGGGACTCGATCGGGATGTAGAGGGTGGTGCGGCCCCGCATTCTGAAGCGGGTGTCTGGAGGGGGACAAAGACGGAGGGGCGACTGTGCATCGGGATTCAGCAGGAAGGTCCCTTTGGTGACTTGTGGCCTGAGCGGCCCATGATGCAGGGAAGGAAGGAGCCTTGCGTGTGTAGACGGGGATTATGAAAGAAAGAAAGAAAGAAAGAAAGAAAGAAAGAAAGAAAGAAAGAAAGGGCCACCCTCCTTTCAAAACACAGAACAGAAAAGCCGTTCATGGTTTCTTGCCAGAACTCCTGAGCCCGCCGCTTGCCGTTTGACCCACCTGTCACCTTGATCCTCCCCCAGATTGTGCAGAAAAACAAAAACCTTCTAGGGACCACATTATGCAAATCAGTTGCTTAAGCAGATGTGCTTTGCTTGCAAAAGCCTTGCAGAGGCATACAGTAAGAGAAAATACAGGTGAATCTCGACCCGGGCATGGCTTAAAGGGGACTAGAAACCACGACCGGGAATCTATGGGCGTGCAAAAGCTCACAGGACCAACCCGTACATGAAGTGGGTAAAAGGCCAGCTGCCCGTCAAAGGGCAGGAACCCTCGGGCTTCCACGGGCTCCGATGCCATAAGCAACATCCAGCTCTCTCGCAGGAAAGTTGTCAGCCACAGAATACTGACAGAAGGCAGGTTCTGTGGCAGAAGCGAAGGACTGGGCCCAGTGGAGAAATTGCTAGATGCACGGGCAAATCTTTGGAAGGTGGTCTTAGTACTTAGCAAAATGGTAACTTTTGCAACGGAAGAAAGGGCAGGGACCCACCTGTGAGGGAGGTCATGAAGTGGTAAACTTCTGAGAAAAATTCATTCTTGATGCTTTCAGGCCAGGATGCCTTGCGAAAGAGCCGGGGCAGATAGATGGCACTGAGCATGCGCATCAGGGAATCAATGTACGGGCTCCGGACCGTGCCGAACTGCACGACCTCGTGGAAATTCTCCTCGGTGATTTCCGCATTCTCCTGACGGATGAAATAGGAGACCTGCTTCTGCTCCTGCAGGGACAAGGCGGAAAGGGAGGCTGAAGGTTCTCAGCGGAAACGGAGCCGGGTGTCCCCAAGGTGGAACTGCAGTTCTGGCCAATCCTCTGCACCCAGCAGGACCTCCCTGTAGTCGGCGGTCCTGCGGCCTTGAAGCACCTCCCGTGCAGCCATCCTGCCTGCAACACCGATCCAAAGTGGGGACGAGCTCCAAGGTAGGCGAAAGACCTTCCAAGGACAGGTGTTAGGCAGCAGGTTTTGTTTGGCTGGTTGTTTTTAATGAGGGTCAGGAACTCTGCACTGCTTTTAGGCAGGATGTGCCTGGAGACGGGATAATTTAGTCTCTTCTCATCCTTGGATATGCAGCAGTAGAAAGATCATTACGCACAGGACCAAGGAGGCAGAAAGGCTGCACCAGACTTTGGCCCCGTGGATTGATTTTATGGGATGCAATCGGGCCAACGGGGGACCAGCTACGGTCTCGGGGGCTGGAAAGGGAAGGAGGGGCCCCCACCAACTAACAGGACATTAAATATATTCCTAAGCTGGGGCTATTATTAAGAAGGCAAGGTGGCATCCCTGGGAGCCGGAGCAGGACGCCACGGAACGCCAGGCAAGGAACGCTGGCCGGACTTCCAAAAGCACCTGTTGGCCACCTGGGAGGCTGACGACGGACAGGGTGCAGCTGGCCACCTTGCCCTGACCAAGCAGGGCTCGCCTGGGGCTCTGGGGCTGCCACGGCGGGCAACGCTTCCCTCACAGTCGCCGTGGCTGAAGAGACAGAGAAGAGCGCAGGAGAGCTCGGACTCCCTGGGCCAAACCTACCTGATAGGGCATGAGCAACTCCACTTTCAGGCCAGCACATTCGTCAATGTAGAGCACAAGCAACTGCTTGGAGACGTCCTTCAGGAACTGGTCCATCGTGGCCTCGTGCTCTTCGGTCCACATCTCCTCTCTCAGGCCGGTCAGTGCAACGCGGTTCCGGATGCAAGGTTTCTGGGCACAAGGGAAAGGGGCAGCTGTCCGGCAGATGGGACTTGGCGTGTCCGCATCACGGAACGTGACAGAGGCGGCGCTTGGCCGTAGGAGCTCCCCATCCCTCCGTCTGCGGAGGAACCAGACTGGAGGCTGCATTGGTGCAGTTCCTCTGCTGCTCCTGCTTGGCTACTCTGGGAAACGGGACGCTGGACTAGAGAGGTTTTGAGTCTGGTCCGCGGGGCTCTTCAGATCTGCCCACGTTTTCATGGCTAGTGACTGGGGTGCGGGAATTATTCGTAGAGAATAAGGCTGCCCATGCCCACGGCTTGCCACAAGGGCTACATCCCTGCCCCCACCTCGTGGCCGCAGTGGAAAGCAGATGGGCAGGCCAAGCTTTGGCCTGATCAGGCCAGACCTAGGCTTGGTTCCTGGACACCCTTCCAGCAGGATCCTGGCCTAAAACGGACAGCCCGGAAGCCCAAGCGCTGCCTGCTGTACAGCGGAGTGGCCAAGAGCTCAGGAGGTGCGGGCAGGAAACGAGCATCCAGCTCACGAGGAAATGGGAAGGGTGGGTGGCCAAGCAGGGCATCTCTGCCGGCCCCAGCAACGAAGCTGCCAGGGAGGGAGGCACGCAGCACAGACGAGCGTGGAGAGCCCCCCCCCCCCCCGGGCATCAAGGCAACAGCCAGTGCCAGCCCCAGGCCTCTGAAGGCCCCGGGGAAGACCCTCCCTGAGGCCCCTCCCTCGGCCAGGCGACCTTCTCACCACCACCACCAGCAGCAGCTGCCCTGCTCCTCAGCCCCCCACCCCTCACGGCTCCCAGGCGCCTGCCTGGCTCAGCGGGCGAGCAGAGAGCCAAGACGCAGGGCAGCCGTGGCCCCCGCTCCTCCGTACCCCCACCGCTGCCTGGGGGGAGCCGAGGCAGCCGAAGGAGCGGGCCAGGAGCCCCCGGGACCCCTCCTGCTGCCAGCCATGGGGTGGGCGGCTCTGCTCGCCTCGGCCTCCTCGCAGGTCCCCGAGGTGGGGCGTGAAGAGAGCCGCCCATCCCTGCCACAGACCAGCAGCACGTGAAGCGACGGTGCGCACCCAAGGCGGCCTTCGCTGCCCTGGCGCCTTCCAGATGTGCCGGGCTGCAGCACCCAGTGAGGCTGGCTGGGGATGCTGGGGGCTGCGGTCCAACACCCCTGGAGGGTGCAGGGCTGATGAAGGCTCATTCCATGTGCCCGAGTTTTACTTCAGGAGCAACTGGGCGACGGAGGTGGCTGAGCCAGATGCGAACTTGGGGAGGGCAGAATGTGCAACGCGCCTTTTTAGAACGCGCCGTGGCCCCAGCAGCCGTTATTTCGGGGCCGCGTGTCATCAGGACCGTGCCAAGGGAGGCAGGCTTCTCAGAAGCCCTCTCTGCGTGGAAGGCGGGGCCCTTACCCCGACCGACACCGCTGAACGGTGGCACACGATCAGGAAATGCCCAGAGCCATTCGCAGGCGCCCTCAGCCTTCGCCTGCGTCCTGTGAGGCGTGGCCGCGTGCCTGGCCCCCTCCCTGGCCTGGTGCAGCCGGCCGGTCCACGGGATGCACATGCCTCCAACCAGGCCCTGCCGCAAAAAACGGGAAGTCACGGTGCCTGATCCTGTTACATCCCTTTGTTTGGCCAGACCCGCCCAGGGCCCCCAGCCAGCGGGAAGGGGCTGCTTGCTGAGGTGAATAAAAGGCGGCCCCTCGCTCGCTCGCTCGCTCAGAGAGCTCCTGCAGGCTGAGGAGGCGGCAAAGGGGAGAGGACGGCTAAGGACAGGAGTGGCAGGAAGACGGAGAAGAAGGGAAGGGCAGGACCGCAGTAGCTGCTCTTTGGGCTTTGAGCAGGCATCTTTTTTCCACAAAACACATTAAGGCTTTTTTCCTCGTTCCCAAGAGCTTCTCAAAGAAAACCTGGGAAATCGGGATCAAATTAACAGAGCATCTGGCACGGAAGTGCAGAGCCAGATGTTCCAGCCCTAATGCGGCAAAACGGTGCGGTGTTCTGCACAGCCAGGCCTCCACTGCCGTTCTTCAGGTCTCCATGGGAGGAGGAGACATCTGGGCCCCACACCAGCCAGTGCCAGGTCAGAACTGCGGCTCCTCCCTCAGGGAGGGCATCGCCCCCCAACGAGCCAGGAACTGATCCAAATGTGACGGCAGCTCCCAGGACCGGAAGCTCCTATGGCATCCCCAGATATGTGCATAAGCGGCGCAACCTAGAAGGGGCATTAGCACTGGAGCATTTCATTCATGGCATGGGTGCCACAGCTTTGACAACCGAGAACAATGTTTTGTCAACGGATACAGAAGGTTTGGACAAAACATGAAGGAATGAAGGAAGCAAGGGAAGGAAGGAAGACCATGGCTGATCAAGAGTTCTGATCCTTGACTAAGAAAACTTTGCCAGCAGCCACAAAGTCAGTGCCAAAGGCAGAGAGATACTCATGTACCCCACCACCTGTTTGCGCCTGCGCAAAGATGTTTGCAAGAACGGCTGAAGGTTCACGGAGAGAACATCCCCGGCACGCCCTCCCCACGCACGCGTGTGGCTCCCCTTCCACACAGGGCAGCCAGGCGGGTGTCTCCTGTGGCACAGTCAAGTCCTGCCCACTGGGTCGCTTACCAAATCCACTTCTTGCTCCACAGGGCTGGGTGGGATCATTATCTCCTCCTTGCTCTCCTCCATCGGGGGCAGAGATTCCACCGAAACATCTACTAAGGGGAGAGCGGGAGACAAAGGAGCAGAAATCACAGCCCAGCAGGAACGAAGACAAACGTAAATTTCAGGGACATCAATATTGGTCTGTTTTCTAGCTCCTGGGAAAGACTCCCCTCTGCCCTGGACTGGTCAGACCTCCCACTTAAACCGGTGTCATGTTCCGGACAACACAATTTAAGAAAGATTCAGAACTGAAACAGGTTCAGAGAAAGAAACAAGGATGATCCGGGAGCGAGAACCAAAGCCCTGCAAGGACGAGGGAAAGAACAGGAAATGTTTAGCCTTGGTACGAGAAGTTGGAGGGGCAACCGGACACTTTTGAGGGTACCAAGGCGCCTGTCCCACAAGGCTGCAGGACGCGGAATAGTGGGCAGAAGTGATGGGAAGGCGGAGCTTGGCTGGTCATAAGGAAAACCTCCGAGGGGCCGGACAAGGGCATCGGGGCCGGAGGGGATGCTGACTCTCCGTTGCAGGAGGCACGTGAGGGTGAATTGTACAGTCCTTGGCCAGGGACGCTGGAAGCCGGGCCCCTGCAACGGGATGGCAGCGTGGGCTCAAGGACCTCGATGGCCCCAGCCAGCCCACGGCAGGGCCCTTCCAGCAAGCTCAGTGCCTGGGGCAGCTCCGCCTCTCAGAGGACTGCCAGAGAAGCCGGTTCACCTCACACAGGATCCCCCAAACAGGCTCCACATGCAAAGCTTAAAACTTAAGTTTTCGTTTAAGTTTAAATGGAAGTTTGACCCAGTTTTCACCCAGCCATGCTCGGCCCCACCCCAGCGCAGATCATGGGGGCACCCCATTACCTCCACGGGTGCCTCCTCCTCCTCCTACTGGGGAGAGAAGGCAGCTGCTGCAGAGGGGTCAACACTGCCAAGAGGCAGAGCCAGCATGGGTGGGCGCCACTGTGTGCCCCATGGGCTCTCAGCCTGGCCTTCCTTGCAGGGTTGTTGTGCAAACAAATGGAGAAAGGAATTGGCCAGAGGGAGACAGCAATGTAATCCCCTAAAAGACTTGTCCACGAGCCTTGCATTCCTGGGGCATTTGCTTGAGCTCAGCACAGTTACAGCCCTTGGTGAACATGACAGAAGGGACCCTGAAACTGCCTGTATCGCTTGGCTCACTTGCTCGACCCATCTGAACTCAGGTTTCATTACACAAGGACCCTGTGGAGTACAAACAACTCTACCGCCCTTTCACTTCCACCCCCACCGCCGAGAAAGCCCCGGCCTCTTAGGTTGCTGGTGGGGCGCAGCCTCCTCTCCTGCGAGGATGCCACTCATTGGCCTCAAGCCCATTCAGGGCAATCATGAACACTTTTCTTTTAAATCATGAAAATCTTTCAGGCTCGTGTGCTTTTAAAGCATGGTTTTGGAAACCATGACCAGCAGCTCAGATCCTAACTGGCAAATCAAAAGAGCCAGGCAGGTAGGTATAAGAGTGTGCATGTGTGCGTGTATGTGCGCGCACATATACAGCGGATTTTGGAAGACCAACTCCAGCTCTTCTTTGGAACATTTGGAGTTGTCAAACCAAATTACAAATAATTTCCCCATAAACCTGCTTCTGTGTCAGGAGTTGTCATGCGCTACAACGTTTAATACTCATTGCAAATGGCAGTTTGAGAAGGGCTTATTCCCCTTCCACCATTTTTTCTACCAAGATAGCACAGAAGGGCTTGCGGAAGACAGAGGAGGGGATGAAGGCAGGGTGGGGTCGCCCAAGGTATTTCAGTGGCTGGAGCACAAACTCCAGAGATACCCTTTGCGATACCAGGCACAAACCCAAGGAAAGGAGAGTTTGCTTTTGGAATTGCCCATGGGTGAAAGAGGAGAACTCTTGTGTAGCCGCAGCCACGGGGGACATTTCTGGCCAGCTCTCAGCAGGCAGCCTTCTGCGCCCGCCCCCCCGGCAAACCTTCCCCCCAGCGTACCCTGGGCAGGTGCCTCTTTGCCCCCCCGGAGTCAGAGGTCTATCAGGTGACCAGCACAGGGTGCCGCAACGCAACCGTGTGACGTGCAAGGTTATCACCCATTCTCGCTATAGGGCAGAACCAGCCCTTCTGCCCCAGAGCGTGCAGCCACAGCCACCGGGAGTGGAGGAGAAGTGCTGGCGGGCACAGGTGGCCTTGAAGTGGAAGTGCAGCTGCGCCTGGCTGCCGCAGGAGCAGCGCCGGAGGTGACCTGGCTCCAGGAAGAGACCCTCAGATGTGTCGCCCCTTCCTGGGCTCAGCTCTCAGAAAGGGCAGGGGGGGTCTTCCAGCTGCGGCATGAAGCGTGCCCACGTGCCCCAAAGCCGGTAGGGTGCTGCCTGCACGCAGGGCTCCTGCAAATCAAGAGGCACCGTGCCCCTGCGCCACCTTTTTCCCTCGGCAGACTTCCCCGAAGGAAAAGGGCAGGAGGACGGGGCCCGGAAGCACAGGAGAATGGCCCAGGCAGATCTGTGCCCGAGGCAGGGTCTCCCAGGATAAAAGCCTCTTCCAGAAGGACCCCAAGCCATTCCCTCTCCAAAAGGTTGCCTCTCAGCGCTCCAACTGTGCCCACATGCCCGGGGGTGGGAGCGGAGGGGAGTCTGCAGTCCACCTCCCACCACCTGATCAGTGGCCACCCACCAGTCACCTGACAAATCCCCGCCTGACTTTTTTCCTTGCCTGCTCACCACCACCTTCCCGGCTGCCGCTGCAAAAGCAAAAGCAAAGCCTGCCAGCTGAAATGCCACATCAGACGGGGAGCCATGGGGCCCCTGGCCAAAGATCCATCGGGCAGGAGAGCTGGAAGAGTCCATGAAAGCCACCGGGTCCAGCCCCCTGCTGCCGCGGGACACCAAGTCACACCACGCCAGGGGGCAGGTTCTCAATCCCGGTGGAATCTCCCTGTGGGTGTCACAGGGACAGGCGGCGCTGCTAGGCAGCAGATAGGTGGGACCACGGATGTGGGCGGGCAGGGTTGGGGGGTTGAGTCTCTGTTCGGGGCAGGGCTGTCTCCTTCTTGGCCACAGGTGCGGGACGATGACACTGCCTCTGCCCCTTGCCTCACCACCTGCGAGCTTCTGCGAGAAGAGAGAAGCTCGTATCGTGCCATCCACCTTGCTCATTTTACAGCCGTCCAGCCGGACTCTGTGTCTTCTGCATTTTCTCTTGCTGCAGAAAACCCATTCAGGAGGAAAAAGCGGGGTCGCTGCACGATTCCGTCTAACCCGCAGTGCTAGAGGCACCCCCTGCAAGACTAGCTCACCCAGGTCGGGAGGATGCCTGCAGCAACTGAGCTTGCGGCAGGTTTGGCCCCCCTCGCACACAGGCACCCTTTGATGCCAAACTTTGGCACCATCCCGGGGCTTATACACGAACAGGGCAGACACGTGAAGGGCAAATGCGCCCCCACGGTGCTTGGCCATGTCACGATTGTCCCCCAGAGCCTTGAGGACCTGGCTCTGCCCGAGCTCTCTGGGGCAATGGAGACAGAACAAGGCTTTATGGGAAGCCAGGGGAAGGACGGTCCGAGGCCCACTGGACCAGAGGGATGCGGCCCTAAAGGAAGAACAGGCGTGGAGGAGGAGGAGGAGGAGGAGGAGGAGGAGGAGGAGGAGACCATGCACGTTATGAGCAGCAAGGGCAGCTCTGTTCCCCAGACCTTGGCCAAATCAGTTTCCCTGGTTGCTTTGCCAAGCTTCAAAGCTTCCTGCAGCTGCCAGGAGGCCAGGACCAGGCCTGTAGATGGTGGCACCCATCTTGCTCCCGCTGGAAAAGCCTGGAGCAGGGCTGGTGCTGCCCTCAGGATCCTGGCACCGTCTTTATAGAGGCCGCACTGAAAAACTGGAAGCGGGCCACCCAGCTGCGTTAGCTCAGACACGCATCTCACGGGAATTACTCTGTGCATCACAGCGGCTCCGAGGAGCTACAACTCTTTCCGAGTCCGATCTGGACTGGAAAGGCCTGGCTGGAACCCACGGCTGTTCGGCTCTTTCCTCCCAAGCAGGATCCATCTGAGCTCAGAGCACCCCCTCCCTCCCCAGCTCCTGCAGCTGGTGGCGGGTGGCAGAGTAGGGCAGGGCACCCGCTCAGATGCCCGCCACTCTTTTGGAATGAATGAATGAATGAATGAAACCCAACCCAGCACTCCCAACACACATGTCCCATCTGGACTGTCTATCCCGGCAGTCTATATTTAGAGTAAGTGAGGGTTTCAATTCATACTTCAAGTGATGTGCTGTCTGCCAGCCAGGATCTGCTCCCGCTTTTCAAAAGGATAAGCTACATTATGACATACAGCTAAATAAGCAAGCAGTCTATGCACACACACCAGCAGAGCAGGCAGGCAGGCAGGCAGGCGGACAGGCTAGCCAAGGGCAGGGACGCCCCCTCTCCCCCAGGCGCTCTGGGAGTCTTCCCAGGCTCAGGCACAAGCACGCCAGGGCCACCTCTCCTCCCCTCCCCTGCGTCCCCTGCTCCATAATCAAACTGCCCACTGAGCACGGCTCTCCTGTGGACGCAGCGCACGGGCCGCACGGCACAGCGGTGCCTCTTGATGCGGCCAGCATTCAGCTGGATGACGGGGGGCGTTGCCTGTCGTGGCAGATGGGATCAGAGTAGCGGGGTCTTGTGCATGTTACGTCAGGCACCAACAACTGCTGGGAGCAAGGACCAGTTTGCGCTTTGAAGCGTGGTGTGGAAAGTCCCAGTGGGTTACCGTGGTAACGTGCCGGAGGGAGGTAATGGAGGAGACTCTCGGGACTGGCTAAGGGACGCAGGTAGGGCCAAACATCACACACAGAGACATTCTTTGTCCCCCCGCCCCGCCCATGAAATGAAAACACGTTTGGCGGTCCAAACACAAGGAGACTCCCAAGGCACAGCTTCAATTCCACTGGAAGGACCAGAAATGAGGAAGGGGTTTCTCCAGGACTCCCCCCAGTCACCCAGAGCAGTCTGTAAAGGACTCAGTCGGTTAGCGATCGTATTTGCGAAGGCCTAAAGGCTTGGCTCCGACTTGTGCCAATTGTGGGGAAAGGCCCTGTGCTTGCTCCACCGGCATTATGCCAGTCAGAGACCACCCCCCGATGCACGTGAAGCGATCTGTCCTGGAAGGAGACCTCGGCACACAGGACCAGGACTGGCAAGCATAAAATGGATGCCCCCCGAAAGGGAGGTGCCATCCAGCCACAATGGTGTTTTTCCTCACCCACATTCTAGTGCAGCTCGTCGCACAGGAAGCGTCACCTTCATGCTAGCGCGGGACAACGGCACGGCACTTGTGCAAAATCTAGTCTCTGGAGAGGCTGGGAAATGGTGGCAGAGAATGGTGGGGGGAGGCTTGGGCTTACAGTCACAAGAGGGAAGGACTGCTGCAAGGTTGGCCGAAGATGACCCTGGCCAACGGGAATGGTTCCCTCTGCACCGTTTGCGGGGAGGCACGAGTGGCAGAGAGAACGGAAACAGGTGGGGTGGGAAAGCGACACCTCAGCCCTGGCATCCCCAAGCCTCTTCCGCAGCCACCTAGCCTGTTTGCTGTGCTTCTGCAGGAAAACCTGCACCTGTTCAGTAGTTCCAGGAATGTGCCACAAAAGTGGAAACTTTGATCGTGGTCACAACATGGCAATGTTCTGAGGTGCTCCGCTAGTTCTCTTTCCCTAAAGCACCAGTGAGACTCTGTGCTTGCACAGATCAGCTTGAAGTGGGGAGAAACCTCTTTTGCGCTACTTTGGGGCAAAGAAGAATTTACTGCTGGCCGGAGTAAGCGGGAGCCCTCCAACACCCCTCCTGGCTGGCAAAGCCATTCAAAACTATCGGCCCGTGCAGGCAGCTTAGCTTGCTCAACATCAGGCACCCGGTGCACGGACTGCAATTCCATCGTGCAGAATCTGGATGCCTCTGATGAGCACGGAGGACACGCGGCCCCGCCTACACAGGTAGCCCATTCAGCACCTAAAAGAGCTTTCCCTGAGGTGAGGAATCAAAGGGGCGCTCAGCCTGCTCTGTCACGGCAGAGTATCTGGGACCAGGAAACCCGACCGAAACACTTTGGTGAGAATACCAGCAGACTCTTCGGGGACGAGAGGCGGCAGGGGAACGTCACTCTTCTGTGCAGCCACGGCGGCTCCGCGGCCAGCGCTCCGCCGCCCTTTCTTGTCCCCGGGTGTGCCGCGCCGTCGGCCACTCATCTTTCACCACAGAACGCTGTAAAAAGTCATGGGCGTTGTGAGCAAATGCAAAGCTGACCGCCAGAGAGGGTGGACAAACGGTCGGCGCTCAGGGAGACGAGACTGTGCCGTGCCCGCTCCATGACCCGCGTGTCTTTGGCATGCTGTCTGCTCTTTCTGCCCTCATCACTGTTCCCCGTTCTTGCTGGCGCTTCCTCATCCCCCCTCGCAGGCTAGAACGGCTCCCGTGTGGCGCTGGGTCAGATGAAGACCGGGGTCGAAATGTCCACTGACTCCTGAGGCTGAGAGGGGGACTGCTGCGAGTCACTCAGACTCTCTCAGCGTAAGTCGCTGCACAAGGACAAGCGCAGAAACATGTAGCCTGAAGTGCCTGATCCTGCCTAATCTTGGAAGCTAAGCAGGGTCAGGCCTGGGCAGAAGTGGGATGGGTGACTTGAGAGTATGATTCTATGATTATTGCTGTCAACTGCCTAGAGAGCTTTGGCTATGGGCAGTATAAAAATGTAATAATAATAATAATAATAATAACAACATTGCTCCAAGCTCCTGGCTGAAGAGGTGGGGAAGCGAAAGCAAAATGCTCTCTGTCTCACCATCTGTCAGATCGAGCTCACCCTTTGCCCAGACCTTCAGCTTGGTGGGATACGCCTCCATTCCTCCAAAATGTGATCCTGCTCTCCTTCACCATGATTCCCCTTCCTCCTATGCTCACCCACCTCTTCCTGCTCCCAACCTTCAGCCCCTTCCGAGGCTGCCCACTGCAGCCTCACAGTCTCCCCTTCTTTGCTCACACATCTGTGCAAACCTGATCCACACCTGCTCCCTTGTTCACCCCCCTCCTCCTCATCATCATCATCATGAAGGATTACTAGCAGGAGTAGCATATCCTTCTCTCTCCTTTCCCCAAGGACAGCATGCCCTGTTTTATCCTGACAACCCTGTAAGGTAGGCAGGGTCAATTTTAGGGGGCCCCCACTAGGCCTGGAGCACTGACTCTTTCCTCTGGAGCCCCAAGCTGTGCACAGCCTGTTTCCCCACCACCTCGCTGGAAGAAAGGCACGGGGCCCGCGAGGACCCCCGGGGTCTTCTGCCCACCTGTGCGTCCTGCCCCACTTCCCTTCCTGGAATCTTTCTGCCTGAGGCTGTTCCCTAAATGGGGCGCTCTCCTCTCCCCGTCCTCGCACCCTTCTTGCAAGTACTTCGGGGCGGGGAGATGCACGCCCACACACACAAGCTCGGGCTTGTCCGGGCCTGGCCCTGTGGCTGAGCCCCGGGTCTCTTCGGGGCCGAGCCGCGAAGCTGAGTGGAGGGTCTGCATTGTCCCTCTCCGGCCACCGTCCGCCTCCCCACTGCCCCTCCAGCGGCCGCCCCCGGTTTTCTTCCCATATTCCCCTTTCTGCCCTCCCCGCCGCCCCCACACTGGTTCGCCCCCCTCCTCCTGCCCCCCACCGACCGCCCCACACCTTTTTCCAGCTCCCAACTTCGCACCTGTCCCCCCTACAACTCCCAGCAAGCTTGGCCCCTTCCAGAACTCCGCCCACCCATCAACGTTTCCACGGGCAACGGATCAACGGGGAAGCCGAAGGCGGAGCGCGAGCGCCACCGGACGACCAATAGGGCAGCGAGAAGAGAAGCGTGGGAGGAGCTTGCAATTAAAGACTGCTCAACGGACGCCGCTGCGAGGGTGAGGAGCGCTTGGCGTGCACTAGCCGAAGGGGTGGGGCTAGGGGCTCATGAGTGACAGGAGGAGGAGAGGAGGAGGAGCTGTGGGCGCGGGGGAGGGAGGAGTTCCGTTCGCGAACGGCAGTTGGTGGGAGCTATGGGGCGAGCCTGTGAGGCTGTCAATCACTCCGCGGCCTGGAGGAGGTGAAAGACGGTTGAGTGTTGAGGCGGGCGTCAGCCTGTCAATCACCATCAGAGTGTCGCCTAATTGGATAACGTGGAGTGCGGCTGAGGGAGAGGCCCCAGGCGCTTTTACAGCGATAACGCTGAGAGGAGACGAGAGACGCGGCCGTTTCCCTGATGTGTTCAGACACAGCCCTCGTTTGGGCATTCCTGGGGGAACTAAATGCCCCTCGTGTTTCCCGAGCCTGCCAGTGTCAAGTAACAACAGAAAGAACGTAGGGCTGCGGCCTTGTCTTAGCATCACTCCCAGAATGCATTGCAACAGACCAGCCATGACAGTTGCCTTGCTGGGGAATAGCTCAGCCTTCTTTGACCTGCCGCCCTCCAGATGTGTGGGGCTACCATTTCCAGAGTCCTCCAGCCAGTGAAAGGATTTGGTGGTGGTGTAGTTCCAACACATCTGATGGGTGCCATGTTGGGGAAGGTGGGTGTCTGGCTGAGTTCCACAGGTGGGCTGGCAGTGCCCAAGTCAGGAGGGGGCAAGAAGTGGGCTTGGCCCACGCCCACACATAGAAGGTGTTGCCAATCGCAGCACCCCAAAACACCCCAAAAGTAGTTGGCCAGAGGAAGGCCCCAGGAACAGTTGGCCAGAGGGAGGCCACATAGTAAAAACACCACAGTTGTACTGTCCCAGAAGGGAGAGCAGGATAAGAACAAAATGAGCTTTGTGCAACTCACAGCTACCAAGCTAGCCTGACCTCCAATGCAGCAATCAAAGGGGCAGTGGAAACTGGTTTTAGCCGCCATGAAAGCTGCAAATGTGCAGGGAGTAAGAACATGGCAAGCCTGTGTGAGCCTTGAGCAGATAAGAAATAAACATGGGAAACGTCCAGTCCTTGACAGAAAAAAGGACTCTTTGAAGCCAACAGCAGTGGGGGCATGCATACACTGACGTATTAATGCATTAGATGTGCATTAGGTGACCTAACTGGTTACCTAGGGTATAAAATGCATGTACTGAGGTGCAACTTTCGAGACACTGCTTCAGGCTGAACATCCTCTTTCGTCTCCCTTTATTCTATAGGGCACTGGAATAAAGCTGGTTTTGGCTCTAAGTCTTGCCTCAGGCTCCTTTGGACCCAGGTCTGGGGTCCACCTGGGTTTGCCCTAGCATTTGACTGGCTGAGTTCAGTAACAAAGGGAGAGGCCCACATTGGTAAGCAGTCCCACCCAGCAGATGAAAACGATACTATAGGTAGTGCTGGTTCCAGCTGATGTAGGAGGGACAACCTGTGGCCCTCTGGACCGTCTGACCTACAACTCCCATCTTCTCTTGCTACTGGCCTATGCTGGCAAAGGCTGCTGGAAGTTGTAAGCCAACACTTCAAGGGGGTGGCACAACTTCCCCACACCTGATGTAAAAAGGGGGAGCCACTTAACCACTAAGCAAAGTTATGGTAAATCAGGCTACATTTGATGATCCCATGTTTTCAACTTGGCATCCTTCAGAGTCTAGGAAATTTGTGATTGATGCCTCAGAGGCCAGATATTCACTGACAAGTCCCAACTCTTTCTCTAATAAGTGGAACTGACAAGACCAAGCCGTATTTCAGCCCGTCAGCCCTTATTTCAGTTTATATCATCAGCATTTTAGGAGGTTCTTACGGGTGGTTTTGTTCTTCCGGTACTTGCGATCCCTGTAGTGCTGCTATTTTTGATTCTGATATTTCCTATGTAGGATTAACGGTACCAAATAAAAGCATCTCTAACTACATATTATATACTGTTCTACCTTACATATTAGAAATTGCCGTTTTTCCTGGCTTTGGCCAACCTCAGGTACACCTTTGTTTAATGGTATTTGAAATGCAAAACCAAGGGGCGTTGCCAGTTGTGAAAGCTGGACTTTTGCCAGGCTTCAGCACCATCACAATCGCTACTACTTGTATTATTGGCTAATGTTCTACTTAAAAGTACCCAAAGGAACATGCAAAATAAAACACAGATAGCAATCATTAAAATTTAAAAAGACTGAAATGCTATAAAATGTAAAGTCGCTTAAATACTGCATAAAACAGCCTGCAATCACAGAATAACTAAAAGCAACAATATTTCCAAGCTACAGAAATCTGCAGCTGCTTACATCAAAATGAATAAGGCCTCTGAATATAGAAATTTTATGCCCACTGATGAAAGCTAGTGAAGAAGCTGGCCAGGTGGATCTCCCCTGAGAGTGACTTCATAATTTGGATGCCATTCCTGAGAAGATCTTTTGACCTGATCTGCAGATTAGGACAAACCATAGTTTAATTGACCACGGTCTGTTGAATTGTGGATTGTTATTATAGACAAGTCCATAATTATGATAAATACAAAACTTGAAGAAAACCCATTGTTTATCCCTGGGTTGTGAATTATGTGTTATTTAAGCAACGGATTGTTGATAAGCGTGAACCTATCATCTTGAGTTGTTCATGGGGTGTTTTACCAGACTACAGAGGCAGCAAGCAAGCCTTCTTGTTTGTTTTTTTGCAGCAAAGGCGGTTGGGCTACGGGAAGAGACTGGGTGGTGGACAATGGAAACAAACTCAGGACTGAGAAAACGAAGCATGGCTTCTTTGGCCATCTGCCTGGGTAGGGCAGCAAACCACAGTTTAACTCATGGGTAAACGTGGTATGAACCAAACCTTTCACTGCAGTCTTGTGTCTGTGGCCACTTTCTCTTGAGTAGCTGAGCTATTATAGATGCACTATGCAAATGCTTTTTCCGTAGTCTGTTCATTGATGGCAGACAATCAACACTAATGAGCAATTAGGCTGAGCTTTTTCCCAGGCCACCTAGGAATGTAACTTGAGTCACGGTCAGTGCAGGATGAAGCTATTTTTGTCTGTGGGGCCTGCGTGAGAGGAAGAGGGAACTGCTGAAGAGCAGCCGTCATGGATTTTGACCATGGGGGATCTTTTTAAATCCCACACAGGCCATGTCCCTCAGAATGTTCCACGGATGCTCCTTCTTCCACAAAGGACACTGATTCCATTATCAAAGCCCCAAACTTCTCACTGCATGGGAAAGAAAGGAACAGCAAAACCTGTCCTGGGTCCAGGTTTGGGGGGACTGCAAGTCTCCTTCCCTGTGGGTCTGTCTTTGCACCACCACTGTCTCCAGCCGCTATTATGCCACCTCTCCCTCTTTTTCATCGGTGCTGCCACTGCCTTCCTTGCCAGGCAGCAAGCAAATCAGCAGCGGCCTTTACTGCTTCCCTCTCACCATCTGCCGTCTGGGCCAGAGAGAAAGGCCAGTGAATGGTGACCAGGAGAAACAGCTCAATGGGGACCTAGCCAGCGGGCCTGACCACGCTGAGTGAAAAACACAACCAATTCTGTAATCAGCCAAATTGCCTGGACTCCTCAGGGGTCTAGTCCTCTCCACCTTGTTCCATATTATGTCCAGCAACCAGGGAAAATGCATTTTCAAGACAGCTCCGTATCCCTTCCCCTGAGGTTCCCATGTGCTTCCCCCTCCACTCCGTTTCATCGCGGCTTCTGCTCACTGAGGAGGCGGCATTTTCTGCCCTTCCCTTCCATGGTACCATTTGTCGCCAGCTCACGTCTATCAAAGCCGCCCCACTGCCTGAGCAGCTCATGGTGGCGACTAGAAGATAGTGGCTTAATAACAGAGCTTGCTGGGAACCCGCTGATAATCCAGGACCACTGACGGCTCCTGGGCCGATAAGGCTGTGCAAAACAGCCAGCTAATCTACCTTCCTGGCAGCGGGCTGAAGATGCTCTGCTAGCTACCTGGAAGCCACGGGTGCTGCTAATAATGAGACTCCAAATGGATTCTTCTCCTAGATGGAAGAAGGGGAGAGAAGGGAGGCGAGGGAGCCTCGTGCATGCTGGCAAGGCCAGGTCCCTTCACCTTGAAGTGTCTGCACGCAGCCAGCCTTTCCTGGGGCTTGGGGCAGCTCCAACTCACAGTGCCACCAAAACACACAATCTCAAGCGAAAGACTGCCCTGCAAATCCCAAGATCAAATGCTCATCTCTTTTGGTTAGGACTGGAAGAACAGTTTGCAGCTGGCATCTCTGTTTCTTCCTTTCCTTCCTTCTTCTTGCCCTCATTTATCATACAGTTTTTATACCTGTTCTCATACGGATAGGCAAGCCAATTTATCTGATTTCTATACACACTATGTTTCTTAATTCTGAGAGAGGTAACACAGGGGAATAAGTCTTCAAAAACCAATAAATAATGGTAGGTTTTCTACATCTGCCTATCCTTTCCTCTCACATAGCCTCTTCCCACCCACAATGCCCTCCCATGAAAGCACTTTACCAAATTTTATGGCGGGGTGTCCAGCACCAACATTTGGCACCCTTTCTGCCTAAACCGGCCCATGGCCTTCATCTCCAGGTGCGCCGCTGGCCACTCTGCCAGGTGCCCAGGTCTGTTCTTCTCACTGCAGTCAGACTGGAGGAGACAATGTGCATTCTGCAAAATACCCCTTTCCAAAAGGTAGAGAAAAGTTTCACCTTTTAACATTTGGGTTGCCATGTGCCATCAAGTCGTCTTCAGAATGTCCTGTTCCACCGATGTTAAAGCCCCGTGTGTTTAAGGAGAGGCTGGACATGCACATGGTAGGCACGTCTTGAGTGGAGCCAGCTGGAGCCAAGGGTCAGACTAGATGGCCCAGGAGACCCCTTCTGACTCACTCTGTTTCTATGTCTATGTTTCTATCCTTGGCAGCCCTGCTCAGCTCTTAAATTTCAGGCAGTGGCTTCCTTAATGCATCTCATAATTTCTCCTGAATCCAGTGTTGGAAGATAAAAGTCCCACCAAAGGACCAAACAAGACTATGCAAGCAGTCAGGCCAGCGCCTCAAAGATCAGGTTTCACTATTGCTGTCCAGGAACCTTGGAAACAGCATAACCACTCCCCCACCCTGCCCCACACTCTCTCTCTCTCTCTCCCTGCCTCGTTTGCACACACTGTACCAAACCTTCTGTTATAAATCAGGGCTCATACACTTTTGGCACAAGCATTATAATGCAAAAGAGAGAAGAACAGGCAGGAGGGAGCCAAAGGACCTGAAGGCGGCGGGTGGAGAGAAGAAAGATCGGAAATGCATCAGGGCAACATCTGGCGAGAAAGTGAGGGACTGAGAGAGCAGCCAGAGGTTGGATGGCCCCCTTCTTCCAGGAGGAAGAAGTGGGGGCAGCCTTGGGAGGTGTCTGGGGAGCCCCCTTTGCTATAAGGAGTGAAATGGGGCTTCTTGTCAAGTTCATTTCCAGACAGAGCAGTCACCCTCCGACTGGACCTCTGCACATGCAGCTTGCGCTTAGACCCCCTCACCTATTAGTGGCTATGCTGGACCCTGTCATACAGGGTGTGAACTGGAGGGCTTGCCGGGGCTCAGGCTCTGGCTTGTTCAGTAACCCCGAGTGCCGGGTTCAGAAGCAACGCAGGCATGAACAACCCAGGGTTGTGGAAGCGGTGAGCGCGTGGGGGCAAGGCACTCACTCGCAAACAGCCCCAGCTGTATTAAACTGTAAGGCTTAAACAACCCATGGGTGGTTGTGACATGCAAGGTGAACCTGTGCCGAAGTAATTTCCTCTGTTGAAAATGGTACTGGTCGACTGCAGGCTGAACAGGAGCCAGCCGTGTGATGCGGTGGCCAAGAGGGCGAACGCCACCCTTGGTTGCATAGCCAGAAGTGTGGCCTCCAGATCGAGAGAGTTATTACTGCCACTCTGTACGACTCTGGTGTGCCTGCAACTGGAGTATTGTGCTCAGTTTTGGGGCCCTCCTTACAGGAAGGATATAGCCAGGTTGGAGTCAGTGCAGCGAAGGGCCACAAGGTTGGTGGCCGGTTTGCAGGGGAGGCCAAATGAGGTGAGGCTGAGGGAACTGGGTCTCTTCAGCCTGGAGAAGAGGAGACTCCGAGGGGATATATTGGCGATATACAGGTATGTGAGGGGGTGTCACACGGAGGTGGGGAAGAGACCTGTTCTCCCCTGCAGAGGAAGGCAGGATGCGCTCCCACGGAACAAAGCTCAAGGAACCCAGGTTCAATTTGGATGCCAGGAAGCATTTTCTGACAGTCAGGACCCCCAGGGTGTGGAATGGGCTTCCACAGGAGGTGGTTGAGGCCCCATCGGTGCGGGTGTTCAAGGATAGGCTGGACATGCACGTGGTGGGCCTGTTGTGAGCGGAGCCGGCCGGTGCCGGAGGTCAGACTAGATGGCCCGGGAGACCCCTTCTGACTTGCTCTGTTTCTATGTTTTGATGATGATGCTGTTGCTGCTGTGATTTAATTTCTAGAGCACCCCACAGCCAAAGCCCTCTGGGCAGTTTGCAACAACCCACCGTGGTTCCCTTCAGCTGACCGAAAGCCAGCTCCCTCCCTCCCTCCCCCAGGGAAGTCATGGTGCAAAGACCCTTTTAATAACAAAGTTTCACCGCATTATTGCAAGAGCAGCCTAGTACCCCAAACAGCCCAGCTGCTGTTGAGAAATCCACATGACCTGGATAAATTAAGGGATATTTTACCAAAGTCATTAAAGTCTTCACACAAGGTGCATCATTAGGCAAATTACCCAGTGATGACTTTCTAAGTATCCCATTACACAGGGAAAAATGCCCTTTTCTGCCAGAGTGGCTCCACACAACAAACCCCAAGGCCTGTTTGGCCCACCCATCTGAACACCTCCTTCCCAGAGCGGTGGGAAGCTCCGGACAAGCTGTACCACCCCATCGGTCGCCCTTGGAGGAAAGAACATTAGAGCCCTGATGGCGTCTTTGCTAAAATATGTTCAATTGCAAAATGACAGCTTGAGAAATAACGATTGGAAGGAAAGCATCGCGACGCTCGCAGCCGATGCCAACCCTAAGGCGGAATCAGCGCAGCCCCAGAGCTGAAGACGCATTCAGCACACCAAAGCTTTCCAGCGACTAAACCAGCTGGTACCAAAACAACGCCAGTTCCAGGGGCATCTCCTTATTTTTATTATGAGACCCCTCACAAGATTATGATTAGTATGATTGATTTATTAATTGCATTTTAAGGATTTCTGGGCTGCTGCTCAGGCTCCAGAAAGGTTTCCAGTGGAGCATTGTGGTTATGCGCCGTCAGGTTGTCCTGGTGACCTTATGAATGAGGCCTTCCAAAATGCCAACCCTTGCAAACGCAAGACTGTGGCTTCTTTTATGGAATCGGTGCATCTCGCCATTGCTCGTCCTCTTCTGCCTTCAGCCTTCCTTAGCCATGACGTGGGGGAGAAACTCTCGCTTACAATCAAAAAAGGTTATTTCTTTAAGGCTTTTATAGACCATCCAGTTAGCAAAAGCTCTCAGAACAGTGTACAAAAAAATTAAAAAGCATATAATATGCATATATTGATGTCAGAGGACATCTAGAACATCCATCGAAATATAACATCATAACCAGTGATAACAATACATAATAATACATAACTCTCAATAGCAAATCCACAGTGCACCCATATAAATAAAATCCAATATAAAACAAATAGTAATATTTAGCCATTAAGATTCCAGGAAAACAAAAGAGTTTTGACCTGCCACCGAAATATACAAAGAGTTGGTGGCAGGTGCACTTCTCTGGAGAGGCGGTTCCACGGAGAAGGGCCCCTGGGATACAACACACAAGGGAAGGAAGAGGGAAAAAGAAATGTGCAGCCGGTCGGGCTTGCTTCGGCTCGTCCCTTGGGGCAGTGGCGGAACTATCTCACTGAAGCAGACGCCAGCATCACTGCCCTCCTCTTCCTCTTCCATGTGGCAGTTGATGTCAGTCCTGTAGGCAGGAGGGGCCAAATAGAGAGAGGCCCTGTCGCTCCCGAAGCTCTTCATGTTGGCACAAATGTCTTCTCTACACTTCCCCAGAGCATTGATAATAATGAAAGTTCTGTGTCTGTCCGTCCAGCTGGCCATCAGCACCCCAGCGCCCCAGCCACGACACTGAAATTTGAAGTGTGCACTGTGGGAACCCTGTGGATGCCCACCTCAGGATTATTTCCATGAATTCTTGTTAATAATTTTAATCTTCTTGCGGTTGAAGCCTGCAGTAACCTCTTCAGTCACTAGGTGGCAGGTTTCCTTGAACCACCGTAGCTTTGCATGGGATACAGGCTGGGAGAGACAGTCATGCAACTGACTTGCTACGAATGAGGCAGCCTCCCCGCCTTGAGGAGCATGGAGTTCACAGACCCCCCCCTCCCCCGGGGAGCCATGGGATGCTCAGGGCAGGGGGCTGAGCCTGAGGTGCCGGGAGACTAGGCCTCGCTGCAGCCAGGGGAGTGAGTGAAAGAGGCCACCCCGACAGCCGCACCTGCTGAACTGAAGCCACTGCTGCCATGTTAAGCGGAGGGCTATTCCATCCCATACAAAACCAGGTCTATTCACCAGGGGCTGTAATACAACAATAAAACCACGGAGACAATAAACCTCTCTCCTCTCCCAACCCCGCCAAGCCAGTCAACAGACTTTGCAAAACCACGTCCTACACACCGGCAGAGGGAGAGATCAGACAATCGAAAGGCGAGTCCTGCCCACGCAAGCTGTGAGATTCAATAGGCTCCTCCCGGGGAGGCCGTGCCGGCGAACCGAATCTCACGTTAAGAAGCGGCAGATTTTCCAGCAGGGAAGCAAAGCATCTGCGGGGCAGACCTACGGTTCTGTGATTAGATGCACGCATTTGAATTCTGGCTGGGGAGGATGGAAGGCCGAGCCATCTGTGGGCACCAGGCTGGGCAAGGCTGCGGTGGCCCTTGGATCAGTCCAGCAGAGGAGGCTTCGCCCCATATACCCCCAGTGAATGGGGGCAACTTCCTTCTCCGTTCGCAGTACGTGCGGCACAGAAAAGGCGGCCTTTGCCACGGGGACTGTACCACCACCGCCCCCCCGCCCACCAGAATGCGCCACTGTGACATCACCCCCGCGACTTCTCCACCGGGGCAGCCGTTTACCGGTTCCTTCTGCCTCCCCACACCTGACCCCGCACATCGCATTGCCTCGAGCACTCTCGCCTCGCTTGGCTCGGTAGGTCACCCCTCGGCCCCAGGGGACGAAGCTGAGGCGGCGCTTGCCCAGTCTCTGGGTCTTTCACTGGGATGGTGGTCCAGACAGGGCCATTTCCCCCTCCTTGTAAGCCCCAGGGCTTTCCATCACTGCAGGGAGGAAAGGAAGCAAAGTGAAGCGGGTGTCCCTTGGAGGCCCCAGAAAGCCGTGGGTGTGCCCCGTGGTCCTTCTGGCACCGTCCGTGTGCACCGACGAACGCGCATGCCACTTGCACGAGGGAAAAGATCCCTGCGGGTTCAGACCAGGGGCACCATCACGTCCAGCGCTCTCTTGCCAGCAGGGCACCTGCCGGATGCCACGCGCTTAGGATACAGCTGCAGCCAGTCCCCGCTGCCCAAATTCCACCCCCCACCCCGATCTTGGAGGCGGCACGTGGCTACTGGACTAGTATCTGTGGCCAGTCTCCTCTCCTTGATTGCCAGTCTAGAAAACCACACAAGAGAACACGGGGAGGGAAATGGAGGCAGGAGGAAGCGGGGCTGGGAGGGACGGTCCCTCGGTCACACCGACGGGCCCTTCCGGCTGTCGTGGGACCCCCCAGGCACTGAAGGGCTCCCTGCCTCTGCTCTCCACAGGAGATGGCTGCCCACGTCCCCGTGGCCCCGGGCCTCCCCCAGATGCTCAAAGCCGGCATGAAGTACTTCAGCGGCCTCCAGGAGACCCTCTTCAGCAACCTCACGGCGTGCAAGGCCCTGGTGCGCTCCCTGCGCACTTGCTACGGCCCCCTGGGCTGCAACAAGCTGGTGGTGAACCACCTGGGCAAGAGCTTCCACACCTCGCACGCCGCCACCATCCTGCGCGAGCTGGAGCTGGAGAACCCCGTGGCGTGCCTGCTGCGCTCGGCTGCCGAAACGCAGGAGGAGGAGACGGGCGACGGCACCAACTTCGTCGTCCTGCTGGCCGGGGCGCTGCTGGATAACGCCGAGAAGCTGCTGCGTTCGGGGCTCCCCATGGTCCACATCCGCGCCGGCTACCAGATGGCCTGCAAGGAGGCCCTGCGCTTGCTCCCGGGCCTCACCTGCCACGTGCTGAAAAACCCCGGCGACGTGGAGGAGGCGCGGTGGGCCCTGCAGGCGGTGGTGGGCAGCAAGGTCTTCGGCTACCAGGCACTGCTCTCCAAGCTGCTGGCCAAGGCCTGTGCACTGGTCCTGCCCCCCGACCGCACCGCCTTCAGCCCGGACCTCATCCGCCTCTGCAAGATCCCCGGCGGGGGGGTGGCCGACTCCTGCGTTCTGGAGGGGGTGGTCGTGTGCACCGAGGCCGAGGGGGTCTTCAGGCGCGTGGAGAGGGCCCGCATCGCGGCCTACTGCTGCTCCTTTGGGCCGTCCGGCCTGGAAGCCAAGAACACCATCACGTTCCAGAGCGCAGCGGAGCTGAAGGGCTACGGCGGGGGCGAGGAGCAGTGGCTGGAGCAGCGAGTCCTGGCCATCGCCAAGGCCGGCGTCAACCTGGTGGTGGTGGGCGGGCAGGTGGACGCGAGGGCGCTCTTCTACGCCAACAGGTGCCGGCTGATGGTGGTCCGGCTGGCCTCCCGGTCGGAGCTGCAGCGCCTGTGCAAAGCCGTGGGGGCCACCCTGTTGCTCAGCATGGCCCCCCCGTCCCCCGAAGAAATCGGGCACTGCCGCCGCGTCTACATGAGCGAGATCGGCAGCACCAGCGTGGTCGTCTTCAGCCAAGATGGGGCCACTTGCCCCCTGGCCACCATCGTGCTGAGAGGGGCCACGGCGGACATGCTGCAGTGCCTCGAAGAGGCGCTCCGGGACGGCATCAGCGTCTTCAACGCCTTGTGCAGCGACACCCGGCTCCTGCCTGGTGCGGGGGCCACCGAGATGGCCCTCTCCGTGCGCCTCCACACCCTGGGGATGTACTTCCCCGGGCCGGAGCACTACGGCATCCTGGAGTTCGCGCAGGCCTTGAAGACTCTCCCCGCCACCCTGGCCGAAAACGCGGGGCTCCCTGTCAACGAGGTGATGGCGAAGATCGAGATGCAGCACCAGCTGGGTGCGCAGAACGCCGGCATCAGAGTGGCCGCGGAAGAGGCTGGCACTGTCGACGTTGCCCGCGAAGGCCTGCTGGACCCCTTCCTGGTGAAGCACCGGGGCCTGGCGCTGGCTACCCAGGTGGCCGTCACTCTGCTCGGGGTGAGCAACATCATGGTGGCCAAGAAGAGTGGGGGACCCAAACCCCGCGGGGAAGACCCCAACTGGGACAAAGAGCCAGACGCGCTCGATTAAGGCGGAGGCCTCGTTCGCGCCTTCTCCCAAATGGCTCAGATCGCCCTATCAATAAAGTCCGATTGCCGGGAAGAGCACCGTTTTCCTCGACCTGAGCGGAGCTGCCAGCACCACCGTTTTGAGTAAATGGCCGATAGCCCTGCTCGCCTATTTATTTGTGTCTCGAGGAATATATTTTTTAATAAAGAATGTTGGGCAAGCAGTGCTGGAATTCTGCTCCAAAGATGGTGGGGGCAGGGAGAAACCATCGCTGCCATCCAAATCTATTATGCAGATTAAGGAAATTTGCATGCATTTATCGGGAAGCGCTCAGATGAACAGGTGTAGCAAAGCTCAGTTCTCTGAACTGTGACTTCAGAGGGCCAGGGTGAGATTCTTCCTCGTCTCGTTGCATTTATATCCTTTCTTCTTCCTCTTGTGAGGCAGCTTGCAAGTTCTCCTCCTCTCCCTTTTATCCTCGCAACAACAACCTTGTGGGGTAGGTTGCCTTGAGGAAGGCTGGGGGGGGGTGACTCAGTTGAGCTGCCAACTGGGTGGGGGTTTCCCTAGCCAAACGCACCCCTTGGGCCCCAGCACATCGCACCCCAAGAGGGCAGCCACAGACCCAGTCTCTTTGCAAGCCCCTGCCCCGTGTTTTCCAAGCGGCTTCTCTCTGCCTCCTCGCAGCAATGCCGAAACCCACAGGTGGTCTCCTTGCCGCTTTCTCCCAGCCTTTCCAAACTTTTCTCACCAGCTGAAACGTAACAGGATGGGAGCACGAGGCTTCCCGCGGTTTCCATCTTTCCCTGCTCGCACCTGACAGCTTTTAGGAGAATTCTCTGGCATCTCTCCCCGCACCCAGCCTTAATTACCGAAACAACCCACAAATAAGACTCATCTCCCTGTAATCAATTACATTAACCCGTGTCGGTTTTCCGCTGCGGACTGGCAGTGTGCAAGACGGACGGAGGCAGAGAATTGCCCGCGCGAAATTTGGACAAAGACTGCGGGGGGGGGGGGGGGGGGGGGGGGGGGCGAGCGGGGGAAAGTTGGAGAGGGGCGGGGGGGGGGGGGGGCTGGTGTGGGTGACCAGCAGGGCAAGAGAGAGAGACCAGCAGGACTTGGCTGGCGTTTGCTTTGATTTTTTTCCGGGCCTGCAAGCCTTCCAGGGCACAGGGAGCACGGCTTTTTCTTCCCGGAAGCCTGAGGACTAGTGGCACAGTTTTTATTCTCAGTCATCCACCGGTTTCCCACTCTTGCCACGCCTGGGCAGAACGGCCCCCCTGCAGACGGACACGCGCGCATCCACCGAGCCGCCCCCACACACAACCGGCGCTCTGCCCGGGAACAGGCAAGGAAGAGGAGGAGACTCCACGGCGGGCGAGGGGGCCCAAAGGGGCGCCCGCGCCCTCCGACGCCCAGAGCCCCGCCGGCCGAGCCAGGGGGGCTGGCGCCCCCGACGGCTGGCGGGGCGCGCGCCCGGGACCCCCTCTGCGCCCCTCGCCCCCGCGCCCGCCTGCTCCGGGCAGCCAAAGGCGCGCCTCCGCTCGCCCGGCCCGGGCTTTGAGAGCGTGCGGAAAAGGGTGGGGAACCCGGCGCCGTGTATAGAAGGGCGCCCCCTACTGGCTGCAGGGGGCAGGCCGCCTTCGAGGGGCGCCTGACCCGGGTCGGTTACCGCTGGGCCCCTCTTCCCGCTCGAGGGTCGATTCTGGAGATCTCGCATTCCTGGTAACGCACGAAGTCAAATCGACGCCAGCGCCCCGAATCCCCCCCTCGGAAATTGGGATCAGGCTGGGCCAGCAACACTTCCAGTGGGGGCAGCTTGGTCTATGTGTTGCTACCTACACTGCGTTTCCAGTTTCCCAGAGTTCTCCAGATGGCATACTAAGGAAACACATAAAATAAAAGGGAACCACAGATAAAACAGGTTTTAAGCATAAAACAGGTGAGGCAAATGCGAGATAAAACCAGCAGCCGCCCACGGACCTAAAAGCCATTTCTAAGTTCCTGAGAGAAGCAGAAGGTTGGCACCTGGTGCCAAAAGGTCTAAAACAGGTGTGTCAGGTAAGCTGCTCTCTGAGGGGCTTTCCGGGGAGAGGGGGGCATTGGGTGTATACATGTGAGAGCATTTAAGGGTGCATATTACATATATGCCAAAGATGGGGTATTTTTCACCCATCCCATTACGGATTCAGAAGAAGGGGTGCTTATTTAGGAGCCAAATAATGGGGAGCCAAACAGACTCAGGACAAACATGACAGAGGTCAGGGAACGGCGTGGCAATCCACGCACCTTGGCTTTTTAATTTCTTTGCAAATTCCAATTCCCCAGTCTGTACAGGAGCGGCAAAACGAAAAGAGATAAAATTGTATCTTTATTTCTGTGAGGAGCTAAAGATAGATCACAAAGTGGGGGGGTGATGGGGGTGAGATGGGATGGTGTTGGGGGGGAGGCTGGGGGGGAGAAGAGGGGAAGGGGAGTGCAGAAGAAGGTGAGGAATAAGGGGAGAAGAGAAAGGACGGGAAAGATGGCAGGATGTGAAGAGGTGTGAACGGCAGAGATGTGAGGAGGATGTGAGGGAAGGAAAGGGGGGAGCGGGGTGTGCGGTGCAGGTGCTGGGAGCCCCAGGGGGACATTCTGGGATGGGCAGTTGGTGCCTGCGGGAAGAGATGTGGAGGGCAAGCCAGCTCCGGAGGCCCCCAGCAGTGAGGGCCTGGCTGGCCGGGGAGAGCTGCGGGAAGGCCGGGGCTCCCTGCCCCTCCCTCCCTCCCTCCAAGACCAGCCTGCCCCCACTTGCGCTATTCAGAGCAATGTCCAGCCCGTGTGGCTAAAATAGGGGGTGGGTCTCCTCGGCCCAAGATGGAGGCCGCTCTTCTCAGGCAAGGACGCGAACAGAGATCCTCCTCCTGCAACTGGCCAGATGTGCTGGACTTCAGCGCCATAATTCTCCAGCCAGCGTAGTTGAGCTTGGAGTCATGGAAGCCGTGGTCTCCCCAGGCAGGTGTGGCCCGACCCGGAGATCTCGCCTGGTGTCCCGGGCTTGGCGCTCTGCGCGAGGAACCCCCATCAGCCGCTCGGGGGCCAGGAGAGCAGTGGCCGGCAACCCCGGAGAGAAAGCGCGTGGGCAGAGGCTGCCGGAAGGGTCCGGACCGCCCCTTGTCTGCCCCAGGCCCGTGCTGGAGACCTGGGAATCCAGGTGCAGGTGGCCAGGCTGGAGGGAGGGGAGGAGCGTCCCAGGTGCGTCGGGCCTCCTGTGGCATCTCCTTGCAGGACCGCCGGGCCTATCCAGGGCGCCTCTGTTCTCACAGGCGGCCAGCATCTTTGGCAGCCTGTTGGGCGGTGTTCTCCGGCGCTGAAAAGGCCCCGGCATAAGATGGGGTACAGGCAGATTTTTTTAAACTCCGCGGACAATAGGTTTGCATGGCTGTCCTTCCTGATCAGGATAAATTTGGTGGGCTCAGCCCCCTGTGCGGCCCTCCAGCCGAAATGCAACTGGAAGCAGCCCAGCAGCTTCCCGCCGAGATGGGAAGGCTTCTGATGAAGGGGCCCAGAGAACAAACAAAGGCAGCCGGCAGGACTCACCCAAGGCCGGAGGGAGCTCAGGGGATGACCTTTGCAAGAGCTGCTTAGATTTGGCACACCTTTCTGATGCTAAATCAATCGAGGCACTGGGGAAAGACACACATATATATTTGAAAAACCCTTTTCTTGGCTCATTGGCCGATTCCATCTCTTTTGTCCTCTCCGCTTTATGTCCGGGTGGCCTTTCGCTTCTCCCGGCTCCTAGACAGGTTCCCACCAGAACCGCTTTTCACACTGCAAGCTCCAGGAGGCATGACTGATTCGCTCCGCTTGTAAGGAGTGAACTTTTCAATCCGTCAATATTTAACTTCTCCGTGGGGGCCGCTCCGTTCCGGCTTGTGTTCCTCTCCCCGTGTGCCAGATACTCCCCAAATCCCATCGCCTCCCCTGCCACAGCACCACGGTGCTGGCCACTGGAATGTGGCCGAGTGCCACGGAAACAGCCTCATGGCAGGGTCCCGCATTGCACGCAGATGGGCTGGCCTCATCCGGTTGGTCCCCAGCCCACCTCCCGACCTTGCCAGGTCCCCGACCCAGTCTGGAAAAAGATGCGGGCGAGGGCGCTGGGAGGCCAGGGAGACCCGATGGGACAGAGAGGAGGAAAACAGGGACTTGGGTCCTTGGAAAATTGCTGGGCAGGGAACAATCCTTTGGAGAGAACATCCTTGTTCCTGCATTTGCATCTGAAGAGGGGGAAACCGCTCTCAGCCCCTGGACTGGTTTTCCTTGAGGAACGGCTGCAGATCCCACCCATCCTATCACCTCCACCATCCAGGAGAGCTTTCCGGGATACCCCCTTTGCAGAAGATCTGGAGAGCTACAGACGTGGAGAAAGAGAAACGGCTTGTCCTAAAAGCCGAAGAAGCACCGTGCCGGACTAGACCAAAGGTTGCCCTGTCCTCCGGTGGCCAGCCTGTCGTGGCTCATGGCCGGTATGTGGCACGAGCCTGTTGTGTCACCTTTGCTAAGCGGGGAAGGCCTGGGCCTGCGGCTGGATGGGTGACCACAAGTGGCAGCAGAGCAGGGGCTGGACGTGAGACCCTTCCACTCCACTGCTACGCCGTGCTATTTAGGAGGAGTGAGACAGGACCAGCCCAGCTCGTATGCGCAGCAGCAAAACAGGACACCTTCTGAAGCAACCCGGGGGATTCCACGCCGAGCTTCGCTTTGCACAATGCAAAGAACGAGCTGGCTTTCCTTTCTGTCGCACCTGGCTCTTTGGGATCTCCAAACGCTTGCACAAACACCGCTCACTCACCTGCACATCTTGTCTTTCCCACCAGACTCACGCTGGAACCCACAAAAACACTACTGTCAGTGCACGTACCCAAAACAAAGGAAGGAAGGAATGCTTTTCAAATAGTGCGGACAGCAGAGCAACCAGAGTGGTGTCGTCAGAACAGGACCCCGCAAATCGGTGTGATTCATTATGATAACAA